ACAACATTATTCCTCAAATCTAATCGATTGTTTGACAAAAAAAAATCGAATGATCGAATGTACTTTACATCTAATTATTTTTTTTTTTCCAATTTCGGTTACCATGATTGAACAAGGCATTAATGAAAAAAAAACATCAAAAGTTTCATCTGTCTGTGTGTGTGTATTGTAATATAATAATTATTATTCAATCGAAAATCATAATACATATTGATCAATTATAATAAATGGTTCTTGTGGTACTAATATTGCACCGTATTGATTATCATTACCAGTAAAAAAAAAAATACAACAAAAATTATGTTAAGTTCATTCGTAAAAAAATGGAATTGAATAGACACAAAATGTGTGTTTCATTGATGGACTGACAAACGAACCGGATCGTTTTTCATTTTAGTTCGTTAAAAAAACTTTGTTCCCGCATGTTTTTGACTTTCCATTTTCATTCATTTATATTCGAAAAATAGTGTGAAAAAAAACACAACCAATACTAAAACAATCGATCTGGTAAATTCTACACAATTCTATTGCGTATTTGTATTCTTGTTGTATTCTTGATTCTTCATATATCCAAAAAAAAAAATCAATATAAATGGGCTAAAAAATTCTTGTCATTTTTTTTCATTACAATATGTGTTTCATGAAGGGTAAAAGAAAATCAAGGCCATCATAACCCTCATGATGACATACAGGTTCAATTGTTGTTCTATTGCTCACAAATCTAATTTCGGTTGTCTTCAAACCATTTAATCAAAATCGATTCTCTGTGTTGATTTTGATGAAAAAAAAAATTTTCCAGATTTAAGAATTGTACGTACAACTTTTTTGGGGTGGATAGGCTTATTTGTCTAGTCCCACTTTCTGGTGTTTGATACATATTTGTGTTGGAATGGAAAAAAAATTGTAATTAACATTTGAAAAAAAAGATATATGGTTACAATAGTTGCCAATTCAACTTTGACAATTTTATTCATAGTTTTTGTTTGAAATGGTTGAAAATATGCCCACATATTCGAAAGAAAGAGATATTTACTTAGAATTAATTTCCACTGAACAATGGAGGATTCGAAGAGAAAATACGAATCCCAGATTCTTAAGCATAGTTTGGAGTTTTGGATCTTTTTTTTTTTTTTTTTTGATTGTATTTCTTTTACTCATACAAACGGTGCAATAAGAAAACTAGACAATGCTAGATAGCAGTATATACTACTACAACTACTTACTAGAATACTTAGTCATAAAGAATCTAGTAAAATATAGAGCAGATGTTGAATGTAGGATTCACATTTTGTTCAGAATTCTCTTGACATCACATCATCATCATCATCATCATCATCATATGATTTTCAAGATTTTTCCACGGACATTATTGCGAAATAGTTGCTCATACATACGAACGTAGGTAGACATAAGACTGGAACCTAGATATCTTCATTGATGATCTACATGATGTTTGAGAATTGAGAAGTAAAAAAAAAAATTTTCTTTTTCCAATTTACTTTGAATCAATATCTATAGAATGAAAAATTTATCACATTAAAATGATTGGCATCTTTGCGTGTGCGTATGTGTGTGTGTGTGTGTATTGGCATACAAGCATATTTGTCCCAAATGATATCGGCAAACTTTTTTTTTTTTTTTTTTTGAATCTCATGAATTTGACGATTCAACGAAACAACAAAAGTTTCAATATTATAAAACAAATATCCATTTCAATTCATTTTATATGAATAATTTCAATGAAAAAAAAAATTCATTGGACATCCATATTAAGACAAAAAAAAACCTATTAATCTTCAATGAATAATGGGAATTTTAGTTTGTGGTCATTGCGTCAATAGAAAATACACACACACACACACACATACGCAAATATTTTTGTATATGTAAAATGCTAGTAGTTGTGACGTAGTTTTATTTGAAATATACGAATTTTTTTGTTTCATCTCTTCACTACTTTTCTCGGAATAATTTTGAAAATGAGGATTTATTCCTTTAAATACCCGTATATATGTATGTTAATTTGATTCAAATTAAATACCGTTATCATTAATTTTTAATCTTTTTTAATTTTTTTTTTCGTAACATATTACTACTATAATGATGACGATGATAGTGACCGATATATATATTTAGTTATATAATGTACTTGAAATCTAAAATCCTTAATTCTTTTGATTTTGGAATCCCGGATCCGAATTATTCACGTATTCCAATAGATCATGAATGTTTTTTTTGTTTATTTTCATATATCCCGTACAACTGGAAAAAGCATCATCATTACATATATCATCATCAGTATTATTTCGACATCGACAATCATCATGATTCAATTCAATTATTATACACGCTGTTATGAACAACGGAAAATAATGTCCGGGAATAGTGTTTTTTTTTTGTTCTTTCTCGTACGTAAATCTTTCAGTAACCAAGAAACAAAACAAAAGAAAACTAAAATTCAGATAGCATATTTTTTGTTCTTTGTTTTTTGATACGCTTTAGGGCTTTCTATGTTTTTTTTTCAATATATTCGTCGTCATACAATACCAATATATTAGGATCAAATGACAAATTGATTTTCAGTAAATATAGATTATTATTATATGAATATAAATCGTATTGTTGACAAATGCTTCAAAATTCGGGCCAGGTTACAAAGACTTATGTAAAGTAGTAATTTCTTTTCTATAATTTTGGATTCTACATTAAATTTAATGGAATTTTTTTTCTCATAATCTTCATGTACTGACTTTAATTCTATTTTTTTTGAAAGAATTTCATCCTAAGTGAAAGTTATTCGTGGATTATTCCAATTCCAAAGAAAAAAAAATAAATTTTTTGATTATTCTCGATGTTTTGGATTTTCAATTTCCTTTTATTATTTGTTGTCAATGTATTTAGATCAGCCGAAATGGTTGTTGTTGTAAATTTTTATTGTTTGAAAATTGATGTTGATTTTTTTCGTTTTGAAAATGTAAATGAAATTACTTTTTGAAATGAATGAATGAATGGATGAATGAATAAATGATTCAAATGTACTAAAAATGACAGGTAAAAATAGAAGAAATGATATGCAATTCATTGAAAAAAATACTGTAAAATAAAATCAATGTATCGATTGATTCATCATTATATTTACAAAATGGGAATAGGTAATTTTTTTTTTTTTTTTTTTTGGTCTTTTTATCTTTATTACCGGAATTGAAATCCATTCGTATAAGTATCACAAATGCACCGAATGATCATCATCATCATCATTGTTATTCCTAAAATATTCTATTTATTCTGTCATTTCTGACAAATAAGAATGAAAATTTTTTCCCATAACTCATAACGACATCTATCGTCGACGATAGAAAAGATTTATGAATATTTTCTCTTTTACAATTATGGACACAATTTCAATTTGCTAACTGTGTACTAAAATTATCAAATCAATGGATTCATCATAATCATGAAAATGGTGAAGAAAATGGTCAAATACACACACACACACACACTCAATATACATTGTTGATGTCAGTTTGCTATTAGATTTCAATTTTTTTTTCTCTTGCCATGACTTGATCAGATCAACGTTTAGTGAAAAGTGAAAATCAAGGAAATCAACAGAAGAAAAAAAAATAAGAAATGAACGAATCTTTTTTTTTGACCATAAAAGGTGATTACTCGCACACACACACACACACAAACAAACATTTACGTAAACGATTCAGTTCCAAAAAAGGATAATAATAATAAAAAATAAGAGGGAAGATTTTTTTTTTTGAACAAATCATTTTTACAAAACAAAACAAAAAAATAAAAATAAAAAGACAAGACAATGGATAAAACGTGATGATGATTAAGGCGGCGGTAACGCACACACACACACACACATTTCGTAAACTGGTCCAATACTACAATATTTTAATTGGATTTTATTTATTTTCATTTTTTTGAATCAAAAAAAAAATGTTTACGGAAACGGATTGACAAGCAAAGATATCGTTGATTTTGTCGTATTTTATAGTTTCGTTTTCATTTGAGCTTTTTTTTCTCTGTTGTTGATTTTTTCTGGATCACCAAATGTAAAATTTATCGATTTATGTGATTATTTTCGATATATTCGATCCAATTAATATATTAGATGTATTGATGAAAATTTATTCATTGAATTGAATCTAAATAAAATTTCTCATTTTCTTATCGATATCCATTTTAATCGTTCGTATTTAATCATTGTCCAAAATTAGAGTCTAGACTTTGTTACCATAAAAGGGGAAGAAAGTTTTTTTTCTTGTCCGATCAAAAAAAAAAATGTATATCGCTTTCGATTTTATAATAATCATCATCATCATAATCAACAAGTTCTAAACACAAAATATCTATTTCAAACAAAAAAAAAATGTTTCCATGTTTGCGGATGAATAAATGGCATCAAACAAACAAACAAACAAACACAAAAAAAAACAAAGCCAGAAAAAATAAATCAAGAGGCAAAATTAACCAAAAAAAAAAAAGAGAAACCAGATGAGCCAGTTTGAGTCCATTCATCGGCATCATCATCATCATTATTATTGCTTGATGCTTTCTTTGATTTTTTTCTTTCTATCTATCTTCCTATCTTTTTACTTCTTACTCATTTCTATATTTAGAATTTATCTTGTTTCATCGTTTTTTTTTTTTTTGAAAAATTTTACCTTCTCACTTATATACCTTACGGGATTCGATTTAGGCCAATGTACCAAACATAAAATATGTCCGTATGTGAAAAGAGTCGAATATGATGATGATGATGATGGTTGTTGTTGTATTAGGTTATTCACTTTCAACTTTGTTTTATGAAATCTTTGATGATGATGATGATGTGAGGCTAGCCATTGATTCAACCGTTGACTACTTTCGACGATAGACCATAGTGTCGTGAAATATTTGTCATTTTATTAAATTTTCAACGTAATAATTTTTTTTTCTTAAAATTGTTCCTGTGTGTGTGTGTGTGTGTGTGTGTCAAGTGTTTGTGTGTTGTGGGTGTAAATATTTAATCTAAAGAATTTAATTTAAACAAAAACAATTTAATATACCTTATGATGATGGCATCTTCCACAATCATTAATGATGATTTTGAAATAATTACAAATGAATTACGTCGTGAATTTCGTACCGGTCGTACGTTACCTGTTTCATATCGTAAAGAACAATTAGGACAGCTATATCGATTCCTGGATGATAATCAAAACTTGATTATTGAAACATTGAAAAAAGATCTACGAAAACCATGGTTCGAAACTGTTATTGTTGAAGTGGATTTTGTTTTGAATGAAATTCGTTCAACATTGGCAAATATTGATCAATATTGTCAGAAAAAATGTGTAGCAAAATCGTTTACCACATTGTTTGATGATACATTTGTTCATCATGAACCGTATGGACTAGTCTTGATTGTTGGTGCATGGAATTATCCAGTACAAATTATTTTGGCGCCACTAGTTGGCGCTATAGCGGCCGGTATGTATGGTTTTTTATGATTCACTATACCAGATGAAATATTAGATCAATCATATAGTAATAATTTATATTATAAAATTCTTTAAAAAATTTAATCAAATCAGTTCAATAGGTAGTTTTATTTTGCTTACATACAGAGAAAATAGAGAGAGAGAGAGAGATGAACTCGTTTTTTTTTTGCTTCCGGTTTTGACTTTTTATTTTTATTTTTTTTTCTTTCCTGTTTTTGATTTATTGGTTTAACATTTATCGCCTGTAGGCAATGTAGCCATCATAAAACCATCAGAATTGGCACCGGAAAGCGCTCATCTTATATCAAAGTTATTGCCCAGATATTTAGATCGCCGTTGTTATCGTGTTGTCACTGGTGATGCTGAAAAATCAAAACGATTATTGGAATATAAGTTTGATTATATATTCTTTACCGGTTCCGGTAGTATTGGCCGTGTTGTTCATCAGGCTGCCGCACGACATTTGACTCCAACAACATTGGAATTGGGTGGTAAAAGCCCAATCTATTTACATGATAGTTTACCGCCATCAGCCATGAAAATTGCCTGTCGTCGAATGATCTGGGGTAAAATGATGAATGCCGGTCAAACATGTATTGCTCCTGATTATGTTCTTTGTAGTCAGAAAGTTCGCCATCAATTAGAACAACATTTAATCAATGTGATTGAAGAATTTTTCGGCCATGATCCACAAAAGACCGATGATTTTGGTCGTATTGTTAATCAACGCCATTTTGATAGGCTCATAAATCTTCTAAATACAAGTTCTGGAAAAATTTTCTATGGCGGTAAAATCGATGCTAATGATCGTTATATTTCACCGACAATCATATTTGATGTTTCACCGGATGATCCAATCATGAAAGAAGAAATTTTTGGTCCAATATTTCCATTCATAACAGTTCGTACGGTCGATGAGGCAATTCAATTCATTAATAAACGACCAAAACCATTGGCAATTTATTTATTTGCTGAAGATAAAGTTGTAACCGATCGTTTTATACAGGAAACATCTAGTGGTGCTTTATGTGTTAATGATGTTGTGCTTCATGTTTCATTGGATACATTACCATTTGGTGGTGTAGGCGAAAGTGGTATGGGTGCCTATCATGGCCATTATTCATTCAATACATTTTCACATCAAAAAGCCGGTATGTTCAATTAACAATTCTTTTTTAATCAAATAATAATCTCAAATAATTTTCAACAGTTCTAGTACGTGGATATAATGGTTTACTTGAAATTATTGGTTCAAGACGTTATCCACCATATAGTCATACAAAATTGGCACGATTATTACGTTTATTGAAAAAACGGCAGCTACCATTTGATGATATACCATATCGTTTGATTCTAACCGCTATTATATCGTTCATTTTTGGATTATTGGTTGCATATACATTAATCGAATCATTATCATCATCGTCATCATCATGTCATCATGCATAATTTTATATTTATGATTTACTATTGAAGATGTTCAAGTAGGGCATCGGGATCATTTCATTTCTTTCTCTATATTTTTCTTTTACCCTTTAAGCCTAATATTATTATTATTATCATTATCATAATATGTTTCGATTTTTGTTTGTTATATTTGTTTTTCATATCTTTTATTTCGTTTTTTTTTTAAATGTTTATTAAACTTTCATTTTGAATAATGATAATTCCATTTCATTTTTTTTTATTTGAATAAAATTCGATATAATTTAGTACAACTAATAGATAACTAAATGTAGAGTGTTCATTTTTATGAAACAATAACAATATATAGAATAGAATGAATTAAAAAAAAACTTGGTCGATTATTGTTTGGAAGGACATTTAGTGGTTGGTATATAATAGTTTTTTTTTTGATAAATCCTCAAATTGTGATCATCATTACAGAATTGTTATTTGTGATGAATGATCCATTTTAAAGAATAATTTTTGAACATACGGTACACTTACGGTTTCCTTTCCCCCCTGTGCTCACTTAAACATGTACACAATTTTTTTTTTTTGGGGGTCTCCCTCTCTCTCTCTCTCTCTCTCTCTTTATTTCTCACTATATTCAAGATGTTAGCCTTGAACCAAAATCTTCACACGCACATAAGCACAAGTATTATTGCTTCCTGCATTCATATGGTTCAATTCATTCATTCATTCATTCATTCATTCATTCATTCAATTTCTAATGGATTCTGATTCGAATCCAAAAAAGAAGAAAAAAAACTGGGGAAATACGTTATGACACGTACATTTTTTTTCATTCACTCAGATACACACTTATTCATTCATAATAGACTTCCATGGTCATAGAAATATACTGCGAAAAAAAAAAAGAAAAACTGACACTCAATGATCATTCATTTTATTATACAATGGATTCTAGCTATGAATAATTCTATTGCATGGTTGAAACATTCATCATTCAATTCATCCAGAAGACAAAACCGGTACAAGTGTGTGTGTGTGTGTGTGTTTGTTATTCGATTAGAATGTAGAATAAATGAATGTATGGTCGATACATGTGTATATATTCTTGTAATCATCAATTTCAAATCATTTGCTTTCCGTTATTCAGTATTTTTCTGATGGTTTGGGTTTTTTTGTGGTTTTGAATTTGATTAACATTTTTCATGCAGGTTTTCTAGGCAGAGAATGCTGATTGTTTTTGCCCAGTATAATCGTGTGTGTTTCATTTTGGTTGTCACTGGATAATATAATCGTCGTTTGATTTTGTTGTTGTTGTTGTTGTTGTTGTTGCCCCAATAACCAAAATTCAAAGGGAAAAAAATTCAAGGATAATCCAAAAACCCATATACATAGTGTATCAATGATCAGATTATTCGGTTTGTTATTATTATTGCAATCAATTCCCAAGATATTTGCTTTTGAATGATCATACGATGATCAGCGGTTATTTTATCTTTAATCTTCAATCGATATATAGAAGAAAAAAAATAAGGCTCATTCTCAAGGTTAATGAATATCCGGAATGATCACATGATGATGATGGCAATCATGATAATTATGTCGGATGTTCACCCCCTGGTAAAAAAAAGCAAAACAATATTCGTTCGAATTTTCATTTAATGAGAAATCAGAATCGACAGAAAAAAAATTCCAAAGAATCCAGAGAATGTATGTAGGTTTTAATAATGGCCTTGTATTGGCGTCAAGATTCTTTTCCTTTCTTCTTGATTCTGATAATGTTAATAATAAAAAAAAGAAGAAAGAGACAAATCAAATCATTTCTCTCCTTGAAAAATTGAGAAGAAAAGAGTCATGTATGTATTTGTGTGGGTGTGATCGTCAGCATCCTATTCAGTCAGAATTTATTTATTTTCCGAATCTATGGGGCGGCTAAATATTTTCTTTCGGTCGACTGCCTATAGGGTTAGGGTCGGAAATTTTCTCTTTATTGTCAAAATCGGTTAAAGAACACCCGAAACACATATGACATATTATTATTATCGTAGATAAATTTTTTTTGCTATTATATCTTCGATTCGACCATCAAACACCATCATAATCATTCAACACATATGCTAAGGGGTTGGCTGTACGAATGATGATGATGATGATGGGAGGATTGAAAGAAAAAATTAGAAGACAGGACCAGAAAAAAAGAAACTAGATTTGGCCTAATTTCTTTTACTTTTTCTATGTTTTTCCATCATATACACCCCGTGTTCTTAACCTACTTTTAGTTTGGACCGTTTTTCTACTGTCTGCTATTTTATAATGGAACTGGAAAAATCGGAGTCAAACCAGCCATCCACAATGGTGCTATATGCATATAGCCGGTCCTAACGGTATCGGTAATTGTCCATTATCATTTGTGTTATTTGGTTCGGTTGCTATAACAAGTTAGTAGTGTCAATATATGTAGGATATATATCGTCAACGACGACGACAAAAACGACAACAATAATTTGTCTTCAAAATTTGTTTTCTATGGTTCATGATTTTTTTTTTGGTTAGTCTTTTTTTCTTTATTATGGTTCAGATTCTGAACGGTTTCCATTGGTGGCGGCGACAAACGGAAACAAACCAACCAACAAAACATAATCACTGAAAAAAAGGAAGAGACAGAGCAAAACAGAGTCCTTATCTCTTTCTTTATTCCATATCTTTTTTCCTGCTTGTCATATGAATATACAAACACAGGCCTGTAAAGAAAAAACACCGACAAGTTTCAAGCCAAAATCTTCTTGAGGTCCAACGATAATATATCCAATCTTCTACTATAGAAAACAAGATCAATGAGATCATAGCTGCTGATTAGTGTGTGTGCGTGTGTACACCCACCATCAGGTTCCACCCAACACGCACATATTAATTGGGGAAGAAAGGGAAAAATAGAAGCAATAAATTTGTCATCAAATCAAATTAAAAATGAATCATCGACCTATTTTTGATCATCATAATAATATAAAGAATTGTAGTCTGTTTATATTTGTATGCATGCATGTGTTTGTGTGTGTGGTTATAATAAACAACAAACATATATAGAATCAATGAATCATTCTAATAGAAAAAAAAGAAAAAAATTCGGTCAATTTATTTGATCATGTAGTCATTTTTGAATCAAAAAAAAAATTTTAATATCCTCCCTTTTTCAAAATTAGAAATTCTTTATAAATGAACATATATAAACACAAAAGTTTCCAACAAGAATATTTTTGAGTTCCAGTTTTTTTTCTGGTTATTATTACTCATGATCATTAACTGTTATTGTTGATGATATTTTTATGTATGATTGAATTCAATCTTATCTATGTTGGATTCATCATTATCATCATCAAAAACAGATGACATGAAAATTATATTTTTGTTTGCCAATCCGGTGTGTGTGTGTGTGTCAATATTTGACCATATCTACGAATAATAATGACTAGCCTTTTTAGACGTCATTTTTTTTTATTTTATGTACACACACACACACACACACATATTAGCTATCTAGTAGTCTGCGTTGTCGTTTCCGGTACAAAAATGATTAATTTCTGATGAATATTATCATACAGGAAGTGCATATGATTTTAACATGATGAAGACAGATTTGTGTTTTTTAATGTAAAAAAAATTGACAAAAAAAAATGTAAAATAAAATAAAACTATCATTATCTTCCTCTCATGTTTTTTTTGTGGTTCTAAAAAACATGACACCCGTTTCAAAAAAAAGTAAAAAATCTGTTCCATATTAACACTGTGCGATTTGTACGCCCAAATCGATAATAATAATAATAATAGAGAATTAGCCATTTTTCACACTGATTGAAGTGTTGAAAGTTTGTTTGACGATAGCGCTGGCTCTTGTCCTTGATGTTGTTTTGAATCGAGAAAATAGAAAACAATTGTCCCGGGACCCGATTTTCTATCAATCTTTCTATTTCGAATCTTATAGCCAAATTTTTTTTCTTTGTTTTGTTTGGCATTGAAGATGATCGGAAATCAAAATCATCATTATCCGGACCGGGTTGGATTCTTTCTGTATTTCATTTGTTTCATTTAGCAGGGGTTGTTTGTCAGTTTAGCGCCTGACAAACTGAAATATTTAGAACCAATTTGATATATCATATATTGAAAGAAAGAGATAAAGAAAGAGAGAGAGAGAGACGGCGCACACATGGACAGCGATGAAAACAAACTACTAGAATAAACTTGATTCAATATTATTGAGGTATATCCATGTCTCTCATTTAACTTTGAAAATCTTTTTTCATCGGTTTCAATGCGACGTTCCATTTTATTATTTTATAAGAATCAGCTATGTATGGATAAACATTTGTCGGTTTGTGGTGACGGCACCATCAAACACACACGAGTTATTCAAGACTAATTAGAACGTGCGCGCGCGATTGTCTCATTTAAACTATCGACACCGACCGGTTGATTTCGAACGTAATGTTCGTTTTCATTTTATTCTTTTATCGATACGATTTCACCATAAGGCCTTTGAATCAGTATTATTTTGAAATGGATGATATATTATGATGTGATTTATTTCTTTTAATTCAAAATTTTCTCAAGTGATAATTTTATCGCTATAAATCATTCTGTGGCCATATCTTTGAATTGTGATATCAATTATTCTTAGTCATTTAAAAAAAATGTGAGCAAAACAATGTCTTCAATAATTCGTGAACGACATCAACCAATTAGTGCCCAATCATCTACATCATCATCTTCGATTGATGGTGGCTATTCATCAGCATTAACATCATCATATCATCATAACGATCATAATAATCATCGTAATCAACAGCATCAAAATTCTTTATTGTCATCATCATGTGATCAGCAACAATATTGCCATTTATTTTCTGAAACTAATAATCATAATCTCCGTCATCACCATCTTCATCATCATCATTTTCATCATCATCATCATCATCCACATTCTGGATCCATTGGTCAGGTTGGAATCGGTATGGGTGGCATCGGTATCAATGGTAATAATGGTGGCGGTGATTGTAATACTAATCCAAGAAATTATTGTAAACTTGTATTCAAAATAACAATCGTATTGTTAAGTTTTGCCGGTTTTCTATATCAAGCAACCGATATTTGTGCACATTATTTCAGCTATCGTACAGTTGTCTATACAAATACAGAACAGGATTCATTAGTTGATTTACCATCGATTACATTTTGCTTGCCCACATATTTTACTAAACAATCATTGGAACAATTATATTCACCATACATCAAACGAAATCTAGAGGAAATGTCTGCATTTAAAAATCAATCAATGCTCGATGCAATCAAACCGGTCATCTATGAAACATTTCAGGTAATTAATTGAATTGATTTCTCTAATAATTTGTACTATGAAAATAATTGAATTATAGAAACAAGCATTCAAAGATCTAAGTGCTGCTCAAATTCTTGATCGTTCGATTTCTGATGATGGAATTATTGAATGTCGATTATTCTATCCACCTCAACATTGGCCCAATCTGACCAGAGAACGAATGTATGAAATCGTACAATATGGTCTGCCATGTGAAGAAGTGACCCAAGTCATTTCTTCCATCAATGCCAATGGAAAATGTTTCACATTTTTTAGTCAATTGCTCACCGATAATGATTCATTGAAAGCATATCATACTCAACATGGTAGCGATTCTCATCAAATGCTCGAATATCAACAATATCCACAGATGACAAGTTTCGCATCCTCATCTGCATCTTCAGCATCGACACGCTCAACCGGTCCGGTTGCACCACCAATCGTTCAACATTCCCGTTATGTACCTATTTCACATAAAATTTCCGTCAATCACGGTTATCGTTTTCATTCGGGTATGTAAAGTTATTATTTTCGATTAATAATTTCAATTCATTTATTCGATTATCAAAGGTCGTTTTATTCGTCTTCAAATACAATTTAATCGCAATCAATATACTGTGATTTCGGATGGTCATCAACGTGAATGTATACAAGTGCATCCACCATTTAAAATACCTTCTGAAGCCTGTATTCATTCAATTAATCCAGGAATGAGTTATGATTTTGTATTGACTAAAACAAAGGCCATACTACAGCCACCACCATATCAGACAAATTGTCAATCTTATCAGGCGGTTACACAAGCCGAAAGTGAACTTCTCGCATCAAGCAGTGATGCAAGTGAATTGAAAGAATTTTACCTTAAACCAATGTCAAGATCGGATTGCATCGATAAATGTATGATACATATCTATGAAAAATATTGTGGCTGTTTGCCTATACATATAAGTATATGGCAAAGAAGTTCATTATTTTTGAACATGTCCGTTTGTGATTATGAAGATTTCGAACGTATAGCGCCATGTTTAGAGAAAGAATTGAGTAGCACCTGTTATGATACATGTAAATCAGATTGTATCGATAGGTGAGAAAAAAAAATATTCGAAAAACTAGTTAAGCTAATATATTTAATTATGCTTTTTAGACATTATCATTTGCATGTTGAATCCAGAGTCTATCCATCGGATGAACAAATCAAACAGGCAACCGGTGTTGAACGTGTACGATTGAAACGTCTCAGACAGAGTGCAGCTACTATCAGTATATGGAGTAATTATCTGAGCGATATTACCTATGTTCATACGCCGGCAATGTCATTAATACAGTTGATTTGTTATCTGGGTGGTTTGGCTGGTCTATGGCTTGGCGTTTCCGTAATGACCGTTTCCGGTTGGCTAGCTCAACTTTATCCATTCATGCAGAAATGGAACTACAAACAACGTTATATTCTTCTTACAGCAAGACAGAATATACGTTATTTTTATGATTCATTCCGCTATCGACGTGCAGCAGAATCAAAGCTACCAGATTATCATAAAACATCGATGGTTGAAGATTGTTGTTATAATCGGAATAGTAAAACGTGTTGTCTACTTGATCATCATCATCAAAATAGTTGCTGTTCGGATGATTCTGGATGTTTTGATTTGAATGATAATCGAAATCATCAATATAATCATCCACCATCACGATCATCGTCAAGAATGGTGAAAGAATTGCATCATCAAAAATCTTCCTCATCACCCTCATCATCATCATCATCATCATCATCAGAATCGGCATCAGAAACCCCTAGTCATACTATCATGCATAAATCATCATCACAGACAGAAAATGATGAATGTGAAACTGAAGCGATACTACGAATGGAAGAAGAGGATATATTTCATCAATCAAATCATCATCAATTAGAACAATCATCTTCATCATCATCATCATCGAATAAATCATCTACAATAGATCTAATTGGTCATCAATTACAATCAACTAATATTAATAGTAAAAATGTTTCAAATATGAATCAGAATCGTTCTATAATCAATAACAGTAATGGTACTAATGATGGCGTTAGCGGAAGCGATGCATTGAGTCGTCATCATCACCAAAATAATCAACAACAACAAAATCATAATCAAATTCGTTCACATCCACATACGATTGCACGTCGTGCAGTTTATTGGTCAAATTATTCTTCAATGTCAACCTCTTCCGATGATTTATCATTAATTTCTTCCAGTACTAATAGTACTAATATTAGTAACTCGGGCATTAGCATTAGTGGTAATAATGGTGGTGTCAATGCATCAACAATTTTACGTCGTTTATCATTAATCAACAGTGCAAATCCAGCTATCAGTAATCTGGCAAGATATTCATATCGAGTTTAGTTTGATCATCAAATGGTCATTTTATATTATGAAATTTTTATTCCGTGATTGAAAAATATTGAGAAAATAATTAATTTATTTTATTTTAACAGTGAAAAAAATAATAATAATTATAATTACCATTAGAAATACATGCAGAGAAATACAATATATACCCTTCTGCTTTGAATTTGATTTGGATTTGAAACTAATACCATTATTTTTTGGAAAGCAAACAATGAAAAAATCAAAAAAGAAGAAAATCCTATCCCTATACACACACACACACACACACACCTAAATAATTGTATTTTTGCTATATTTACAAAAATTTTATCATTATTATCAGATGTAAGGTATACATATTTTTGGATTCTTTATTTACACAACCAAACAGATTATATATTCTGATGATCGATTTACAAAAGATTTTCGATTCATTTACATCTATATTTATTTATATATGATGATAATAATACATTTACAATCCTATTTTCAATCGATATGCCATTACAAACAGTATATGTGTAATATCACAAAAACAAAACAAAACAAACAAATATAATTTCGGCAAAACCACGAGTGTCTTTCTTTTTTCTCCACCTAAATGAATTTTTCCTATCGACAGGTATCTTATTTTTTTCCGTTGGTTTAAAAAAAAATTGTTAAACTTTATTGAATTTTGTTGATATTATAAAGTATAAGTGAATGACAGTGTGGTTGTATGCCTGTATTCTATATTTATTTTTATAAAAAGTTATTATTATTACACGATTGGATACCAACACACAATGTAATGAATCTGTGATTAATTTATGTGTAAAACACTGATTGAAATTGTATGATGATGTAAGATGTTTTTTTTGTTTGTTTGTTTGTTTGTTGTTCATCATTATTGTTGATCTGAAAAATTCATTTGATTCAATCAACAGGGAAAAAACGAATAATTTTTTTTTGTTAAATGGAATTTGTTTTATTCATCACATGTTTAGAATTATTTTAAAAACAATTATAGTTCATTAGGACAATATTAGATTTTCAAAAAAAAAAAAAAAAACAATACAACAACATGACCGACCAAATATAAATGAAACAATAGAAAAAAAACTAGGTCACTATCCTGAATAAAAAAAACTACCTTGAAATCATCATGGCCAATAAAAATAAAAGTTAGTCAGAACCATTGAATATTTTTAATGATTTTTTTTTCGTTCATTTCAAAAGAATATAACCGATTTTTTCATTATGAAACAAAATTATTTTCGATTTTTTTTCTTCCTCACATTTATTCATTTACAGAAAACAGAATTCAACTGACAAAAAAATAATAGATTTCATCATCACAAACATCAAAAAAACAACATATGAATAGAAAAATTTTCTGTGTAGTTGTGATATCATTCGATGTGGATAATTCACAATCAAATACATCAAAATTGTAACAGAATACGATGAATATAATAATAGAATCTATGATTGTAACAGTAGAATATTTTTCATTCGAAAATTTTACTTGATAATTTGTTATTATCAAAAATAATAATAAAAAAGAAAGAAAGAAACACTCAAACATTAATCGATTGACTAATGTAAATGTAGTAAAGCTAAAGAGAAATGATCTGAATTCATTTGATCGATAATATCGATGTTCTTATATATGACCAAACAATAACTTTCAAAAAACATTGTGAAATGAAATCAATTGCCTTTGACCTATCCCCAATTGAATATGATTCATTTGAAAATGACAATATTCAAAAAAAAATCCTGGAAAGGTAAACTTTTCATTCAAATGCTAAAAAAAAATAATGATAATGTCGATTGTTTGTTGTCAGGCAGACTGGCTGTGACTGTTTTTTTTCCATTTCCATCGAAACATTATTTTAGTTCCATATAAAATGTGAACAAGTGAAGCTTTAAAATTGAACTCTCATAAATCGAAACTTGCGTGCCATATTCGTTTTTTGAAAGTCATTGGTCGAGTGAAAAAATGGAACAAGGTAAAAAATTGAGAAATTGCAATGATATTTCTAGGGAAATAATAATAAAATAGAAAAATTCAAAATAATTTCAATTCTCCCAGTCTTAAATTGATTTTTATTTATTGTTTTAAAATATATAAAGGTTAAGAATAAAAGAAATTAATGAAAATGAAGCCACTTGAATGAAAAAAAATTCAAGCTTTTCGAGTTTCAGTATTATCAGAATCTTGATTAAACATTTTCACTTTGGATTTTGAATCAATTTTCAATGTACCAATATGAAATTGAAATCCCGTACCGGAAAAACGGTTAATTTTATTTGCAGTTCGTCGATTAGGTCGCTGGTGAAATTGGCAAACATTTTTATCTTCATCATCAGCATTTGGACAATCAATTTTAGAATCACAAATTTGGCTTATATCGATGCACATGCCAATAGTACCAGCACATGAATATTTTCCTGAACCACAACGATGACGATCTTCATCGTTATTATCATCATCATTATTATGATCATGATCACCATTAGTTGTTGTTTCTACGCTTGAATCGGTCGTACTGGTATATTTTCCCCAATCAAACGTTGTTCGTGTATGTTTGTCATAATCATAGGTTCCAGTGTGTTTTCCCCAATCGTACGTGGTTCGCGATGATTCATCACCACCTGCAGTTAAAGATTCACTTGAGGTTTCGATATGGATTGATGGCATGGCCATAACTGAGATGACCGTCATGGTCAATATCAATGAAACTGCTGATTTGATCATTTTCAGTATTTCAAAATTTTAAATGAGAAAAAAAAATTAGAAGGAGTAACAAATTATAAAATTATATGATTTTATATATTGGATGGATTGAATGATGACAATTTATGGACGAAATATTGAAATATAACTCATCAATCTCATTATTATGTTATCAAAACACTTGAAAAATCACTCATGATGTTTTAAACTTTGGCCATTTGTCAATCATTAATTAATAAAACTATCTAATCAGTGTTTTTTGGATCGATTTTGTTTTTTTTTTCTTTATTTGTGTCCGTACAGTGCATTTACCTGCAACCATTCAATATAATTAATTAAATATCGATTGCATCATAAATGTACCTTGGATTTCACCTTTACACCATTTTGATGATTGACCAATTGTTTTTTTATCTTAGGCAGTTATATATTTTCAAGTGTTTTTTTCGATTGACTTAAACAACAAATCCAGATTGCATTTAAATCCATTAGGTTTTACTTTCTATAAGTTTATTTAATGAATCGATTTTGCTTGATCCAACATATTTGTCTTGTAAATCTAATCATTCTTTTTTTTCAAAAAAATGTTTTCTTTCAAATCAATTGCAATTAGCTTGGCTTTAATAGTAGCTGAATTTTCTATCATTTCAGCCGCTTCGATTCCTGATGATTATTCTCCGCCACAATGTAATCAAGCTTATGCTTGTGGACGTAATTCAACATATCGTCGAATGATCTGTATTGAAGTAAATCAATTTTGTAATGGTAAAATCGATTGTCCAATGGGTGATGATGAAAACAATTCCGTCTGTGAATCAATCATTCAAATGCGACAACAATTGCAACGAAATGGTGGCTTTGAAAATGATTTCTCCGGTACTGGTTTCATGTTTTCTGTCAATAATATGATCATTGATGGTGGATCGAATGTTAAGATGTTCAATCAAAATTCCGATAATAATGTTCCAGCAGCTGATGAAAATAACCAAATTCTTGTCAAGAATTAATTTTTTTCCAATGAATGCTTTTTATTCATCAATAATTATATCGAAATATTCAAATAAAGAAACCTAATTTTTGCTATTACAACAATAATCAATCGACCAATCAATCAAATGAACAAATTTGTCATCAATGCACTGAGCCGATAGATAAAAACAAACAAATAAATTCATTATTGTTTGTCATGTGACAATTGTCATTGTCGTTTTGAAGATAGATTTCATTTTCGATTTCTAATACATTCAAATTCTATTCACTTTTTTGTTTACGTTTCTATTATTTGCTTTCATGGAAAATTGTTGACACAATTTTTACCAAACAGGAGACTAAGAATGAGAAAAAAACAATATATTTCAAATTAATTGAATTGGATCGATCGATTGAATGTAATGATCTCAACATGTGGTCATCAATGACGTCGTCATTGGTGGTGGTGATGTCGATCAAATCAAATTGGTATAAATGGGCGGACAATATAATTCTTTTCAATTTTCAAATTCGGAGATTCTTTTTGATTCTATTACATTCATGACTTCTATTGACAATCGGGCAATTGAAGCTTGATTGATTTTTGATTATTAGATGAAAAACAACGACCTCCTATTTCTATATTAACAAAATATTGATTCATTAGATATTGATTATTTGTTTATACAGCTTATTCGATATATTCACCTGTTGATAAATTTATTAAATATGAAACAGTGATTAAGGTAATCAAGATTCTACAAAACTGGCGCCAACATCCACGAATAAATCATTTTATCCATTGTGATTGAACATAAAACTTCAAAATGAATGCTCGTATTTCGATCTTTTTTTTTGCCGCATTTTTCACTTTAACCATGAATTGTTTTGCACAAAACATTGAAACAGTTCCACCTGAGCGATTGTTATCACATGAAAATACTGCCAAAATCGATGAGATGCAACAGCATGGTTTAAAATTACGAAAACGAATTTGTGAATTAGATGAAGATGAAGCTCGTTCATTGAATGATAAGATGAATGAATGTAATCGTTTGAATCATGTCTATCAAATTGAAGAATTATTAAAACAATGTCGACAACTTAAAGACATGTCTAAAGCACTCAACTATTTAGAATTCGAAAGACAAGAATGTCTTTATGAAGAATGTCATCTTGAGATTATGGCGTCTTCCGAATATAAACGAATCATGCAAGAATGGGAAAGATTATCACCTATGGAACGATTGAATCGAGATCATCAACGTTTTGTAAGTTTTAATTATCTATAATTTATTCCACTTGAAAATAACAAAATTTTTCCATTTGAATAGAAATGTGCAATTGAAGCTCTAGGAATCACTTCATCATAAACAATACAGCAACATAATTAATGGTTGAATTTTATTCTCGTGTGGAATAAACTACAGAATCTACATCAAATTCAACTTTTATGTAGTTCAATTCATGATAACAATAAATATTCATTTATAATGTATAAAATTATCTGGTTAAAGTCCAAATTATTCTCTTTGTTTGATCTGAATCGATCATCATATACAATGTGTATAATGAATCAATTTCTTGTTCATTGATAATACATGGATTACAATTTTGCAAATAAACATCAATTATATCACAGATTAATTCCCTGTGAATTGGTTCATTCCAAAACTTTAATAATAAATCAAAGAGATAGGCAGTAATTAAAGCAAAATGCTTTCCTGACCATTTAGATTTCTGTGTTGAAAATAATTCTGGTACAGATTTTAGCAACTTTAATTGATAATTTATAGTAGAGGTTGAAGATTCGTGATCGAAATGAGCCATTAAATTAGTAAATAATCGTTCCGATTCAATTAAATTGGATTTGATTAAATTATTAAGTAGGTTTCTTAAATTATTCATTTGTATGAGATCACATTTATCAATGATTATTTGTAACAAAAACTTGTGTATCAAGTCAAGATTTGATCCATGTTCATCTTCATTGTTGGAAAAGGAAATGACATCCTGGACATTCATAGATGATGCATGCAAGATGTCGATCAATTGGTTTCCGAATAAATGGACCATATATCTATGAAGAAAATTTGAATGAACCATCACTATTTGATCCATAATTTGATGGAGGGAATTTTCTGGATCGACAAAAGTTCCTAATTTTGAAATGAAATAGAATTAAAAACGTTTACCATGACAATTTTTTAATGATAATAATTATATATACTAACCGTATAGGATTCTGAATGTAGTTTGACGAACTATGGTATTCATCCGAAAATTGGTAGAATCAAATTTAAGTTTTGAATCTAAAAATTGTTTGTCTAATAAAAGATGTGATTGGTTAAATTGTATAAATGAAAGCGATTTTAATGAGAAACGGTCGATTCGTTGACGAAATAATTTTCTCATTAGTGAAACATTTTCGACACTTTGATAAACCAATACAACAATTGATAAATCGAATAATCTTCGATGAAGACCTGGATATGATCGTAATTTATCCATTGTTATAATTTGAAAGATAAGGTCAAAATTCTCTATGGCTTGATTAGCTCGTATCCAAAGTGTCCAGAAGCAATTTGATTTTGCTTTTGTCATATATTCAATTGGATTTTCTATCGTAATCTCTAAATTTTTGAGGATAAAATCAAATAACGGACTGTTATGATATTGATCAATATTTTCAACCATGAAATCAAAAAACCAAATGACAAAATTATCATCCCATTTTCGATGTTTGTCTTGGTCGATTTCGTTTGAATGATTACAATTATCTTGTCCATCAGTGGCAATAAAAAAAACTTTTTCAATCATTCGATAACATTGATTCGAAATGTAATCACTGATCAATGTGAACATTTTTGTTTTTGAAATTAAAATTGAATCTGATGTTTGAATGAAATGCATATAACATTGGCGTATTGAGTTCCATAATGTATTAAAAAATTCTTCAGATTCACCATCCTTTAATAAAGGTAACTGAAGTTGGTAGCATTGTTTCAAATGTAAAGCATATACTGTCAATTCAAGATCATGACAAATCTTGATGAATAAATCTAAATCAATAGAGAATTTACAACAGTCAAATAGTTCAAATACTGGTGTGAAATATTGCCGTATTTCATGACTAATGTCTTCGGTGTTTGTATTGAATAAAACTATAAAAACAGGAAAAACTTTAATAAAAATTGTAAAAATTTATGATTTATGATTAGGACTTACTTGAAGATAAAAAAATTTGTGTCAATTTGTAATCAATACGGCCAAAATTGAATGAATAATCGGGCGAAATTTGAAATGAATTTTTCACTATGTTTATTCGCAATAATTTCAAATGTTGGATGAAATTTTCATATTCATCATTGATGATTGGTGATCGATATGTAGAGAAAATGGTAGCCAATCTTGGCTTATCGATCGGATCAAAATCAAATTGTCTATTCATTTTATTTGAAAAAAAAGTTACATTCAAATTCAAAATCCAGCAATGGTAGCATGTGATCGAGGAATGGTCAACTAATAAAATTGACGCTAGATGACGCGTTTGTAGAATTAAATTAAATTGGAATTTTCAAATTTAATTCCTTTTTTGAAATTTTGGTTATTTATTTAGAAAGACTTTAATTAATAATCATCCGATTCAATGTCGACCGAATCAAATAATGTTGCTGAACTATTTTTGCTTTTGATATTTATTATGGCTTGGATTTTATCAATTATAATGCTAGCATTTAATGGCATCATTTCTTATGGAATTACCAAAGAACATCGAATATTTATTAAACAAGCATCTCAGGCATCAATTCGTCATGAAGTGCAGTCAGATCTTTTGCTTAATATTGGAATTCCATTGGAATCTTCTAAAGACAAATAAATAATTTTTTTTTTCATTGATGATCATTAAATTTATTGCACACACACACACACACACATACAAATAAATCAATTCAATAACCAAATTTTCTTATTTCTTCATCAGCTTTATCAAGAAACGGTTTCCATAATTTCATTACGTGATCAACGTCTTTTTCAGACCAATTATATTGTTGACCATAATCGTGCAACGTTAAACATTCATCGGGTACATGATGCGGATCAATTGAGCTATTACCACCGAGATATTTAGGTACATTATCTCGGTCAATATATTGAAAAATTTCATCATCATTACAAAATTTAAACATTTTTTCAATATCAGCCGGAATAATTTTTTTCAATTTATTCCAAATGGATGCTACAATCCAGGAAAAATTGTAAAGCATTATATAGTTCAAACCGGCCGGACAGCAACTGATTAGTTGTGTGATGCCCCATAAAGCGTAATCAATATCCAAATTATTCAGACCAATCGATTTCAGATCAACAATAATGGCCATACCTCGTCCTGAAGTTTTTTTATCCATAATCTCCATTTGAAAGCAAATAAATTGTTTAATTCTTTGATCAAGCTCTTTAATTTTACGATAAAAACGACAACGTTGGAAAACTACACCATTGCCTTGTCGATCGTAACCACCATTGAAAATGAATCCAATTTTGAATAATTCTCTGGGAAAATACGTACATTTTAATTCAGGCATATCCATTTCAAGGCGGAATTTGAGCACATTGTCCAGTAGCTGTGAACTTTTTTCTACCGTTTTTCCTCGTCGAATAAATCGTTCCACAGCCCAGTCATCAGTTCGTACATATTCGATGTCCTTTTCATGGTAAAGTTCTTCATTATGTTCATATTGCTCTAATATAATCGAGCGAACTTGTTGAATTTTTTGCTCAATACTTTCAGGCGAAGGTACCATGATTGTTTGTTTCACAGGCTTCTATTCACTTTCAATTTATATGGCCATCAAATACAATTTCTAATCAATGACATTTATAATGATTAGTGTAATCAAAATCCATACGTCAATTTGAATTCAGTCAGATGTCTAATCATGCTATCAAACAATCTGCTGTTTGTTTTCCTTCACAAATTTATCACATTAGTAACATTTTTTTCTATTTGTTTTTGATATAAAATTTGGCCATAGTAATGAAGATTAGAATTTTATTGAGTTTTATTGATACAGATGTATTAAACTATGATAAAGTTACATTGACAATAAGTTCCCAGCTATGATGGGTATTGGACACTATTGACAGATTGATGTATAGAATAAAGCTTTATTGATCAAGTATCGATCCCAGATATTCGATGATTACTGATAATTTTAGGAATGGTTTAAATACTAGATTACAATCAATTAGAAACATTCATCAGGTTATAACATTCATTAAATCAAAGTCCAACATTCCATTTAACAATCGTGTTTTGAATTTCAAATATTTCACGACAAGCTTTTAGCATCATTGTAAATCTTAATCTAACTAGAAAAATATGCGATTTGTTTTCAATGATAATATTTAGTTATTACTTTCAGTTAGATCCGGTTTCGTATCTTTCCAATTTTACCCGTTTAGTTTTAACGGATTCAACAAAAAAACCAGACATATTACACATTTTTGACATTTCAAATAGATTTTAATCAGAATTAAATTCAAATTTAATTATCAATCAAAAGAATTGAGAACAAATATTTGACAAAATGCCAAAGTAATTATAATTTCCATTTCATATATTGTTGTTTTCGGTGAGCATCAAAAGAATGGAAATTTAAAAAATCTTCTTCAGATTTCTCCTTTTTTCATTGATCCAATAATTTAATTTCATCTTCACATTTATCCAAATATGGCTTCCATATTTTTGTTATTTTATCGATATGTTTTTGTGGCCAACCTTTTTGTCGGCCAAATTCAGCTAGAGGTTGACAACCTTCCGGCACTAGAAAATGATTCAATCGACAATCGCCACCAAGAAATTTTGGTAAATTTTCTTTATCAACATAGTCGAATATTTCATCACCACTACAGAATTTCATTAAATGTGCCAAATCTTTTGGCAACAATGGTTTAACAAGATTCCATACAGTATTCATCATTCGTGGTAAATTATATATTAATACGTAATTAAGGCTGGCCGGACAATAATTTCCAAACGCTGCCATTCCCCAACGTGCGTAATCCATATCCATATTATCCATACCGATATTATTCAGATCAACAATAATTGCCATACCTTGTCTATTTGATTTCTTATCAACTTTATCCATTTGGTAGAGGACAAATTGTCGCCAAATCATATCCAATTCTTTGATTTTACGGTGGAATCGATAACGTATATACAAAACATCATTACCTTGTTTATCTTTGGTATAATCAAAAGCGATTCCCATCTTGAAATATTCAGCTGGAAAATTCACATCACTTATTTTTGATATGCCTAAGTTATTTCGAAATTTCATGGTATTGATCAACATTTCAGCACCTCCTTGTACCGTTTTTCGTCGTTCCAAATACCGTTCTACGATCCAATCATTGGTTTGCATTAATTCAATAAGATCTTCATCAAAAGATTCTTGATCATTTTCATAGGCTTCACGAACAATTAATCGAAATTCATTGATTTTAGATTGCACACTCATGTTGATAATGAATAATAAACTATATTGAACACTTGTAAATGAAGAAAAAAAATCGGTATTAAAAAATCTTAAAACAACGTAACCGGCTATATATTTTCGAGGTGACTATAAAAATGGCATGTACATTATTATCATGACTTTGATGATAATTATTTGTAATCATCAGTATCATTGATGATTGGCAACAAGTGTTTAAAGCGATAGCAATAATGACAAGAGCAACACAAACAATAATGTTATCATCCATAAATTTAAGCTAAAATGTTTGAATACCTTTTTTCACTGCTATGAATGCTATTCACTGCTTTGAATTCATGGACACGAAACACGTTCTTGAAATTTTTTTTTTCAAAATTTCATTTTACGTCATACATTTGATGAAAAACAAATAAATGTTATTTTTGTAACTATTCATTCTTATTTCTCTCTATAAAAGGATCTGTATCGAGTTTCTTTTTTTTGTGTTTTCAAAATTTTCGGATAAAATAAAAATCAATCAATTGTCATGGTGACTAATTTACAATTGGTCGTTTAAATTTGCTTTTAAATTAGAACAAAAAAAAAGTTACATACGCACATACGATTGAGCTCTAGAATGAAAATCGATAATCACTTGTTTTTTTTCAGGGCGGATGGGCGGTGGAGGATGGAAAAAAAGGAACAAAAAAAAAGATGGATAGATTAAGTGTTTTAATCCATATAAATTTTAACAAAATATATGATTGATGGAGATTGACATTTTATTACCTTATTAATTCCATCATCGATCAATGATCACATTGATACAAACATACCAATTGATGCAAAACTCGACATCGACATCCGTTATTTATAAATAAATCGAATATTGAACATTCTTCTTGAAAAATGTGCCCAAAATTATTTATTTGTTTAATTCTTTTCATCACCATTGTATTTATTTCAACCATCAATGCTAAATATCAACCATATAATAATAGTAAAATTAGTATCGGATGCGAAACGGACGATGGATTCATTTTTTTACGAATTGATGAACTGATAATTAACAACAATAAAATTGAATGGAACCAATTAGTTTATAATCGATCATCGTGTTCATCCGATCAGATTATCGAAAATAAAAAAGAAACGACTATTGAAAAATTACAGCTAAAATTTCAACCTGAAATTGAAATGGATTTTGAATTCATCAAGATCAACAATAATACATATAAAATGAGAAAATTTGGCTTAATGATGAACGAAACAATTTATGGAAAATGCATTTGATTTACGATTTGATCATAAATTAACTATCGATAAACAGGGCTACCAATGTGATGATCTTGTCAACAATTTGAAAATCAATGATACCAGTTCCTCCAATGATGATAATGATGAAGCGATTGTTCAATTCAAAAAATTCCAATTCGCCGCCTATCTTCATACAAAGAATATTACAGAAATTACATTTAAAGAATGCAACCCCTTACCTGGAAGTCAATTAGTACCTATTATTGTTGGCAGTGGTCTATTAGTTTTAATGGGCTTATGTTTGACCATTTATATTTTTATGCGATCACGATCATCATAAAAATGTATTCGAATAATAACGAATTTTTTTTTCATTATTAAATTATTCAATATTAATAAATAATGTAGTTATTATTATATTTTTTTCGTTAATTAATCCCGAATGTTTGTTCAATCAATAAAAAAAAAATTTTGTGACGCACATTTCTTATCAATTAAGATGCATTCTTTTTTTTATCATTTTGATCATCATTTTTTTAATTTTGCAGATCTTCAATCATTCAAATACACATGTCGTGTTGAATCAAATATATCATCATTTGATAAAATATGCTGATCATAATCAGAGAAAAAAAGATTAACACTACATCTTTTTGTAATTGGAAAACCGGATAATGGTCGATAAATCCATCACATGATTAGTCGGTAATCGATATTAAAAAAAAAATTGAAAGACTACTTGTCTTTTGAAAGACAAAAAAAAACATCTGTTGATTTTATTTTTAATGATAATGATGATGATAATTTTCCATTAATTAGTTTATGAATTTTAAATTTTAAAAATTTTCCCTTGACTTTCAATAGTTTTTTTTTTGATCACCTAATTGATTCTTGATGTGCATTTTTTTTTTTTGCTCATCAAGAATTAATTTCTGATGTAGAAAATTAATCAAATTTTTCACCAATTTACAAATGATAATGATAGATGGCATGATAATAGCTGAAAATCTGATATCAAATGAACAACAACAACAACAAAAAATTCAAACAACTCATGAAAGATTCGGATGAGAAAAAAATTAAACACCTTATTAAATGAAAACATTTCAAGGTTAATCATAGAAATAGAATTTATTAAATTCATACTAAAGAAAAGATGCAACCAATTGATTGATCATTTTAGACATTACAAAACAAAAAAAAACTTCAATTTTTTCACATTATCCTGGTTTCATGATTATGAAGAATTGGAAAAATTTCAAATTTTTAAAATCAATTTATTATTTTAAAAAGAATTTGCTTCACAGACATTGATAAAATTGTACAGAATATATGTTCGAATTGATAAAATTTAATCGTCTGATTGTAAAATTTTACTCTCTTCATCTGCTTCATCCAATAGTGGTTGAAAAATTTTCATAAATTTATTGATTTCTTTAAGTGTTTTTCCACGTTCTTGACCAATTTCCATTGATGATCGACAATTTTTAGGTACATGATGATAATTTAATCGACAAGTACCATCCAAATACATTGGTAGATTTTCACGATCGATATAATCAAAAATTTCATCTTCTTTACAAAATTTAATCTTGTTTCGTGTTTCGGCTGGTAACCAACCTTTGATTACATTCCATGCCGATTGAAATATCCATGTTAATTCATATACCAATATGTAATTGATACCGATAGGATAATAATTGAGCAATGAAGATACTAAAAACCAAATCATATCCATATCCATGTTCGATATACCAGCTCCTTTCATATCGAAAACGATACCTATACCATTACCATTGGTTATTCGATCCATTTTTTCCACATTAAAGAGAATAAATTGTTTGAATTCACGTTCCAATTCTTTAACCTTACGATGGAGTCGAATACGAAAATAAATCATACCATTGCCTTGTTTATCATTGGCATAACAGAACATTGTACCAATTTTATGAAATTCTTCTGGAAAATCGTCTTCCTTCAATCGAGGCATATCCATTTCATGACGAAATTTGAGAGTATTATCCAACATTTCTATCGATTCTTTCATGGTTTTTCGTCGACGAATAAATCTTTCGACAGTCCAATCATCGGTACGAACACGTTCAATATCACTTTCATCATATAATTCTTTATTCTTTTCATATTGTTTTTCAATATATTCACGAATTTCATTAATTTTTTCATCAAGATTTTCTATCACAGCCAATTGACTTCGAGTAGCTTCGGTTGCCATTATTAGCGGTCAAAGTAGATTATAGATAAACTGAATGATGAATAAAAGAAAATAATATAATAATATAGTCAATAATAATAACAACAAAGAAAATTAATAATCAAATATAATAATTATAAGTGTTACAATTTGAATTAATGAAGCAGTTGAAAGTAACGATTCATACAGTACAATAAAAATAAATATTAAAAAAATTTTTTTTTCTGTTTGCTTACAAATTTATTTATTTAGGCGAATCATACAGACAAAAGGATATAAACGAATATATGTAAAAACATTTTAAAATAGAGGTGGTCGTGGTCAAATAAACTGGCGGTAATTTTCCTTACACACATATACACATATGATAAATAATAAAATATTAAAAAATCATGTACGTATTCCATTCAACGTCATCAGTGACAATAAATTTTTTTTTTCGATGGTTATGACGATCACAACGTACACTTGAAACACTAGCATTCATAAGACCAACCAAAGTGTATATCCTGGTTATAAACGATTAAAAAATCGTAATGACGAATCGGTCGTTATTGGACAAAATGATTAAATCTAGCAGTAATAATCTCACTGTACATTGAAAAATATTTAAAATGTAAATGTTTTTTGATTGCTGGCGGTTTATGGGTGAATGGAGGGAAAAAACTATCATCAGCTAAACAAAAGTTGTAGACTTGTTTAATTTTTTTTTTTTTTAGCAGAAATTATTATTGCTGATAATTTATAATTTTGCTTTTTATCGATTGATAATAATCATAAAATCAATCAAAGTTGTATTGACGATCAAACATTTCTTTGACGTTTTTGGATGAATTAAACGATAAAATGCTTCAGGGTGTTTGCAAAGATATTTATATTTAATTAATTTGTTTGAAAATTCTTAGATCAAAAATTTTATGAGTTTTTTTTTACTAGATTAAATCGATGAAATGCAGAATTGAAAAAAAATAAAAAACGACTCAATTTTTTTTGTTGAGGGTAACTCCTTTTTCTTAAGAAATCAGGTTCCATTCAATAATGCAATGATTTTTTTTTACATTCATAATGACAAAAATATCGTTGAAAAGAAGGAAATATTTTGTGTACGCTTCATTTCATATTTAATAACGACAAACATTGTCGTAATCGAAAAAGGTTTTCCTTTCTTTCTTTTTTTTTAATTTTTATATATTTATTTCGTCATTTGAAAGTCAAGGGAATTTTTTTTGACCGTCATTTTTTTTTGTTTTTTGTTCATAAATAAAACTGCGTAGTTCCTTTTGTCGTCTATAAATATAATAATAATAATAATGTAAAGAAAATTCGATAAATTCAATTGTTGAGATAGTGATTGCATCAATCGAATCCAATAAATCGGGAAAAAAACTACAAAAAAGATGCTGAAGAAAAACAAAACAAATACGCAGTGGTAGCATATGATAATCGATTATGATGACTTCAAGAGATTCGAATACAAACACACACACACACAAACACTTAGATCAAATCAATTCAATTACATGATTATGATGATGATGATGATGATTTGAAGGTTGCTTGCAATAACTGATTAAACACATGTAAATAGATACATCTTTTGAATGCATGACCAAAAAAGCAATCATTGATAATATTGTTGATATTTTTTCCAATTTTTTTTGCGAATTCGAAAATAAGATATGAAAATGTCAATATATAACGAAAACAAATCTTATGATGATGATTTCAGTGATAGAAAAAAAATGGCAAAAAACCAAGACGAAAAATTTGGGAAACAAAAAATAAGAGATAAATAAATAAACAAACAAGAAACAATAATAAAGAAATTGAACTTTTAAATGTGAAAACAAGATTTCTGGATCGGTGAACAGTGCGACTGAACGAACGAACGAAAAAAGCCAGGCATCATGATATTGAATACCTGTTGAATTGTTAATATGGGACAATTGATCGGCCCAATTTCTCTTTGCTTTTTTTTCGTTCATTCACATTATTTTTTTGTGTTATCATATTACATCAATTTTTTTTAAAGCCCCATTTTGTTTTCACAAATTCATTTATTTATATTCGATTTGTCAATTTGAACATTTTCATTATCGTTTACTGGTGGTGGTGGTGGTTCTGCATCAGTGAATTTTTCTCATAACAATTTTCAACAATCAATAATTGGCAAACGATAATAAAAAAAATAGACTGAAACTTTCTTTCTCTATCTAAAATATCCATCAATAGCATTGGACCAATTTATTTTTATTGTTCAAAATCAAATTTCGTTTTTCAACAGTCATAATAAAATATTTAATGGGCTTTCGAATTTGAACAAATTGTTTCATTCATTCGAATAAACGAAATCACTTATAAAGAGATAAAAAACTGATAAAATGAATATTTAGAATCAATCCAGATATATGGAATCACTTTCAGGTGAGGTGTCACATGATCGTTCAATTAATTGTTGAGGATGAATAATATTATTATTCTCTGGTATGGTTGACAATTGATTACGATTCAATTGTGGCTGTCGTCGACGGATATCTGCGTGAGCAATGAAATTAAATAACAATTAATGAAATAAAATTTATATTAATTAAAAGATTGTCTTACTTTTGCGCTTATTTTTATCATTATTTTGATTATTACTAAATTCAATCAATCGATCAATAGCTTGTGATCCAATCTGATCGATACTATTCTTTTCGATCCATCGATATATTGGTAATAGATAACGTTTCATAATTAAACGTGAGCCATCAAAATGGCTAGAATAACACCAATAACCGAATAATAATCGTAATATATTGATGAATGGAATCGAATTCAATACGATATCTCCATAACGTTCGAATGGTATGAAAAATGCAAATACTGACCAATAGCTTAACCAACGAATTAATTCGGATTTATTTGCATTCGTATGGATAGCATGTATTGTTTGATATGATGGATAAAGATAGAAGATTAAATATGTTGAAAGCATAGAAAGATATGTTGTAGCCATTATCCAGAATATGGAAACAACGAATGCCTGTAGTATATATCGTTGAGGAATATTTAGACACTGTTCAATGTTCTCAATGATTCGTTGCAGCCACGGAATTCGGGGCAATAGACCAAATTGAATAAAATCTAATAATTTAAAATAAGTTTCCATTTTGTTTATTAAAACTTTTTTTTATGGAAAAATCAACAAATTTTCGACACAATTAAAAAAAAATGAAACCCGAATAATTTAGATTTATATACAGAAAATAACAATAACAACATAAAATTTAACAACAATTGATTGACTTTTGATAAAACCCACCAAGAAAATAAATTGAATTAAACATAAAAAATTAAAATTAATATATGAATCAACTACATTTTTTTACACACAAAAAAAAACAAGCTTGCTGTTTGTTTTTTTTCTTATTTTCTAATTCGAATGACTCATGATTAAGATTCAATAATCTCGGAAAATTTCTCCATATTATAAGCAAATGTTCTCGGTAAACACACAGTGGCTTTGATTATTTTTTGAATCCAGTTTTACCAACCCACGGATAATGTTTAGGACATTTTTGACAGGTTTTTAAGTATCTTGGTCCGTCACGATGTGATGTAGAACAAACTTTTGGTTGACGACAAGCTGGACGATCACTATAATCACATTGGAATGGTTGAAATGATTTGAGCCTTATTAATGGCGTTGGCTGCATCATCCATTGTAATAGCTGCCATTTTGTGACGAAATAGACGTCTTTATTTTTGCCAATATGATCAATAAATCGTAGGAATCCATTTTTATGATGTGCCGTATTAAACCATGCTGAATGAAAATAAAGTCCAAATGGTGCTTTATTCGAATGATAATGACGATTAAAGTTTTTCAATAGATTTTCAAATACACCATCTTCGGTTGACGGATGTGAACATGCATCGACCATTGAACAACGGCCGCCACGATGATCAATTAACATGACCATACCAACTTCCCAAAGTCCTATTGTTGTTTGTCAATAAATGAAAATTTTTTTCAGTTAATTAACATAAATAAAAAACAATAGGAAGAGTGTGTGTGCACACATGTCACTTACCAGGAAATGATTTACTTGGGCAAGGCGTAATCATACATTCATGATTCATTGCATAATCAAATGTATATGGCCAATATGGCGGATTATTTTCAAAAACAGGCAATGAAGAATCATATGTAAAATTTGCATCATAAAGCATTTCGTATTGTCGATTACCACCTGGTTGTAAAAATGGAGCCCGCATTCCTCTTACATCTTCATATTGAACACCACCATAAAGAGATAATATTTCACGTTGCCCATTAACTTCATTCAGCCATTTTTCTTTGGAAAATTTATCACCAAAGCTATGACTATATAGATATATAGAATCAATTAAAGAGTTAAGAATCAAGATAATTACAAAAAAAAATTCAAAAAAATTACGTGATTGTATGTGAAGCCATTTCATGGCCAACTGAATAAAGATTTTGTACTTGACTATAATCAGTCCATTCATGTGATACATAGAATGTACCAAGTATCGGACATCCGTTGGGATTAAATCGATTGGAAAAAATATCTTGATATAGATCCCAATTTAGTTCATTGATAGAATCATCGAATGTAATCATTACTAATTGTGCAATATCTTTCGGCTTTAAACCGGCTGGTATTGCTGATGAACCACAACGACAATAAGGCAAATGACATGATTCTTCCGTACAACGTTCAGCATTAGTTCTTCCTCCTCCTCTTGTCATAACTATATCCGTTTTGGAATTTTTTAAATTACTCAATGATGACGTTCGTAATTTATTTGTCATCTGTCGTCGAGATGGGGCGGGTGTTGTTGTTGATGTAACAACCGAATGAGAAGCAGCTATACCATAATTGTGATAGAAATGATCATCAGAGAAATCGTAATCGTAATTTGAAATAGGATGTCGATGATTGTCGTTGTAGTTTCTGTTAATGGCAGTTCTTGAAAATGAAGTTATTGAAATTGGTGCTGGTGTTGTTGTTGTCGTTGTCGTCCTTCTTGTTGTTGTTGTAGAAGTTGTATTTGTCATCAATGGAGTGGAAATAAATTGTTGTTGCGCAACAATCGCATTGTTTGTATTTGGCTTTCTTGGTGCCGACATCACCGGCCTTGCACCATATGATAAATCGAATGGTTGATTTCTGTTATGTTGATGATGATGAAAATTCATGGAAGTAACAGGCACATTTGTCCTTGGTGTTACGGCTGTTGAAAATTTTCTAGTTGTCGAATGTGTAATGAATGACTGAAATGGTTGATCATTGTTTAATGTAAATGACTGAGGCTGTAAATGTTCCGATGTAATTGTTGACAACGATTTGGCTTTATATCGACTTGTTAGATTAATTGGAGCACTATATGACCAATGATATGATGATGGTTTTGGTGCTGGTCGCCCAAAACTAGCTGATTGAATACGGAAATTTGGTGGGCTTTGAAAAGCCGATGAAATATTCGATGGAAGAAAATTGGGCAATGATCGTCGAAGATGTTTGGCAGCTGTGTTTGATTTAGAAATATCTAAAAATGAATGTAAATATTAAAATTCATAAATTTATCACAATCATCATAATGAATCATCACCATTTCGAAGAATATCAAATTCTTCATTTTCAGCAAATAGTGGACGAACTGCAAGGGTCAATTGGTTATTATCTACTCCGATCAATGGTGTTGCTTCAATTATATTGATTGTTGTTTCAGTGGATTGTGGTCGTGGATCTCGGATTTCATTATTTTCATTCGGAATGACGTTAACTCTATCTGTAACACTGTTATTAGTCCGGTTAGGAATGGGAATTGTAGGATTTGGCTTTAATTTCATATGTTTCAGTACAACTCGTTTACGTTTGGCTATAACCCTTCGATTGTGATGCTGACGATGGCGGGCGATCTTCATACGGCTTATCTGTAACATTGAAGGACCATAAAAATTTAGAAAAGATGGTGATGGTATTGCCGGTGACATTATATTAAGTGATGGCGAGACATATTTGGCTGTGACCATGGTTGCAGTTTTTTTGTTTTTGTCTTTTCCATCATCAACAACGCCATTTTCGTTGTCATTCGGAACGATGATTTCTTCATTACTTGTTATTAGATGATTTTGTGGTAAAATTATTTCTTGAAACGATGGTCGTCGTGATGATGTTATATTTGAATTTATTATTTGGCTAAGATGTTGACGATTATGATGATGAAGATGTGGACGTTTGAATTTTAATTTCCTATACGTAGGCGTTGTCATTACTACTAAATTTTCATTTTCGTTGTCAATGGAAGTGGTCGTAGACGGCTGACGACGTAATTGTAAATGTTTTGGAATTATGGATGCCGTAGTTGGTGGATTTGATGCTGGAATTTGTTGATTTTGACTGTTATTATTTATGATGAAACTATCACCTATTAATAATCGATTCCTTTCGACTAATATTATTGGCTGATATCTTGGGTGGTTTGATGATGAGCTACCTGAATACCGTCAAAATGTTCAAAAAAAATGATGAATTTTATTAATTCTTGTCATAATGAAACACACTCACCTATGGATGAATTTCTTATTTGTCTATGATCAACGGCCAATTTGGAATTGGTGGCTATATTTGAAATAATATGAATTATTCAAATATCATTATGAAAAAATAAAGAATAAATTTTTTAAAAATTCAATTTTGGAATCACACCTTTTTCAATTAAATTATCTCCTAAGAAATAGATCCAAAAAAAATTCAAGGACAACAAAAAAAACGCTATAGTCAACTACAAATCTCCACACATACATGGATTCATAATTTGATGAAATGATAATTTATATTTTGAAAGAGTACAAATGAAAATTTCATTGGTCAGACTATACAACTATACTTTATGATGATTAATACATTTGTATTTGGATTAAAATACGAATAGCATTCTGAGAATGTCAAAAAAAAACTGTGATATGAAACAACTTTTTTTCAAAAATCCAAAAAAACTAAAATTTTCATCCATTCATTGAAATTATGTTTTGTTTAAAAAATTCTTTTCACATCTATTACCATTTTTTTCTGTGTGTGTGTGTGTGTGTATGATTCATTTCACAATCATACAGACAAAAGCAATGGTGAAAAAGAGAAAAAAATCTGTTTTTTATCATTTAATTCAATTTTCAGTCATCATGGTCAAGCCAATAGGAGAGATGGGGAAAAAATGACCATTTCCATAATATGTAGGATTGAAAAAAAAATAGATTTTCTATTCAGTTTTCGCCTATGTCTGTCGAAATTTGTTTTTTTTGCTGTTGTTTGAATTTGTCGTTAGTTATCTATGTATATCAATGAAATAATTATCATTCGTATCTAAACTTATGATGATTATCATTATTATTTATACATATGTTGGTTAGTTTATCATGATTATTTAATTGAATGATTGATGGATAGATCGATTCGAATGCTGTGTAAACACAAACAACTACAAAAAAAACAAGCAGAAAGTTAAAGATCAAACATGACATGTTTTAAGTAAATAGGAAAACCCTTTAGGGTTGGGAATTTTTTTTTTTTTTTTTTTGACCACGAACTGAATAAAATTATTCAAAGTAAGAGATTGAAATATTTACATTATCTCATGAACACAAACAATGAAACATTGGAATCTTACGATTCTTAACAGCAAGCTTAAGTAATGTGATATTTGGAAACATCATCGGCCATTGATATTTTTCTTTTTTTTGAGGTGACAAGCGTCAATCTTGATTTGATTTGAATAATGTATACATTTGTACATTGAACACATACAGGGTTAACGTACGAAAATGGACAATTGAAAAAAAATTGCCTGTCAAAAAATCATGTATGTATAAATTGTCATGGTGTTCCAGTTCAAAACAAAACAAAAGACAAAAGCGGATGAAGAGTTCGAACACACAGTCATAGAGTTTGTTCAGGCCACTACCGAATCGATAAAGGGTAAACCCGAAACGGTTGGAATAAAACGTCATCATCAATTATTGCAGTAACACATGTGCTATACTAAATTGTGTAAATAAAATCCTTTCTTTTCGAATTATTTTCGGAAGGCCAAATCATTTGATTCCATCCAGTCAAATCAGTACACAAAGTCCTCCCTATCCTATCACACACACGCACACATACACACACACAAAATGGCCGACAAAGTGAAAGATAACCCGACCCCAGAAGAAATCAGCAAGTTGGACGAAGATATCGAAGACGTATACGATCAAGTTGAAAATGTAGTTGCTTTCTGCCCGACGGATCCATCCGCAAGCACCGTGAAAATTTATAATGAGAAAATTTTGCAAATCAAGAAAAGTAGTGCACGGGTCGCCAATAAAGCCGAGAAATGGGAATCGAAGGGATTGAAGAACATACGACAACGGAACCAACCAAGGAAGAAATGAATATATCAGTGTCAGCGCTAGAATATTTCAAACGTTCCAGAAACCAGCAAAACAAAAATGTCAAAAGAAACAAGAAGAAGATTGATGTTCCAGACGCCACAGGGCCTAACATTCAGAAACACACCGCCGGAAACGGACAATCAAACCGTCACTCCACAGATGCTGCAACAGGTCATGCAACGATTGCTGGAGACCTTTCAGAACTTACGCAAGTTGACAGATGATAAAACCTTGGTCATCAAGATATAACCAACTAAAGAAGGAACCACAACAACGAACGTTCCTAGAATTTGAATTCTTCAGTTTGGTATGGAACAAATTCCCAAAAGAAGTGGCTGAAAAATCGGGAGAAATGGCAGATGAGCCAGGGCGGATCCACAAATTTATGAAAGACGCTGAAAGCTATGTACAAAGCTGGCAAAAGACACTGGCCGCCCAAGAGTCCAGCAACCCGACCAACGAGACATCAAGAGTCAGACTGCACAACACGTCCGTGGACAACCACTACCAGTCCGAGAGAGAATCGGGGTTCCGAACAAATGCCTGGGGAGGTCCCTCTCTCAGACAGAAACCTATGGGGGAAGCTTGGCGAAACAATCGTGAACAAGGTTATAGACAACCCCAGCAACAAATGGCTACACCAGGACAATGGACAAGCAACCGATGGCAACAACAGCAACAGTACTTTGAAAACAGACGATTAGAATGCATGTTCTGTGGAAAACCTCATCTATCGAAAAATTGCCCTCTTACGACGAAACAAAGAAAACAAATATTGATAAAGGAAGGCAGGTGCATCAAATGTCTTGGCCGCACACATGAAACGAACCAGTGCATGTCCGTAAAGAAATGCTTCGAATGCGGGGGACCACATACCTATCTCGTTTGCGACCAGCCGAAAGCAACGACAAAACCCGACCATCAACAACAGACATCACAACAACCAGAACAGTCCGGCGAGAACGTCGTACCGACACGTCAGAATCAAGACAATCAAGACAACTTTGATCCATCACTGCTTGCTACCAATGTAAAAGAATCGAATGCTCCGGAAGGAGTACCATTGATGTGGACTCCTGGACTAACGAAGATAAAGGTCTTGATAAACAGCAAGCTTAAGTGTACAATTCATCATTGATTGATATTTTTCTTTTTTTTTCATATACACTATACTATCATTGGATTGTCGAATCTTGATTTGATTTGAATAATGTATACATTTGTACATTGAACACATACAGGGTAAGTCAAATAAAAAAATTGCCTGTCAAAAAAAAAATCATGTATGTATAAATTGTCATGAGTTCAAAACAAAACAAAACAAAAACAACTTATTTGTTCAGGCCAAAAACGTCAAAATTAATACACATGATGATCAATCGAAATACAAACAGAGTCAAACTTGTTATGAAAAAATTAAAAAGGGCAACAAACACGACAACAACAACAACAAAAACAAAAACAAAAACAAAAAAACAAAATTAGATCACCAATCGATGCTCATTTAAACCAATACGGCAAATATGGATAAAAAATTTTGTTACAAGAATTTTTTTTGTCATTAATAAATATATAATGACAGACCGTTAAAAAAAATAAGTTCCAGTATCGGATCTCATGTGAACATTCACAACTTGACGCTTCCGTGTCATCAAACAACGATTATGATATGAAAAAAAAGAAATCAAAAATAATTTGTTCATCATCAACATCATCATCATCACCACCATCTTCAACATAGATGGACATTGGATATTATCATTATCATCATAAACATACGAGCAACAAAATGTATAGAAAATAATATAAGGCAAGACTTTAGATTTACCGAAACGTATTCCATTTTCATCGAATATGATGATTTGTGTGAATTTTTTTTTTGCTGTTGCTTTCAAAAACACAATCATCGAAAACGAAAAAAAACGAGAAGAAAAAACATTGATTTAACAAGCAATGAGATGATAAGAAGAAATAAATTATGAACAAAAACAACCTAACTTGTTTATTGTCAGCAAAATGATGATGATGATGATGAGATCGCATGTCAGATTTTAATTATCATTAAATGAAAGAAAAAATCTTTAGTCTATCTTAAATATTGTATGATATCACACACACACACAAACAATCATAATGTTTGAATCTTTGAGAAAATAATGGCTACGAATAAAAGGAAAACATTGGAAAAGTGAAAGTGGAAATAGTGAAAGATTCATAATAATGTATGAATGGTCAGCTAAACAACGAAAAAAAATGACAAGATGATTATAGCCACAATGGTGATGAACGACTATTTTTTTTTTTTTTTTGATGTGTGTTGATCACAATCAAATTAGACATTCACATATGTATCGTCTTCCGATATGAATTGATCCATGTGCTATTCTTATGTGAATCTTATATATAGTTATTATTATCATAAATATTGGAATATATGAATGCAGACATGAAGAAGGTTGAAAAAACCCCATGCTTTAACGTTGATAATTCAATCGAATAAATCTGGCATTTTTTTTTCTTCACCTCGAACCGATAGTACGGAAACTAATAATAAATGATGATGATGATAAATTGTGTCCAACAAATAATAAAATATAATTGATTATGATTGATGAATGACAACAAACAAAAAAATGGTGAACAATAGAAAGATGGATGATGATTGCATATAATTTTTTTTCGAAAAGGAAAAAATCCAATTTTCAAGTAAAAAAAAAAAAAAATTGAAAAGAAACAGGCAAATGAAAGAAAAAAAATCAAAAGTTTGTATGTCAAGATCATATGGATTGTGGTGACAAAAAATTTTTCGTTTTTTCTTTTGAATGAAAAAAAAAACAAACATAAAAGACCACATTTTATTTGAATGAATTAATCATAATATATAAATATTGTTGACAATTGATTTCTGATAAAAAAAAATTTCATTAAAAAAGGATGTATACCTTGAAAATTCCATCGTTTTTTTTCTCGCTAATTGAATATAGAAGAAGAAGGTACAAGAGAAAAGTGGAGAAAAATCCTAATTTTATCTGAAAAGTGAATATTCGTGCCAATGTGATATTATGGTTTCTCATATACATTGGTATAAAAAAATTTCAAGATCACGACTCCTACCACTCTGTGTGAACATTATTAATCAATGAAAGATATACATAGCTATATTTAAACTAAATTTAGTCATCATCATAAATATTAAATGGATGAGTCAAAAAAAAAATCTTCATTATTGCAAAATCAAGGTGTAAAAATTAATTATACACTCACACCCATTACATATTATGATTTTATGGAAAAATTATAAAAAGCATCATCATCTACTCAGGTTAATCAACTATTGTTGTTTTTTTTTTTGTTGCTCATCACCATCACAATTGATGGAAAATAATCAATTCTAACAGCAAATAAACTTTTTTCGGTCAAAAGAAAAAAATTTTCAAAAACACAAAAACTAAATCAAAGTTCATAGTCTATTTTCCTCATTCATAAAACAAAAAAAAAATCGTATAGCACGAATTTCAATCAAAACACGATTATTCTAATAAATGATCATATTATGATGAACAAATGATTATATGGATCAAGTTATTACTATTGACAACAATTCAATGATGTAACATGATGATGATGATGATGATGACATGCAACAAGTAGGATGAATATGGATTTAAAAAAAAATCTTAAATATCAAAACATCATATAATCATTATAATCGAATCGGATAAACAACGGGAAAAAAAATTTCATTGCTCTTCATTTTTCATTTATATTATCATAAATGGATCGTTCATTGGCTAGTGCTCAATTGTAAATTCATGCGGTTATCATACGCAATGAGAAATATGGAAAAATCTTTCTAATAGATGAACAAGAGGATATGCTAACAATAACCGAATGCACCATATAAAGCTTTATATTAATGAAACAAGCAAAAACAAATGTACAAGACAAACAATAAAAAAAATGGTAAAGATGATATTGGTGAATGTTTATGATTTTTTTCCGCTTATAACATTGATCCTGAAATTAAAATTTTTTTTTTTATTGACCTTACTCACTCTTTCCCTCACTAATGTGTTCAATATATTTTCAAATAAAAAAAAAATTAACCGAATACAAAACAAAAACAAAAAAATTATGCCATTTTTTTCAATGATTCCTTCAGGGGAAACTATGATGACCTTATTGTAATTGCCATTTTATCATCATCATCATCAGAGATGATTAAAAAAGAAATAAAAGAAAAAAAAATCAATCAACTTTTTGGAGAAAAAAAAACATACAACCTTCTATAATAACAAGGAACAAAAACAAGGGACAAATAAACTTACCAAATGTAGTATGGATACAAAATCCAATGATGATTATGTTGGTGATGATTTTGATCATTGTGATGATATTATGGTGTTGGTTCAACGATGATGTTGATATTTCCGCATGTAAAATGAATTGACAATAAATTCAGGAAAAACAAAATTTACAATGAAAGTAAAAAAATTCAAATATTATAATGAATAATTTAGTATTGGGAAAAAATTATCAAATTAAAAATAATCATTATCGTTATCATCATAGTAGAATCGATTTTTTATTTCGTTTGATATGAATTGAAATCAGATTTATTCATTTTTTTCTTGAATTTTTATCAATGCAAATAAAGTGGATTAATCTATTTAACAAACAACAATGAATGAGAAAAGCCATGATTTGTCGAAATTGTAATCGACATTCTTCATGATGATGATGATGATGGTCATTGGTGGATGGGAATCGAAGAAAAAATAAATTGGAATGGATTATTTCATTTCATTTTCAATCGCGATATATACAATATATGCAAAGGTAACAAAAGCCGATTCGTGGAGAGAATATATAAGAAAAGTATATAAAATGAAAAATCAATACAAACGAAAGGCACCAATGTCGAAATGTGTTTTTTTTTCGGCTATAAAGGGAGAATGTATTTTCATATATGCACACACATTTACAATTAAACATTGAATCATGAACCATCTGAAGATATAAATGAAAGGAACATGATGATAATTTCTCTTTCATGATTTTCGATTTTTCTTTCTAACATCATCGTCCAAATGGCAAGCAAGGATTTCTCTTTTGCTCTTTTTTTTCTTCCAATTCCTTTTGGATCAGTGTTTTGTTGTTTTGAGTCGCTTTTTTCACAATTAAACAGGTTTCATTCATTCAATGCATACATGTATTATACATACACGAGCAGTGCGAATCGTATTAAATAATCAATAAAAAAATAAGTTCAAGAAATTATCGGTTGACAATTATCGGATGATGATGATGATGATAAAAAATATGAGATTAAATAAATTTTAATTTGAATTCATACATTGTCCATTTGGAAAAAATCATTCAATACAATGTTTTTAATATTTGAAAGCGGATCAACTAAACTTGATGGTTGTAATAAAGATTGTCGACATTCACGCAAATTTTTATGCTGAGATTTTTTTTCTCATCCATGATGGTTTTGCGTTTTTTTTTTGATCGATCGCGTGCATAGTTAATGAATGATATTCACATCACATCATTCACAGCAAAGTTTATTTTATCTTTTTGTTTAGTGGATCATTGATAATCAAATCAATCAAATCAAAATAAATTTAATCATTAAAAAATCACAAATCAATGTTATGATTTATCGAATATATTTGAAAAATAACCAAAATTCGAAATGGACATCATTAGATAACGTAACAAATTTTCATTTATTCAATTCAAATGAACAAAAATTTTTTCTGCTATTGTTTCTGTTGACATTACATCACAATTTTGTATCAACACTTTTTGCCTAATTTTTACGAGCAAAAAATCCTTTTTTTTCACAAAACTCAATGATGCATGATGTTGAACTGATTTCGTACATAATTATCATTATAAAATTTTATTCAATCTAATAATAAAAAAATATGGCCAAAAATAGCGTTTTTTAATCAGAATCACTACCCGAATAATCACATAGTGATGTGATGACATTAGATTTCGTCGAATTTGATGTATTGTTCTTTGATTGTAGTTGATCATCATCATCATCATCATCGTCAACTTTCACTTTTTTTTTGACAACTATCATTTTTTGTATTAGCTTTCGTTTATTTTTATTGTTGATTGATTTGATTTGGTCTTCATGGCTTGTTGTTGCTGTTGCCAAAATATCCGTACAAATTGGCCTTTGTTGTTCATTTTGAATCGATGATATTTCATTGCAAGAAGATGAATTCGGTTCTGTTTCATCAAACTCTTCAATGACTTCTTCACTTTCGCCATGCTCATCAGTACAGTCAGTTTCTTTATGGTGAAAGATTAATTTGATGAACATTTCATCTTCGGCTTCTTGTCGTTTTAATTCCTGTTCTAAATCTTCTTTCTTTTTCCGCAATAATTCATCATAATTGATGGCCACTTCACGTTGATTCATTTCTTTTATGTCTTCAAGGGCTTCAAGATTTTCCATTTCTCGACGTGATGCTTTCGTTCGATTCTCCAACATTTTCATTGGATTTAATCGTTCTTCTTCTTCTTTTTCTTTCTGCTCTTCGATCGCTTGTTGTTCGGCCAATTTTAAAGCTTTAAAATTAGGTGTGGCACCATGTTCGACAGTATAGTCATAGCTTTTAGGGTCCGTTTTAAATGTTATTTCCTGCATACATCGTGGACATTTAAAATAGAAACGAAATACTTTTAGGCCAAGATATTCTTCATTATCAACCGTTTCTTTGCGAGCATTAAATTTTTTTCCACGTGCAATATAATCTCCACAGGTGTTACATCGCATATTACATGGTGCCATAATTCGTACGGTGTATTGGCGATTTTTAGGCAGACGTAAACGTGGGATTTTCGATGGGTCAAAATCAGGTGGATAATATTTCTTTTTATGGAAAAATTCAATGATTAATACAAATTCGATAAAATTAAAAATTTTACTTACATTTAAAACTTTTCTTTCAGACATTTTGCTTTCAAATTAATTTGAAATTATCATGAAAATAATCAAAATTAGCGCATTATAATAGATCATAGTTTCTAAAATTCTTCCAAAACCATCAGCTGTTTTACATGACGCAAAAACAAATCGATTGTTCACAATCGATAGTGAACTAATTCGTCAACATGTGAAAGTTTTGATGAATTGAAAATCTTTCAAAATTTTTTTCATTATTATTTCGCGTTAATTACCGTCCTTTAAATTGACAATTAGTATATCGAATAAGATGGCCAATAATATAGTACAATATGTCATTGTAAGAGGTGATTTAAAATGGCCAACCGGTGCTCTAATTGGTTTGTATTCGATTCTTTCACTTTGATTTGATCTGATTTTTTAATAAATGAATCTTTTTTGTTTTGTTTCCTATATTGGATGATAATAATCTATAATTAAAATCTGTTTATTTTAGGTCAAGGTTGTCATGCATCAGTAGCTGCTGTTTACAAATATTTGAATGAGCCAGAAACTATAGAATATATGGCTAATTTGGATCGTATGACTAAATTGGTTTTAAAAGCCGAATCCGAAGAACAAATATTAAAAACAAGTGGATTGTTGACGGCCAGCAAAATAAAACACTACGTGTGGCGTGAACAGCCTGAAAATTTTGTTACATCATTGGCAACGGCGCCTTATGACCGGGATATTCTTCGACCATTGCTAAAAGACTATAAACTTTTTCGTTGATTTAGAAAAATGTTTTTTTTATTAAAATTCAATTATGAAAAAAAGATTATTATATCAGTATAATTATAACATTGATTGATACAATTAAGCTTTATTCATTGATGCTTGTTCAAAATATGGTGGTGGTGGACAATTTGCTGTTCCTTGAGAGATACAGGCATTGGAAAATTCGTTGGGATGAAACCTGGTGGGGCCGGTGGTGCTTGTGTAGGAGGATATGGATTTACTCCCACAGGATTGATCAAAAACGAATTGTTGATCATTTGTGGTTGTGGCTGTTGATTTTGTCTTCGATTTATAACAACTACATTCGCAGCTGCTCGTCGTCTTCGATTCAATTGAGAAATTTTACAACAAAGAATGATGAAAAATATCAAAAATCCGATTGGTATAGCGGTAAATAAGAATGATGCCAGAACTCCAACACCATCATCGTCAAACGCCATGGATGGGTTAAAAGCCATCAACATCATCATCACGATGATTGATGAAAATTTTGCTGAATATCCCATTATATATCTAGGTTGATTTAATTTCAAAACAATTGATATAGAGTAGAAAAATTTTAACTCAAAATAATGTTATTTTGATTGAGTTAAATTGATGATTAATGTTATTGACAAAAATAAATGTAAAAAAAATGTATAAAGATTACGTCTTTGTTGCCAATGGTTACAATAGATAAGTGATTTCTTTTTTATTTTTAGTGAATTTTTGATTACGTAATTCTTGATCAAATCAAAATATTAATGTGGATTGTTCAAAACTCATTGAGTTTGTATTATAAAAAAACTTTATACGTTTTTCAAATATCACGTGTTCACAAGTGATAGTTTAAAATGAAAAAGGAACCGAACATTTTTATGATGGCATTCGTATTTACAAGATGACTCAAATGAGCCTTTCATATAGTGTGCTACGAGCTACTACTTTAGGATATAATAAACGTTAATTTTGATTTATTTATTTATTTGATAAGCAAAAACAATGATGAAATTTATAGACTTAATTTGTGAGAAAAATAAAATAAAATTATCAACAAAAAAAATGTCATCATCAAAATCTTGATGATATGGATTGTTGTTTATTGTTGTTATGATATTCATTATTGTTTGATGGATAATTATTTGGAAAAATATAACTATATGGCCGCTCCATAATGTGATTATTGTTGTTACCATCATCATCTGTCATATCATAATCGGGTGTAGCCGTACTAGTTGATCGTATCGATAATTTAATTAATTTTGGTCGTGGTATTTGAAATGGCTGATCCAATCCTCCATACAAACTATAATGATCATCAATTTGATTGTTTAACTGATGAATAGATTTACCCATCACATTTTTCAATGATAATCGCCGCAGATGAAGATTGTTACAATATGATTCTTCATTCGATGTTTGGTGATGTTGTTGTTCACTATTTGGATTATTCGAAATTTTCGTCATTTGTTTTGAACGAACAAAGTGTTTCCATAATGATGATATAAACCAAATTGTTATGGAAATAAACATTAGGCCAATGATTATTATTGTGGCCAAAATGATAAAATCAAATGAGTTCATTTTATCATATGAAACTATGAGAATTTGAATGGTTGTAAAACTATGAAAAAATTCGCAATTGCAACAACAATTTTGATTGCTACAGTTAGTGTCACTGATGAAATCATATCATCATCATCATTAATTAATTGTAAGTATAAAAAATCATCCTTTCAAATAACAAATTTTTTTTATTTAATTTGTAACTATAGCAATTAACAGGTATTTAATCGATAATAACAACAGCAACCAAAAAGATTAATGTATTACCTGGACCACATTTTGATCAATTCCATAAGACTTGTGAAATGATAAATTCATTTCGATTATTGAAAATTTCAAAGTTATCTTGTTTAAATCATTTCTCCATGTGGCTGTATTATTTGAACAGGATATTTTGGTGCTCGTGTTTCACAACAACAATGATAACATCCAATACAAGCAAAACAATAAATAACACAATTTAAGATGCTTCCGAGGATGACGACCAATAAAAATAATGTGCCTTCAAGCACCAATCCATCATGTTTCGATGTATGATTGAATGACTATGAAGCAAAAAAAAAAAAAAATATGAATGAAAACCTATTCAAATTATATTCAATATATCGAGTCATACCACATCTTGACAGATATAATTTTCACATATTTGAAAACCTGGACATTTGGAATCATCATGACAAAAATTTTCTCGGGCTTGTATTGGTGGATTTGATGCTACCAAATGAATAAAGTTTACTAAACAAGTCAAGGAAATTGAAATTAATTTCACTTTCATCATGATAATTTAATAGAGGAAATATCTGCGTAAAGTAAAATATTTAAATGGTTATGATGATGGATTTTATCTTTAAAATGAATGGATGGATTAAAGTTGATTATTGATATTGCCTTACTCTTTCAAATCAATAATATATACAATTTGATTCTTATCAGAAATTTTACAAAATCTGGAATCAATTTGTTCCTGTTTCCATGGAATTTAGAAGCCACTTATTATTTACATAAGTTTACTACAACTCACAAGAATGGTAAGTGTTTTGATATTATTCCAATTTTGTTGAAAATAAACATTTAATTAGCAAATTTTTTTTCATCATCATTAATCTTCGATGAAATTGCCTATCAAACAAAAACAACAACAACAACAATTCATACCAACTTTATGAGAATTTATGAAGTTTTTTTTTATTATCAATTATATCTAGTAAATGTAAAATGAATTGGTGAAATTTTTCAAAAAAAATATATGTACATTTATCAAAAAATAGATATGAAAATCAAAATAATTTGACATAGTCAAAAAAAAAAAAAAAAAAAAACATATTCACTGTAACAAAATCATGATTCAAAGATATTCACTTTTGATTTTATAGGTACTTTTCCATATCTCACATAGGCTTACAGTTGAATGAAAACGATAAAATATAGTTAATGGTGTTGTCACGTGTGTAATTATTGTCCAGGCCCAGAAACTTTTGGAAAATTAAATTTAAAAAAAAAATTAATGAAAATATTTGAATATTTTCCATTGAATTATTACCCATAGAATGACATTTGAACCGGATTTGAATCGGCACGTCTTGTTTCCAATGTATTTATGGCCCACATGGAAAAATTACAGACCAATAAAAATGTAACCATTTCACGTCCCGGTTTTCGTCGTACTTGATCGATTGTCGATGCTTTTCTTTTGGATGCATCCAATATAAATATTGATTGCAATAATGCTTGTATAAGACAAGCGAATGCATTTATCAATACTAATCGGGTATTTTGTAATTGATTTATAAATTGTGCACCGATTATCGAAAACATTGTGAATATACAAAGGCCCGATTGTGCAATGATGAGCAAAATATTGTCCAATTCGACTCCACGATTACGATTATAATTTAATTCACGAACCTGAAACAATGCAATCAACGATGCAATGGCCGTTATACAATAAATGATCAATTCGACGATATGTGCCTGTAGAACGGCCAAATTTCTGTATTGATGTTTTTTGATGAAAACAAAAAATAGTATCAACGATATGATACACATAACCATTAAGAAAATCCCGGTGAATAGACCTTTATGAGCTTTTGCACAGTCGACCTGATAATTGTTCAAATATTAATTTGACTCAGTAAAAAGACGTTGCTACTTACCTGATAATGATGACGATGATGCACGAAAGTGGTCGTTTTGTTGAAATTCGAATATTTCGGACTATTCTTATGTTTTTCACTTCTAGAATAAAAACAATTAGATTATTCAAAATGATTTTTGAATTAGCCAAAATATTACATTTCACTTATATTCTTCCACATGATGTATAGAATGGCAGCACAAATTAAACTGTATTCGATGGTACAAGGAAATAGAAATTGTGATGCGTCAGTCACCAATTCTCCAATGACATTTGATCGTCGACAATGACCAGTGGTGATGACATAATGATCATTCAAACTTCGAACAGTCCGATGTATTTCGAAAGTGGATGTAGCCATCGTTGTCGTTGACGATGTTAATGGCATTGATGTAGTTGTCAATGTTTTTGAAGCACTGAGCAACATTGATGGTAGATTATTATTATTATTGGTCCGATGTAATACCGGATAGGAGCCGACTGAATCAAGATAATCTTCTGATATTTCTTCAACAACATCATCAACATGGTCCCATGCGTTTGTTAGATCAGAACCGATGATTTCATGTGTTCCGTTCACCTGTACCATGACCATAATTTGATGTTTAGTTTCCTGAATGAGTACATGAAGCCATACGCAAATGTTTGTAGCAATCATGTGCATCAATCCAAATCTAGCTAAAATAAAATCCACATCAATCAATGTATCAATTGTTGCAACTTACCAATGAGCTTATGTCTTGCAATCAACACCCGAGAATTCATAAATATAAAATAAAGCTGTATGAATGTGAAAATCATATGTGAACTAGGTGTAAATCCATATATAAATGAATAACAATGTTCTTTTGATTCTAATTCAAAAAATTGCCCAAATTCAAGACCAGAATAAATCATTGATCCAACACCGAATGCAACGGCACCTACACGTAAATAGAATGAACCACATTGTGCTTGTTGTTGTGGATCAAATTCATAATGTTCTTCATCTATTGAATTATCTGTTGCATCGTGTGTATCATTATTGTGACCGATGCCAGTACCACCATCGTTATTTTTTTCACGAATCGTATTACGTACCATAATAGCCGAAATGGAACGACGAAATTTGGCAAATGGTTTACGTTTACGATTCAACAAGAATATGTAGACAAATATGAGAAATAATATGGAACCCATATAAAGATATAGATAAAATCCTTCATACCAACTTATAGGTATTCGATGTGATATTACTTCGGCGATTGGAAAACATAAACCTGTAAAATGAAATAGCAAAACCATAGGCATGACCAGAATTAAAGAATTGAATTTATAAAATAAATGATCATAACTTACCAATCACAACTAGAATTTTACAATAGATAGCGCTCAATAATGATACGATCCCATCGATTGGATCGAGATTTGGATCAGAATTATTAATCGAATTCAATAGATTATTATCATTATGGTGAACAATATTATTTTTAAGAATATTACTACTGCCACTATCGATAAGATCATTATCCACAATGTTGTTTGAATGCAGATGGCTTTGATTGTTTGGTGTGGCCAATGATTTCATCTCGATAAAACTGTTTTGTACACTTGGTGAACAATAAAATTGATTTGTTGATCCAACACCAAACATGTCGGCCATTCGAAGATTCAAACCTTCGATTTTATCGCGGGAAATATTCCTATTCAGATTGATACGTTGATCAATAGGATTTTCCTCTTTTGCGATTTGAATTTTTACGTTTTGAACTTTTAAATCATTTAGAAATGTAGCTTCACGTACACTGTTGGTTGTAGTTGAACCTAAATCATCATAAGAATAAAAAGAATGAAAAGTTTTAGCATTAATTCTAACCGTAAAAGAATGAAAAATTGAAACTTTCTTCCAATTGAATTTACATGAAATAATTAATTTTTTCAATAAATCAATTTTAGAATTTTTTTTTGCAATAAAACGAGAGAAATTGTCGATTAAATTTTTTATGCTCAGAATAAAATTCCATAATTCAACAGGAAAATTGATCGCAGAAACGAGCAGAGTGAAAATGAATAAAAATGGAAAAAAGGGCAAACGACAAAATCCAACATCATCATCACCATCATCATCATCATCAAAAGAAGACAAAAACAATCCACAAAGATTGTTACCAAATCAGATGATGATTTACCATCATGGAGATCGGAATCATTTTCAGATATACCGAAATCCTATGATTCACCTAGTTTTTCTCACACAGAAAAACCAATGTCAAAAATAAGTCCATTAATAAAAACAAAAAAAGAAAAATCAATAACATCGAAATCATTGTCAATGAAGAATAATCGAAAACCGGTGACTACCAAATTACGACCAATCATATCGAAAACTAAATTAAAACATGGTGATAAGAAACGTGATACCCAGCCATTATCACCATCATCAAAAACAAAACAAATTAAGAAAAAAAACAAAGATACTAATAAAATAAAAGAATTAAAGGTGAAAACAATAACGAAGAAAGAAAAAATTTCCGAAACAAAGATAATACCAAAATCTGTGTATGAAAAAGCAATCAGTAAACAAGTGAAACGTTTGACGACTCGAAGCGGTAAGTTTTCAAATTTCAATGTAGTGTAGTAATAGCTTTCATAAATTTTATTTATGATATAGAATTAAATGCTATCGCTAATTTATGTTTGAAATTAATGAGATATACGCCCAAATCGAATAATGATTCAATGGAAAAAAGGACAAAATTGTATCAATCTCCTCTGATTAAAGGATATCAGATCGTTGAAGCAACAACAACGACAGAACCAGGAAAGATAACAGAAGCTATTAAACGTGACATTACTACACTGAAAATTCATATAACTGAAACAGTACCTAAACAAATACCTGAAGATGTAACAAAAGTCCAAAATCTTGAACAAACGATGACTGAAGAACTTCCTAAAATCATATGGCAGCTCAAAGATGAGGAAAAACAATTAAAAGTCTTCGATCCATTTGGTGAAAGAACTTCTCTATACTATCATCGACTTGAAGATTATGGAAATCTAAAGGAATTAGATACATCATCAGGTGGATTGGCAATTCGTTATAATCCATATCTTGATTGTCGACCTATATATCAACAATATGATCAACAAAACCTAGATTCGATAATTGAAATAATACCGGGATTAATCAATGATGAAATGGAAGAAACTTATATCACACCGATATCGATAGTTGATCTAAGAAAACGATCACCACCATCTTTAGAGCCAGTATCATCTTACATACAACCAACTTTCAAATGGATTGTAGCACCAACAATGGTTGATACAACAAACTCCATAAATGTCATCTATGATGATGATATAGGAAAAAAAGAAGGCACACAAATGTCTGCTTTTGGTGAACGAGATTCATTATTCTATCGAAGTCCATACAGTTATCCTATTTATGATCATTATGATGATATAAAAATTTCGTTCAATCCTTATATAAGAGGCACATCATTCTATAAGTACTACAATCTAGGTGGTAAGTGTGAATAAGACAATAATTATTTAATGTTTCATGGTTAAATATTTTTCTTGGTTTGAATTCAGAATTGGATACAATGATTGAGATTATTCCAGGAACATCTAACAATCATTATGATGATGACATTGATGGTGTTGTTGGCGGTGTATGTGTTGCTGGTCGAAAAATAAATTACTTTCAACAAAGTTTAACAAAATTTCAAAATACAACCACCACTCCTAAAGTTTTTCAACCAATGATGGTTCCTAGAAAACCGCCACCGCTACCACCACCACAACAGCAACAAAAACAACAATACCAATCATTGGGAAAAATTATATTTAAAGATATAGAAAAAAAGTTTACATCACCTATGAAACAATCGCCACCTTTTAAGTCTCCATCGCCTTTATCGACGATGATGAAGAATAAGACTGAAACATCAACCAATGAAGTGATGACAGTGGAAATAATTATTGAACCATTAGAATCAAAACAATTATCTTCAACATCAACAACAAAGGATACATTGAAATCAAAATAATTGTTAACATAACATTAATACTATACAAATGATATCGGAATATGAATTCTATTGATTCATGTTTATAATAATAATAATAATTTTAATGGTCATTCATGTTCTAATTCTAAATTTAATAAAAACTACAACTATAAATAAATGTAATGTAATAAAATTTTTGAATAATAATAATACGATGGGGAACCTATAGGGAATCCAGGAATTTTTTGGTTTTTGTGATATCAGAAAAAAAATCGAAAAGGCAAAAACCACACAAATGAATGAAAATTCTAATAAACATGATGGATTATCTATGGTTGTGAAAAATTCCATGGTCAATGACAGGTCATCGATTGATTCAATGAAAAATAAAGTACAATCCTATTTGAGGGAGATCAATAAAAGGATTCCGTATCAAGGTTTTCTTATCTATCGAAATCCAACATCAAAAATTTCGATCGAACAACCAGAACAAAAATTTAAATCGAAAGAAGAACGCCCAACAATACAATCAATTTCGTTGGGCGAAAAATTTGGTAGTAAAATTTTTTCACGTCCAACAACTTTATCCGTCGCCCAAATGATTCATGACAATGAATACGAAATTAAGCCCAACAACAATATCACGATCGACAATAAGCCCGAAAAGATTCGAAACAATTTGAAAAATTACTTTCACACACCGACAAAACGTCCAGAATGTTCATCAGCACCATCATCATATTCCAATGTTGAAAGTACAACGCCAACGATGGCAACAACAGTTCCAAAAACAAAAATCTCAAACGATTTTGCTGAAAATAGCTACAAATTCGCTGTCAATTATAAAAAATGAATTAAATGAGAAAAAATCAACATCATCATCTTCATCATAAATGATGAGAGGAAATGTCAATCAATTTTAATAATAATGTAAACATCATTATCATCATTATGATAAAACAATTTTAATGTTGAAAAATATATCAATATATCGATGGTATATATTTTATGAAATATCATCATCGTGATGATCATCATCAAATATTGATTATATACGATAATGATTAATAATTATTCTGTGAAAACAAAAAAAAAGGAAATTGAATTCTTTTCTCATATAGAAAGAATCAATCAAACCAAAACGGAATAATAAAACAAATTAGATATATAAAAAAAACTTACTACTACGTCGTCGTTGTTCAAACATAGTTGATGGTGATGGTGGTAATATGGTTGATGGTTGATGTATGATCGCTGATGATACACCAATGATTGTTGATTCTGAAGATCTAATTGGCGTTGATGTCTTAGTTGTCAATTTTTGTCGTTGTTGTTGTTGTTGTTGATGATGATGTATAACAGGCGTTAAAATTTGCATGGAATTTTCTGACATTGACTGCTGATATTGTTGTTGTTGATTGCTATTATTATCGTCTTGTCGTTTAAATGTAACCATCATCATTATGATGATCAAATCGAAAATAGCCAAAAAAAATAAAAATAAAAATAGGCTACAAATGAAGTTTTTTTTCTTTAAATATACTCAACACATAAAAAGTGATCAAAGTTGGTAGATCGCTATCGATAAAAGTCAAAAGTTCCATCAAATTTGTTTGTATAGAATGTTTTTTTTTTAATTTCACTCAATTCTATCAACATCATCACATGTCATCATCATCATCATGTATATATGTGGACTATATTGGAAAGAAACACAGTGGACTGATTGACAAAAAAAAAGCAATCCTCAATATATACATAAGGCCTATAGGCATGTAAATAATAATTGTCACTAACCATATGTATATACAAACATAAACATATCATCATCATCATCATCATCATACAATCAATTTCATCATCTTCGCAATGGCATAAACTATTTCAACAACAAAGAAAGTAAAATATTATAAAATTCACGAGTTTGAGCTCTTTTTTTTCTCAAATTGATGGATTTACTCTGAACAAATATGTACACAGCATAAAATCCATTCGACTCTGTTTGCTGAATGTGTGTGTGTGTATGTGGCGATTGTTGGATATAAAATAAAATAATTTTTTTTAACCAAAAAATGTATCGATTAAATTTGCATCTACTTTAAACAATAAATAATAATAAATATATTGTTGACAACAGAAATAAAGTTTATTGAGAACAAATATTGATGATTAAAAATCGAATCAATCAAAAATATTATAATATGATCAATATACATGATGATGATGATTATGATGATGATGATAATAATGATGTTAACACTGATGATGATAATGTTGATAATGATGAAATGATTGATGCCAGGATATTATTATAAACGATCAATATTCATATGGAATGTTGAAAAAATTCAAAATAAACACTTTTTTTTGATATAATCAAAAATTTTGGCGAAAGAAATCAATCATTTTTTTTTGTCTTATGAAAGACATAGACAACTCCAATATAAAGAGCTTCATTGAGCTTATTTTCATTTTGTTTTAATATATTGATATATATGAAATGAAATGATTGGTGGGTGGGTGGTTGGTTGGTTGGTTAGATTAATTGTATATGTGAACTTTGATTGACAAATTTCATTTTTTGGTTTTTCAAATCATTCACATGTTATTGATTATTTGATTTTATATTTTTCTTTTGGCTGTTGTTGTTGTTGTTGTTGTTGTTGTTATTGTTATTGCTGACGATATCTAATCCACATATATATCATTATGAATTGATGACAAATAAAAAACGGAAAGATTGTATGTCAAAAATTACTTTCTGTTTTTTTTTAACAAATATTGAATGCTGTCGAAAACATTTCGGAAATGAATTTTTCGGACATCAACAAATAAAAACATGTCGATGTATAGGCTTGTTTTTTCTATTCTGATTTCTTGTTCCATAGTCTAGTTTTTTAGTTTGATAAAAAAAAATCCAACTATTGCTTATATTTGATCAAACAATTAAATGATGATGATGGTTGACATTTTGAATCTATTTCCATTGCCATCGTTTTTCCGTTTATTCTTTCCATTGCTCAATTCACGTATTGATGACTATAACTTGTCTTAATGTTAAATTAAATGGAATTTATCAACGGCAATAAATCCCCATTTTAACAATGTTTTTGTTTTTGGTTCCAAATGTTCATAAAATTTTTCTTATCAATACTTATTTTTCTATTGAATCAAATTTTGCACCGTTAGGATTTTCTGATTTTTTTTGATAGATTTCTTTTCCACCAATTCTAATGTTTAAACTAATGCAAAGAAAAAACGATGAGATTAAATTGTCCTAATTTATGTTAAGATTGACATTTGTAGAAACAAAACAAAACAAAAAAAAACCAAAAAAAAAGTGCGTCAATTTTCAAATTTCAAAACCCTGCTATTATGAAGAAATCTATGAATCCATTGTAATAATTAGAGCATCGATATGTTGATGTTGAAAATCTATAATGATAATCTAAAAAAAGTGATGCGAATAAAATTTCTCAACTGTGGATTTTTCAAAAGCTTTTTTTTCTGTTTGCAGCTACGACATAAAAATCCATTTGGCAAACACAAAAACAAAATGCTCATTAATTGATTTTGCTGTTTGGTTGTTTTGGTCATTTTATATTTTTCAACACAATATATTGACTGGTCATAGATGAAACAAATTGTGTTCCATTTGCAATTATAACAAAGAAAAATATGATGACCATTGAGATTCATTTTGCATCTGTATGGAATAACAAAAAAAAAATCATTTGACATTGATGAAATTTATGATTATTAACAAACATTGCAAATAACAACTAAATAATCTTCACTGTTCACTGATTTTAATGATTATTAGCCCGAATATAGTCGATGATTTTTTTTTTGGAATCATTTTTGATGTTTGAAAAAAACTCCGGTGACAGCAAACTAAAAAAAAACGGAAGCGATTTATATGCGAATTGTTTTTTTTTTTGCTGTTTTGTTGTTCAATAACAAAATTAATATGATGATGATCAAACGAAAAAACAATCGTTTTCACTTTTTTGTGATCGCCCAAGCATGTTTACATTGGCACACACACACACACACACACATCCACACCCACAGAAGAAAAATATTCTAAATTGAAAACACATAACAAGATGTTATTATCATTCACACTGCCTAGATGAAAAAATAGAATTCCATCAACCAAAAAAAAAAAAAAAAAAAATAATTTTCATGCACACCCATCATAGAATCTGGATATTATATATTACAATAATGGTACCAACATGCGAAACTTACTTTATGACAAGTTTATTTTTATTTTTATTAGATTGCTTTTTTATTATTATTAACAACAACAACAAAATTATATTGTTCACATACAATTGCCTTGCCATAACCTGATGTTGGTCTTTTTAAAGTGATTCTTTCTTTTGTGTGTGTATGTGTGTGTTTGTATCTTGTATTCGTCAATGTCTTGACACATATAATAATAATCGACGTTTATCCAAAAATTATTTATGAATTAGTTTGTTGAACAACACGAAAATTGTTCAAATATGTTTGTAATATATTCCCGGTATAAAAAAATTTTCGTTTTATTTTTAATATTCTGATACTTGAATTTCATTGTATTCACCATCATTCATCATAATTATAGTTATTATTTGTTCTGGAAAAAATAACAATTCCATCAAAATGTAACAATTGATTTTTTATTTTCATTCACTGAATCTTGTCAAATTTGGATTATTGTTTCTAACATTGTTATAATAACCGTTGTTGTCATTCAAAACAACAACAACAAAATCTGGGCAATGTATTCCACTATTGATTGAATCATTATTATTCATGATAATTTGTTCATAGCTCCAATAATATCATCAATATGATTGTCATTACTATGGCAAAGAATAGAAAGTTTATTGTTAAAGAAGGGTCTGCCACACATGAACATTATCACAAATTCTGTAGTCATTATGTGATTATTTTATTCGCTATATGTGTATTACACTTGAAATTCAAATGTTCAAAAAAAAAGAAAGCAATTTGAGAATTTTCCTTTTTCATCATTGAAATGTAATTTTACAAATGCTGCCAATGAAATAAGCTTATTTAATGTGAATAATATGACTCCCCGTGGATTGTGTTCACATCATTTTTTCCCAAAGTTTCATGGCATTTGATAACAACAACAACAAGAACAACAACAAAAAACAAATAGATTATGATGATCAGAATATATGAATTTTAGAAATGTTTATGAATACAAAATTGAAATGAACCCGAAAAAAATTATTAATTTTTTATATCATTCACTTTTTTTGTTATTGTTGAAATTGCTGAAAGACAATCGTTTCTGAATGGAACCCTTCTATCAAATTTTTGGTTTTTTGAATTCATCCATTTTTTTTCTTACTGATGTTTAATTTGACTGAATGCAATGACTGAAATATTCGATTTTTTTTGAACAAATGGCAAACGAAAATACGCATCAGCATTTGTTTCTATTTACAGTAGTTTGTTATTTATTCAATTTGACACTATGGCTTAATAATGATGATGATGAGGATGATAATAATCATTATCATCAATGAAAATTTGAATATAATTTCGATTAAATTTAATTATTAAACTGCAATATCAAAAATTGTAAATTGGCCTTTCCACCTGATTCCATATGATTGTTAACATTCTAGATTCTAGATATCGAATAAGAAATGTCCGATGAAATGTGTGAAGCCATTAATCGTTAAAACAAATAAATTAATTATCCAACTTACTCACCATTCGAGGGTGTTTTTTTTCGAGCTACCATTACGATAATTATTTTTTGTTTTATTTTATAGTGTAAATAAAGTCCAAAATTTTCCAACATTTTTTATTGTGTCTGTGTGAATGTCTTGGTGGTCATTTTCCATGTTTTTTTTTTTTTGTTAGTGTTTCCACTGTTACTGTTGCATCCCATCAATTAGATTTGACTATTAGATTCACTTTAGATAGATATTTATCTAAAGAGACATCGACAGTTGAATCTTGCGCATGTAACCACAATTTATTTATTTTTTTTTTTGCTTTTAGACATGCGAAACTCTGTGGATCCTGAAACCAGAAGATCCAGACTACAAGACATATATATGATTCGTTGCCGGTGTTTTATATACAGTGTTTGCTATTATTGGACCAACGGGAGTTGTATATACACCAATGACGATGATCAACTGATATATTGAAACGCGCGTTTCTGACAAAATCATATTGACAAATTGAATCAATTTTTAGGCTATTTTTGTTTAATCTACGGAAAAAAGGCAAATCATTAATTTGAGATACAGAGATATGAAACTATCTTGTTCTTCGGATCTTCGGGTTTATTGCCATTGTCTTATTGAAATTATTAATTTTTCTTTTTGTCCAATATGAACACCAACGCTTGACAATGCATTGAATTCTTATTGATACGTAAACAACCAACAACAGAAATTATATTCAACATTGTTGATATTCGAAAAAAAACAAAATAAAAACTAGAATATTTTCTAGGGGTAAGTAGAATCGATTTTTTTGTTTTGCTTTTTTTTCTTTGTGTCATCATATTTGATTCGATAGATGGACCACAAAAGGCGGAGAAAAAATGTGAAAATCATAGCAAAAAAAAAATATATAATCGATTGATGTTTATCATTTTCAGTTTCATTTTCGATTCGAAAACTTATTTTATTTTTTGCCTTTGTATTTTTTTTTTATTCTAAAAGAATCGATCGTAGAATCTTTTTGTGACCAAATTTTCTGTTGCCAAACAGAATTGATGTAAATGTGTGGTTTTTTTCCATTTTCATCATCTTATGACAATTTTAATGCTAGTTATTTACAAACGATCTACAATTTATATTCTTTATTCTGTATTTTCAATCCATCAATCATACAATGTTATTGTGTCTGGTAACATGATAAAAAAGCAAAAAAAGTTTTGCAATAATAATGTTTAGGATGATGATGGAATTGAAGCAGTTCATAATGGCGAAATTGTCGCCAACATTGACAATGGAAACGATAATGACGAATTTCGACAAAACAGCCAACACGGAATCATTCTTCTATTCTAATCAACGTCAACGTTTTTATTATTGTTCATCAACAGAAAATTTTGGACAAATTCACTCCATTATCATTCCTAGCTATCGACAATATTGTCATTCGGTTCGGATCACCAACACTGAAAAGCATAAAAAAATTCACAAGAATTTAATCATTAACGGCAATTGTTTGGACAATTCTTCTTCTTCACACTATAACCATTGGTCATTCATCATTATCTTTGTTGCAATTATTTTTATGTTTGCTGAAATCGTTTCATCCATGGCAACTTTATCTACAAAATCAATGACAATGGAAACATCAACTATTCCATTTTCAATGGAAACATCATCTTTGGCTACAATTTCCACATTATCATCGAAATCATCATCAATCAAAGTAAGCATTTCATTTTAATACTTTAATTTGAATGATGATGATTTAATATATAGATTATTTAAGGTGCTATGTATTACAAGCAATTTTTGAAACTTGCTGTTTATGAATTAGAACATTTCAATAACAAAACTTTTCATGCCCTAACCTTTGGTGATCTCTATGATAATTTACAATATTTGAAATGAATGAACGAATGAATGAACAGTTGCAATGGACTAATTGTTAATTCATTTTGTGCTCAAGTTTTTTTTTCGTTACGAAAGATTTTTAATAGTGTGAAAATGGATCGAAAAAAAACCATATAGTCCACTTAATTTTGTATCCATTTCGAATTACAAGAGAAAGAAAAAATAATAACAGAAATGGTAAAAAACTCTTGTCGACCGGAAAGTTGAAGAGAAAAAACCGAACAAGCGGAAATAATTTCCTTCATTTCCTACTCTATCTCGTTGAAAATGTGATGATGGTAAAAAAAAATTCAAACATCAATATGGGTAAACAACATTATAATGATCAAGATATCAAAATCAGAATCAAAAAAAATGGATAATGATGGGGTTTCAAAATTAAAATCATGTTAATCATTTTTTCTTTCTTTCTTTTTGATGAACATAATTATCATCATCATCATCATCATCATATATTGCACTCGATATTGTTTATTTGGTTTTTTTTATCTTGCGTACATTCACCATATAAACAAGATACCAACATCAACCTATCGATTTTAATATCAATCAGCCATAATGAAATTTATTATGATTAGCATCCTCAAATCATATCATACGTTAATAAATCATTTTTTTCATCATTATTTTTTGACACTTTGAATTATATTCTATTTTTATTTCTTTCATGTTATTTTCAATAGATGTGTTGATATTATTTATCAAAAAGTAATGATTGAGATTGTCGTTGATTGATAAAAATTTTTTTTTTTGTCTACAGTTGATGTCAATATTATTTTTACTTTTTACTCATTACCAATTTTTGGATCATAATTATGATGATGATGTTGTTGTTGTGTGTTTGTTTGATCTAATATCAAACTAATAATGCTAAAAAAAAAATACAACGACTAAGCAATAAGGCCAGCAGCTGCTATTGACATCCGTAATAATAATATTTTTTTTTTCATTTCGAAAGTTCAAGCCATTTTTATTTCTTACCATTCTTCATTCTTACTTGTTGATGATGATGGATTTATATATATATATTAAATATATATTCTAAATTCAGAATTGAACAAAATGTTGTTTGACTCTTGCTGCTAAGATTCTGTAGTATTATATTATGAGAATTCTTATTTCCTCATTCCAGAACATTTTTGTTTTTTGTTTCATAAATGCTTACGTTTGTGTATACATGTCTACGTGTAATGATGATTTATGATGATATATTTGATGGGAGATGTATTAAATTTCATTTCGAAAATATCCACACAAAATAGCCGAACATTTACTTTAATATAAATTGAATTGAGTTTATTATTCTTGATACATCTTAATAACGAACAAACATATAAATATTGGTGCACAAATTTCAATAGGTCAAAATCGCGTGTTTTTATATAAAATTAATGATCATAATTCGTATGGAAATTTGATTGTAAAGTTTCACAAATAATCAATAATTTATGATTACCCAGAACTATTATAAGACGTAACTATCTCAACGCTGATATTTTTTTTCATAAAACAACTATTATGCATAAGTCTATTTTTTCAACTTTTTTTGGTATAAGATTCACCTTATAGCCACGATTTTAAGGTTGTATGATCTAAGATTGAAAAATTCGACAGAACGACGCACGAAACATGTGTTCCGGGGATCAATACTTTTGATAAACAAAATTCTTTCACTCTCATACTGTTTGATGGACAAATAAATTGTATCAGTAATCTGACATTTTCATTTGCTTTTAATTCTTGTTTTATAAGAATTAATTTTTTTATTTTTTCCGATATTCTTCATGAACAGTTATAACAATCTTATAGAATTCTTATGCATTCAATATATTGACGCAAATAATCGAATATATAAAGACTAAGATTATTCCATAGAACATTGGTAAAAACTTTTGACACAAAGTCATTGTAGTCATCAGTTATTATTAATCTTTTCCACTTTTATGACCTCATGATTCTTTCTTCATTTTCATTGAAATACAAAAACACAAATCTAAGAATATTTAAACAATCGAATAACATTAATTTCAGTGGATGATATTCGGATCGGTAAGTTAAAATGATAATTATTAGAAATTGGATTCTATATTTTTTGTTGTTGTTGTTACTAAGACACAAATCTATAAATTATTCATATAATTAATTTACTCGTATGAAGATTGAAATAAAATTTAATCATCGTTGTGGTCGTAAATGTTAAAAAGAGGTGAACAACGAGAAAAGAAAAATACAATTCCGAACCACCGGTAATTTGATATTATTGTTTTTAAGGCCTGAAATTTTTGCATTGTTGATTTTTTTTGTTGAGCACAAAATTTGATACTCGTTTGGAATTTTAACATTTTGACTAGGATTGCATAGAATTCTGGAACCTACCCACATACGCACACACGCAAACAAACACGCCCAACACACAATATGAGATTTACATCATTTCTACAATGATTATGATTATACATACTTAATTCTATGAAAAAAAGTTTCATTTGTCATTCATCGTAGAAATAATGTTAAACAAGAATAAATTGGTATTTTGAAAATTGAAAAAACACATATTCATTCGTTTTGACTTTTTATCGTGAAATTAAATTTTTTTTTCTTATTTGTTTGTCAATGTGGATGCCAGGAACCAAAGATTCCTGCCAAGTTGGCCATCAACAACATATTCATTTTCAATTCAAAATGTTATTATGTTATTCGTTGTTGTTTATACTGTCTACTGTCTGGTTGATTAGCCGAATTTGTTAGATCACTTGAATTTTTTTTTTAGGACCAATGCGATTACAGAATATAACATCAATAAACATGTAAATAGCTTTATTTTTCACAAGAATTGTGACAACAAGTTGTAGACATAAAATTTCAATAATAACATCTTGATATTGGACAAGTATTATATAACGCAAAAAGAAAATGACATGTCGACATGATTGATCATCATCATATTCATTGCCACAACGAATATCATCCTTTCATTCATTTCTCATATGTAACAACAATGATCTATTGATCATACAAATTTTTTTTTCTCATTCAAATTTCATCAATTCTTCGTTCATTTGTTGACAAAAATTGTTGATTATTTTATTTGTTTGGTTTCATTTTCAAATTCAATTCAATAACCGTAGATCCAGTGGAACGAATTTGACATATTAGACATTTTTTTGTTTGTTTATTGTGTCAAAAAATAGCTTTCGGGAATATTGTCTTGGTTGACATGACAAACTCAAACACACACACACATACACACACACCCGATCGAATCAATAAAACAATCAATGGATCTATCAATTTTTTTCCATTCTATTCATCTGATCATTTCGGTTACAATGAATTAATTGAAAAAGCCTTACCGATTATAATCAAGTGTATAAATGAGCCTGAAGCAAATTTCATGTATCGAGTATAATAGAAATTTTAGTAATCATCTAATGATAGCTGAAAATAAAAAAAAAGTGTCTAGGTATATGGATTTTTCGGAACATTTTCAGAAATCACTTCAGTTACTTTAAGTATGAAATGAATATAACTCAATAATGTTGCAACAATCACCATTGAAATAAATAATTGATAATAATCATGAGAGGAAAAAAATAAATCAACTGAAAACAAACAAACAAACGAACGACCGAACGAAAAACATCAAGAATTTTCTCAAAATCAGGTTACATCATTGATGGAATTAATTTTTTCTCTTGTTATCTTTGCATTTAATAACGGAAACAAAACGAGATTCTTTTCAAAATCATATTCTGATGTTGCATTACGCATTTTCAAAATTCCATTTTTCAATTATTTAAAATAAAACTTTTTAAAACCCATTTTTTTTGATTCTATTATGGATTTTGTATGTTTTATGTGAACACGAGTGGAAAAAAAATTAGTTTTACTCCGCAAAAAAAATTGTCGTCAATTTTGAATAAAAAGAATAAATCAAGCAAAAAATAATTAGAATAAAAGCCAAACGCAAAAAAAACTGAACCTGGCAAAAATCTCAAATAACATATTTTTATTCACTGGATTTTATTATAAAAGAACATTTTCAATTCTTTCATTTATTTCATAAAACTTATGAACATGCAAATAAAATGGTAAGAATTTTTCTTCTTCTTCTTCTTCTATAAATCTTATAGCTTTGCCGAAAACAACTGGGAATATCATAATATTTTATCATTTTCACCAATGAAATGATTATTTTAGGAAAAATTTAATAATAATAATAATAATATAATGAACTGAATCCTAAGAATGATTGAATTCTATGATCACATATACATCTATGTCTCTATATGTTCGTCCATAAAAATTATGTAGATCAAAATGAAATTATCGTATGTCAGCGGGTTACCCGAACGACCAAGATGATGAAACTATTGTTTTTTTTTTTTTTTTTTTTTCATTTATTTATCAACATTTGTCAGCTGTTCAATGACAAATTTTCAATTACAGAAAAAAAATTCATCAATCGAAAAGCAATTTTTTTCAATATTTAGTTTTTTTTTTTTTTTGGTCGAAGCTAATAAATATTAATTTCAACAATAATCAATGTTGACAGATTTGTGAACCACTTAATTTTTTGTTTTGTTTTGTTTGTGATCGGCATATGATCAAGAACTATAGGTGGATTTGTCTTATTCTGAAATTTTTTTTCAGTATCATTTTGTATCAATTAAGAAATTCGGTCATTCATTCATTAAAACGAATCTCATGAGATTTTGTTTTATTACTAATAAAGTTCATTGACAGAATGGATAATTGAGATTTTTCTCCTTATTCTTTGAATTCTAATCCCGATTCTAACTTGCATTATTACTGGATGGTTTCTAATAAAAATGAAATAATTCTATTTTTCATTGATTCAGATGAACAACGATAGTCAAGAGATGAATACGAAAATAACGCAGATAAAAAAATTATCCGATCGTGATGAACAATTATCGGCATTGAACGCCGAAAAGGAACGTTGTGAACAATTGAATTTTGTGAAAAAAATGCCCATCGATTATGTTGATTATGATTCGAATCAAGGTTTGTAAAAAGTTTTCTCATTTTATTTTGTTTGAAATTTTTATTTTTATTTAATTTAATTCATATAAATCATCATAAAGATATTGATATGGGCGATGATAATGAACGAATACGTTGTCCAATCGTATGGGATGGTGCATTATGTTGGCCTGAAAGTCTTGCCAATCGTATTGTACATCAACCATGTCCCAAATATGTTAAAGGTTTCAATCATCAAGGCTGGGCATATAAGAATTGTACAGAAGATGGATCATGGTATTATAATAATGAAACTAAACGATATTGGACCGATTATTCCGAATGTATCATAACACATTCGGTTCATGCAGAAAATAATCATTCTCATCATTATCATCATCCTCATAATCATGCAACCGATGGTTGGCATTCAGGACAAACACATTCGTCAATGAACGGTGTTGTTGAAAATGATTTCTATGATGATGAAGATGAAGTTTCATCAAAAATGACCAGAATACGTCATCATTTACCAAACTTTCAAATTATTTCACATCTTGGCTATTCAATTTCATTCATTTCATTAGTGGTTGCATTTTTCATTCTTGTTTATGTCAAGTAAGCATTATGCAGTATTCCTACCTTTTGACCGTATTATATTTACTTATATATGCAACAATTATTTTGTTATGTTGTTTATGTTTTGGAAAGTCATTCATTTTTGTTTTGTTTTGTCTTGAAATTTCAAGATTCATTTATTAACAGCAATGTTTAGTTGTTTTACTAGTCCTATCCTCATCAGACTAATCATAAATTATTCAATTGTGTGTTGCATGTTAAAATTAGATTTATTTGCAGAAGACTACGGTGTCCACGTAACAGTCTACATATTCAGGTTGGTTGAAATTTTGTCTTTTCAACAGAATCAAAAACGAATTGTTTTCCCTTCGAATTTCTCTCTTTTCTGTTCTTATTCCTATTTCTCTCTCTTTCTCTCTCATTATCATTAGTTATTCATTTCATTCATTATGCGTTCCTCCATGTATCTGATAAAAACAAGTTTAGAACACTTTCCTTTTGATCCCAATCAATTAAATGTCAATTCAAAATTGAAACCAAATACTCCAAATCCATCGATATCATCATTTCATGATAGCCATCATAATTATCATCATCATAATCAACAGCTACAGAATTCCCTAATGAATAGTATGAAACTTGAAGATGAAAATGATTTGTCGAATTTATTGGGCAATTATGATTGGGAAAATTCTTTCCGTACTTCGGTATGATTTTTAATGTTGATTGGGATTTTTTAATTTCCTTTTTTTATTTGTTTAAACTATTAATTGATAACAGTCTATTGCATGCAAAGTATTCACAACTATATGGCAATATTCATTATTGGCTAATTATAATTGGATCTTTATGGAAGGCTTATATTTGCATAATGTTATTTTTCTTAACATATTTAATGATAATTCCAACATCATACCATATGTTATACTTGGATGGTGTAAGTGAAATTGATAATTTTGTTTCCAGTTTCAACATTAAAACATCTATACTTTATCTCTCCGTATATTGATGTTGAATTTTTTTATATACAAGGTCTTCCTATTCCGATTGTTACAACATGGGCATTAATGAGATCATTATATGAAGATACACGGTACGTCAATCAACAATTCAATTCAAAACAAATCGAATCAAATTTAGGTCAATCAAAAATTCAATTAAATATTTTTATTCTTTTATACAGTTGCTGGACAACAAATAGTAATTTGAAAATTTTCTGGATCATGCGGGCACCAATTACAATTGTTATTGTGGTATGTAGCTTTTTTTTAGTGAGATTTCAAATATTTTCAAATATATACCCTATATATATCCATCATCATCTACGATTTCACTATCATCATTAACATTAATTAATGATGCATAATTTAATTAAACTAATAAAACAAAACCAAACCAAAAAAATAATGTTTGAAACTAATCAAATATATTTGTTTTAATTTATATTGCGTTTTTTATTTTCATTTCTGGATACGAATTATTGATCAATTTATGATATATTTAGTTGAATTTTGTATTCTTCGTCAACATTATACGTGTATTATTTTTGAAAATGTTTGCTAAATCGGCGGCAACATATGCAAGAAAATATAAATATCGTACCTGGTTTCGTTCAACATTAGTATTGGTTCCTTTATTCGGTGTTCATTATATGTTCTTTTTGGCATTCACAACAATCACATTCAATTCATATGATATATTCGAAATTATCTGGCTATATACTGATCTAACATTTACAACATTTCAGGTATTTATTAATATATATATTTCATACATAAAATATTGAAATTATGAATCTGATATTTTTTTTGTTGTTGTTCAATATGAATGTTGTGGTTTAACTCATTCATCATATTTCAATCAGGGTTGTTTGGTTGCGTTATTATATTGTTTCTTCAATCATGAAGTACAAATTGAATTAAAAAAACTATGGCTATCATGTAAGCAACATTTCTTAAATAGACATTTTTCATTGGGCTATAATCATTCTACCATGTCGGGTAATGGAAACAATGGTCAACAACCACATACAACCAATCATCAGACAAATAATTTATCTAGCCGGATTACGAAACATTCGTTGATGTCTAATTGTAGCTCCTTCTTTCGTAGAGAGGTCTGTTTTTTATGATAACTTATAATAATAATAATCACATCATCGTAATTGAATTTATTTTTTTCTTCATTTTTTCGCCTATATGACTAACTTATGAAGACCGATCAGAATACATCGAGCGAATTGAATCGCTATTCCCTTCAATATCAGCAATCCCCACAACTTAATCAACCACCTAATAATCTACAGGAAAATCAACATGAAAACAACAATGAAAATGATGGTCATTTAAATGAATTAAATTTACCATTATCACCGTCAAGTGGACAAAGACGATTACATCATCAAACTCATCATGTCGATAAAACGTACAATGTAGATGAAGAGGAAATGCCCACTGATCCAGATATGATCAACAAATTAATATTGATTGGCGAGACGGCCATCTAAGTCAGCCAATAAAATTAATCAATGACGAAAAAGGATTTTAAAAAAAAACTAAACGACATTTATATTCATCCATTTTCATTCTATATTGAGCTTGTTTTACTCATTTATTTTCAGGATTCACACACTTTTTTCTGTACAAATAGATGAAAATAATTATTTTCCCATTCTTATTTGATATATATACCATCTTCAACAAGATTTAAAAATCTTTTTTCTCAATCTTTTTTCCCAATCTTTTTTCATTCATTGATGTCGAAAGTTGTCCACACACATTCTATATTTGTTTTAAAATTAAGCTAACAAATACATTGTAAATAACGATACAAAATCAGAACTGGAATCATTTCAAGAGTTTGGTCCTTACAAAAATACATACATATTATTTATTTAAAGAGAAAAAAGAACAAGAAAATATCCGAAAACAAATTAAAAATCACATATTTTCATTATATTTTTTTAGAAAAAAAAGAAAATTCCAAAAAATAAATTTCCAAAGATTTTCTGTCCAATGATTTGAAATGAAAATATATTCGAATTTAATAAAGAGAATTTGAACTATCCGTGCAATGATGATCTGATTTTTTTTTCATCATTGTATGAAATGATCGTTCCAGTCGTCAAAATAAACTTTCAGCGTATAAATTAATTAATTAACACGTGATTTATATTTTTTTTTATTATGAACAAGTTTGAAATTTTGACATTTATAAATCACAATGGATGAATCTGTACAGTTCGAAGATAAAATAATCGAAATTAATGAACATAGAATTAAATTACAATTCATTCGTATCTATCAAACATTCATGGTATGGATTGGTGATCCATCATGTCCTAAACTTGAAAGCTTAGCATTGGCTTTAGGTGTTAATTCAACATCGATCATTGCCAATCGGCAACAATTGGATTCGGTTGCCGATCAAGAAATGGCTAATAAATTAAGCCGTCGATTCAATGATAATCGTCCAGTATATGTTGCTTACAATTACTTACCGGCAATGGCAAATACTGAATTGAAATTGAAAATCGATCAACAATTAATTGAATTTATCCAATCCATTCACCATAAATCTTGATTTTTTTTATTGTAAATAAATTTGATTAATTCTTGTTGAATGAAATCGCTATCGAATAAAATCAGTTTTGTATTAAAATTTTAATATTCGTTTTATTATTTTACGAAAAATAAGCTTTCTTCTCCTATCTAGAATGCAACGAGGTAAAACAAAGTCCAAATCGAAAAAAGCTAAATCGGTCAAAAGTAGCAGCCGTAAATCGAACACGAAATCAAAATCTAAAAAAAATGCAACTTCATCAATCAATCGATCCAGTTTTACTGAAGCGTTGAGTTGCAGTACGATTGGAGCATCACAAAAATGTAAAACTCCACCATTGAAAAAGAAATCTAAAAATTCAAAATCATCAGTCGTCGATACGATGAGTGTATTGATGGAATGTAAAAAAATTCAAGAACAAATCGAAGATCAAACTATAGAAAAATGTTCCTCAATCAAAGAGATGAATCGTAAAGGATATAAAGTCGACATTAATAAAGGAAAGGATAATTTATTCAATGGTAGCGGTCCCGGTAGTCGTACGATGATGGTCAAAATTATAAATCTCAAACTGATGACCGCTCGATATAAACAAAATTTTGAACGACACAGTGTAAAGATTTATAAATTCATTGGAAAGAAACCGTTGTGTAAATCATTTCCAAAAATTTATGAAATATTTAATATTGAAAAAGTATATCTGATTTTCATGGAAACATTGGCAATGAAAACTTTGTACGATATAATTGTAGAAAAGCAAGCAATTCCCATACGGACTATACAACAATGGATACGACAATTGACTGAAGGCGTATGCGTTTTACAACAGTATGGTATTGCTCATCGATTCATTAAGCTAAAACATTTGGTTATCGATTGTGGACATATAAAAATTCTTGGCTGGAGTAAAGCAGTCCTATTCTGGGATAATCATAAGCAGAAAGCACTGCAACAACAAAAGGAAAAACGAATACATAAGAATAATTTCTTACCACCGGAAGCATTTCAAAATGTATATGATCCTTCAAAAGCGGATGTATGGTCATTGGGTACCATTATTGTATCATTACTTACACATCATTATCCATTTCATGTTCGAACGCGAATGACTTTTATCGATCAATGGAATATGTTCACAAAAAAACATCCTATCGATCCAGTCGCAAAAGAATTATGTGATAAAATATTTGTCATGGATCCACGAAAACGAATCAAAGTTGGTGACATTTTACGTGATCGATTTTTTACTACCGAAATTATGATTATAGAGAAGAATTCATCCAAATCATCAAATAAAAGTCGGAAAGAAAAATCCAAAAACGCATCAACAGCCGTCCATTCGGGTAAAAATGAATCAAGCAAAAAAGCAACATCGACAAGCAAATCAACAGAAACAAAAAGTAACAAATCGAAACAAAAGTCAACATCTTCTAAAACATCTAAAAAAGAAAAAAGTAAAGCCGAAAGTAATTATAGTTCCAAACAAAAAACAAAATTTACATCGAAAAAAATGATGAGCAAACCAGCAATCATAGCTACGAATGATTATAAAACAGCCTTATCATCAACATCTGATAAAGAAGTAAGCGAATCAATAGAAATTCAAGCAAATGAACCGACACTAAGACCATCATCAAATGTAAGCAATGGTGATATGGATGGTGGTGAAGAAGTGGAAGCAGATGAAATTGGTGGCGAAGAAGAAGAAGATGACGAAGGAAATATAACTAATGAAGAATTACAAGCAGCCGAAGAACAGGAGACATCTGCACAACCATCGGAAGCTGATGAAGCTACCGGTGAAGAGGTGAATCAAACGATGGTTGAAGCGGCTTCCGCTTTGAATGAACAAATCGTCAAAAGTAACACCAACTATAATAAAGATAGTGAAAGTGGCAGTGAACAAGCCGTTGAAAATGGCAATCCATCAGCCAGAATATCGAATACTATCGAACAACCAATATCGGAAGATAACAGTGGTGAAAGTAAAGAACAATCAGAAACAACATCGCAAACAACGTCATCATCAGCAGAACAAAGTTCAAGTTCCAAACAGGAAGAACAATCGAGTGAAAATTAGTGGAAAAAAATTTAATAAATTTTAGCAATAAATTCTGAACCAACAGATGGCGATCAGATAGAAAATTCTCTTTCAATGCTTTTTTGATCATAAATATAAACAAGCGACACAATATGATTATTTAGAGATAGAGAAGTGAGAGAAAACTTGTTGGCATATTTAGATTCAATGAATTTTTTTGTCATTTGAAGGATTTATTGATTATGATAATTATTGTGTAATGAATGTGTGTAATAAGTGTTTGAGCATTGTGCTAAAAAAATGGAATATGATAATATCAAATAACATTATATAATGTATAAACCATCGAATGTTGAAAATTATTATTCGAAATGAATACATGTTGATTGTGAAAAGTAAAGAACAATCAGAAACAACATCGCAAACAACGTCATCATCAGCAGAACAAAGTTCAAGTTCCAAACAGGAAGAACAATCGAGTGAAAATTAGTGGAAAAAAATTTAATAAATTTTAGCAATAAATTCTGAACCAACAGATGGCGATCAGATAGAAAATTCTCTTTCAATGCTTTTTTGATCATAAATATAAACAAGCGACACAATATGATTATTTAGAGATAGAGAAGTGAGAGAAAACTTGTTGGCATATTTAGATTCAATGAATTTTTTTGTCATTTGAAGGATTTATTGATTATGATAATTATTGTGTAATGAATGTGTGTAATAAGTGTTTGAGCATTGTGCTAAAAAAATGGAATATGATAATATCAAATAACATTATATAATGTATAAACCATCGAATGTTGAAAATTATTATTCGAAATGAATACATGTTGATTGATCTTGCTTGATAATAATAAGAGAAACTTGAAACGTATCCTGTTTGCATTGATTCATCAATGTCTTTTCCTTTAATATTTGCCATTCGATTGATTTATCGCTGGCCAACGATAACAATATTATGTTTGTATCAATTTTGAATAGATCAATGTTTCGAAATCCAATATGCGCGATATTATTGATCTTTGTTTATCGGATCGAATTTACTTTAACCGAACAACCGTTAAATGATCATGATCATCATCCGATTCTTCATCATTCATCGTGGTTTATCCATTTCATAAAAAATCTTACCGATTATTTCGTTATAATAATACCAGTTGGACTTTTGGTTTTCCTAGCCAAACGAGATCTTTTACCTTCTTATGGTAGGTGCAAAATGATTTTTTTATATCAATATAATAATAATCTAATTCATTATGACGCTTGTCGGAATTTATTTTTGTAAAAGTTAAACACATACGATGGATAAAACTTTTGGTGTACGGTGTTCCTGCAAGCAACGAACTTCCATTGACCATCGAAGATGGATCACTATTGTTATCATCTGAAGCGGATGAAGAAAATCTAAAATCCAACAAACCACAAAAAGTGCGGGAAAAAAATACAAATGTTTTTCATTTATTTTATTGTTTTTTCGGACTACAAATTTCATTCTTAACATGGGGAATCTTGCAAGAAAAAATTATGACACAAAATTATGCTGTCCATAGCTCTTTTATTGATACACATTCAAATCAGATAACAGAGAATCTACTTTCGATAATTTCTGTCGGTAAGATTTATTAGAGCTAATCATTTTCATTTAAATTCTTATTGTTTTTTTTTTGATTTTAGATTCACTGGATCCGAACATGATTAATATAAAATTCCGAAATGCACAATTTTTAGTCCTCATCAATCGAGTATTAGCCTTCATTATTGCTGTGATAGTATTATTGTATCAACAGAATTACCATTCAAGCCACCAACATAAATCATTTTTTCGAACAAAACAACCACCATTCTATATGTACATCTATTGTTCATTATCGAATATTATGAGTAGTTGGTGTCAATATGAAGCACTTAAATATGTTAGTTTTCCGGCACAGGTTCTATCAAAAGGATGTAAAATGATACCGACAATGTTAATGAATCGAATTCTTATGGGTAGAACACAAAAACGTGAAGAATGGCTATTCGCTATTGCTATATCGTTTGGTATGTCCATATTTATGCTTAATGAACAACGAGAATCTCACCATGTGGATGATACAATAAATGATTCATTCACGTTTTCATCATTTATATCGGGCATCATCATTTTGGTTCTCTATCTAACATTTGATTCGTTCACATCGAATTGGCAACAATCACTTTTTGACCAATATCGATCATTGACGAGTTTACATATGATGGCCGCTGTTAATTTCTATTCGATCCTATTTACTTTGGTTTCTTTATTACAACAAAGCGATTTCTTTCCATCGTTAAGCTTATTATTTGCAAATCCTGCTTTGATGCGTGATTGCATAATATTATCAATATGTTCAGCCGGTGGACAATTGTTTATATTTCATACGATCTCAACATATGGTGCAATTATTTTCACTTTAATCATGACCTTACGGCAAGCATTTGCTATTCTTCTTTCCTGTTTTATCTATTCACATTCAATCACTTGGCTCGGTTTACTTGGCATTGTGATTATTTTCGCCTCATTATTTTTCAAATCCTATCGAAAATTTGATGAACGTAGATCAAAGACTAGCATGGTAAACAGTAAACAAAATCATCAAAATGTATAAATCAATGAATTAAAAAAAGTTTATTTAGAAATTGAAATATATGGGAAATATTCATTTCATAATTATCCTTCATGAAATTTAGGTAAATCACCAGATAATGTAACACGACGTTCAACACCTTGTTCAGTAATGATAGCCAATCTTGCTACACCACCACTTGATCCATCACGTGCCATAGCCAATGATAAAGCATTTGTTACGAGTTGACAACATTCTTCCTTATTCATTCCTGGTCGATATTGTGAATCAACATAACCATAGATATAAGTTGAACCAGATCCACCAATCGATACAGGTTGTCGCACGACCATGCCGCCCAACGGTATTGTATAAACTTGTGGACCATACCGACGATCCCATCCAGCACAAATAATTCCAGCAGTTATAGAATCACGATAATTGTAGCACATATCTCGAAATAGATTAGCGGCAATCGGAACTAATGCCGGTTCACCTGTTTCCATTTGATAAAAATCCAAATGATAGGCAACAACATCGGCTATTGCTTGTGTATCAGCCGCACTTCCTGATCGACATACATAAATCTGATCGGTAATTTTTGTCAATTTATCCGTAACACGATTTGCGATAAAAGAACCAGATGTTGTTCGCGAATCAGCTCCAACTACAACACCGCCATCGAATTCTAGGGCCATAATTGTTGTGCCAGTAGATACTGGTTCTTCGAACATACCATTAATGACCATATCTTCAAGATGAGTTTTGCCATTCGGAATGGCCGAAAGATCAGAAGCTATTTTCGGTTCAAAAGCCATCGTTTTTGATGTTCAAATTTTTTTGATTGTTGATTGTAATATCGCTCAAATGGAAAACAAATTGGCAAGTCATGACAATGAACTGAACTGTTTCAACAATGTGAGCAACAACAATGTTAAAATAGGCGATTGGATTTATTTCAATTTTTAAACTTTTTTATAATGAAAGCTATTTTCTTCTTAAATGGCAAACTTTTAATTTAAAAAATGATTAATAAATAAATAATAAAAATGTTTAAAATTGGCAAAATTTTAAGAATGCAATCTATTTATATGATTGAACAAAAGGCAACATTAACATTCGGCAACAATAAACACACCAGACGACCAAATGAAGTCAAATGTACGAAGAAAAAAGCTGGATCATCTTTGAATATGAAAGACAAAATAATGTCCAAAGTAAAATCAAAGACATTTATATCGAGAACTAAACGAACAGACAACAAAAATGAAAACCGATCTGCGAAAAAGAATTCCAGAAAAAGAAAGCATTAATTTATTTCATTTTTCCAAATTTCAAAAAATTTAAATATTTACAGATAAAATTCAAATGAAATGTTCAATGTTAAGCGACAAAATCTAATGGCCGATTAAATCCACCTTTTCGATTCATATATTGACGATATTTACGTTTCTGTAAGACATTAACAGCCGAAACATTATTTCCTTTGACTGGTTTACCTTTTGTCGAATCGAAACCAGCAAACCCCATCAATTTCATCATTTTTTGTTCTTCTTCAGTTTTACCTTCGAGATCTTTGTCAGTAATTTCCGGACGATTCATCAGATATTGAGGAACGGCTCCACTATTTTTTTCCGATTTTGGTGTTTTGGATCGCGATCTAGATCGAGAACGCCGACGAGCACGAGGTGATTGTGATCTACGATGATCATGATATCGATGTTGATGGCCACGATGATGTTTGCGTCCATCCCCTCTATCTTGATGCCGATCCCGATCATCAATTCCACTGCGTTCACGGTCATAGTTGCGATATCGCTGTTCACGAACTATTCGTCTTTCACCACCATCGCGTTCACGTAGAGGACTACGGGGATAATCTCGACCTGTTCGATGTTCGCGATGCGATCGAGAATCTCGACTTGTACCATTATCACGACCTCGTTCATGTTCACGTGGTCTAGGCCTTACATCATGACGGGAACGGCTTCGAGATGATGGTGATCGAGATCTACTACGCATTACGTTTATAATAATAATAATAATCAAATAACAGATAATTCGTGTGAATCCGAATTAATCCAATCAATACCTTGATTAAAAGAGAGAGATATTTCTTTCGAAAAATTCAATGTGATATCAACAAGATTGGAACCATGGATAAATACAATCGAGTAACAATCGAGCTCGCTTAAATTTTTTTCAAGACACCCACTAGATGACGCTACGGAATTTTGTTTTTAATGATCACACGCGTGTTTATTTCATGTTCAAAATATTTTTACTTGTTCTTTTTTGTTAATTTTTTCTTAAGAAATGACACGAAAACGAAAATCAAAGGATGAGCATCATTGGAAACCGGTGGCAATCGAGTGTGATGATGGTCTAACGGCAGAAGATTTCCAAGGTTTAGTTTCCATCGAAGAGCTAGATAATTATCAAATTGTTCGAGCTGAACCGAGTAAACCAGATGATGATAGGAAATCCGAAAAAGAAACAAAACATAAAGTCAAAAATATAAAAAAGAAAAAATTGATCAAGAATGTAAATTCATTTGTCGTGTCCAAGCAAGAAGATGAAGTAGAATTTAAAAGTGATGGCGAAGATGATGTTAAGTTGAAACGTAACAACGTTTAAGAACGGACAATTTGATAAAGCACGTTTTTTCATGTTTTTTTTGTCAGATCAGTTTAATTTTTATTTCTTTCAAATTATGAGCAACCAATAATAATAATAATAATAATAAAATTTAATTCGTTCATTTTCAAAACTGTGTTTATTCTTTTTCTTCGAAAGAAATTATCAATCAACTCAAATAATTTGCAAAATTGTAAAGTTTCGCCACAAAAAGACCTGGATAATGTCTGAGTGGAAAAAATTATCTGTACCAAAACCAATAATTCAATGTCTACGATCACTTCGGATGTTTACACCAACGGCCATTCAATCGGCTGCAATACCAGCTGCAATCAATGATCGTATGAATATTTATGCTGCCGCACCGACTGGTAGCGGTAAAACATTAGCATTTGCCATTCCTATAGTCGATCAAATTATCAAAGAAATGGATGAATCATCAAACAATGATCCTAAACTTAGATCGATCATTCTAACACCAACCAGAGAGTTGGCCGTCCAGATTAAACAACATATTGACAATATATGCAAATTTAGTTCAATGATCAAAGTGGCATTGATTGTTGGCGGTTTAGCCATACAAAAACAAGAACGAATCCTTTCTAGACAAAAACCACAAATCATTGTTGCAACACCTGGAAGATTATGGGAAATGCTTAATTCGAATACGGTTCCATATTTGAATCGCAAATCGCTTATCACCGACCTTCGATCGTTGGTCATCGATGAAGCCGATCGAATGATTGAAAAATCACATTTTCAAGAACTTGGATTTATCATCGATTTTTTCAACAAAGATGATTGTAATCCGTTAAAGTCTGGCAAATGTCAAGTGTTTATATTCTCAGCCACTTTAACAATGAATCGATCTACAAAGAAAAAACATCGATTATCATCAAACAAATCAGATCGAGATTCAATCGATTTAATTAAATCATTAAATCTTGACCGTAATACATTGAAAACATGTGATCTAACAGATGGTGGTCGAAGATCAAAGCCGGATGCCGAACATTTGACCGAATCAATAATACATTGTCTAAAAGACGATAAAGATCTATACCTATACTATTTCGTTCTGAATAATCCAGGTCGAACAATTGTTTTTTGTAACAGTATCGATTGTATACGACGCCTTTTGAACTTGTTTCGATTTCTTCGAATGAATCCCTTATCTATTCACTCATCAATGCCTCAAAAACGTCGCCTTACAAATATTGAACGATTTACCACAAAACGAAATTCATTGATATTCGCAACCGATGTTGCTTCTCGTGGATTGGACATTCCTAATATTGATCATGTCGTTCATTATCAGGTACCACGTTCGGCTGATATCTATATACATCGAAGTGGCCGTACAGCACGAATTAATAACAAAGGTTTTAGTCTAATTCTATGTGATCCTCGGGAGGAGGCTTTTTTTCTACGTAATTTTTCCAAAATTATTCATAAAGAATCCATAGCAGAATATTCGAATATAAATTCAAGAATATTGAAACGTTTAAAAGAACGTATACGATTAGCACAATTATGTGATATGCTGGAACATAAATTACGAAAAAATCGAACGGAAGAAAATTGGTTTCGAACCACTGCTAAAGCTTGTGAAATTGAATATGATTCTGATGAACAGGGTGATGATGATGTTGAAAATCAAAATTCCAGCATACGTGAACGTAAAGATTGTGAACGAAAATTAAAGACCTATGAACATGAATTATCGATTCTATTGAAGAAACCACTTCCGAATAGATCTTTATTAAATTCTAGCTAGTTATTTTTATACATTTTTGTTTCGTTATACGCCCAAAATGTATGTTTTTTTTGTTCAGATATTATCCTTTTTTTTCCTGTTTGAAATCAAATTCATACTATGACACCTACGTTGTTTTGTATTTTTGTGCGTATGCCATTTATCCCTCCTTCGAAAAAATATGGAAGCGTTTTTTCATTCGTATTTTTTTGAATTGATTATTTTTTAATGATTTACTGACCTTGCTATCTGAACAAAATAAAATAGATTTTCGATATTCGAATAGAAAATCGCTTTTTTTACATTATCCAAAATTTAATAACAGTTTCATTTAGATAAATTGATGATCAAGTTCACTTTTTTTCTTGCTATTCAAAGTCAAAGTCATTGGTTAATTTGATGTACTAAACAATTGGAGTTTTTAATCGATCAATTTTATTTGTGATTGAGCGAATTTTTTTTTTTTTGGTTGCAATCAAATGCCCAATTACATGATTGAAGAATAATGGAAAAAAGAAACCTACCTACTGGAAAGGTGAACAACCTAATTTTTGAATAAATAATAATAGCAATGTTCGTCCCAACGAATCGAATGAATCAAGTCGATCAAAAGAAATACTTTGTCCATTATTGTAAATTGTAAATACCATAATGTCCCTGAATTTTCTTATGGACCCTGGATCACCAATGGCAACGATATTCATCGAATTAAATACTATAGTAAATACATAATGCTTTGAATTGCAAAACTAAATAGCAATATATGGCTGGAAATATTGTTGCATGTTCATATTTTTTTTACATATTCTTTCTTCGGTAAAGAGTCATCGACATATATGGTTGTCAAGACAACCCTTTTTTTTTTCTTTTTATGAATACGAATCGAAACTACACATATGATGATGCAATATCAGACAATCAATGATATCGTGATGATCATGTTTTAGCGTTTACTTTGTCTATGCTATTATATCGGTTTTTTTATCAATTTTATTTCCGGGTACTCTTATATAACATTAAAAATTTCAAGTAGGAACTGGTATAGTTTTTTTTTCTAGTTATGAATACAACTAGAATGATGACCTCTCATTTGATCATGACAATGAATAATGAAATCTGGATGATATTCCAATGCTTTTGTTATCGGGTTCAATAAACGAATAATTGGAAATAATAGACAAAACAAAAATTCATTTACCGCAACCAAGTAAAGTTTTTTTTTCATTCGCAAAATCCATGAATTTCATAATCCGATCAAAAAAAAAAAAAAAAAAAAATAAACGTGCCATTATATAAGTATTTTTATTATTATTATATTATGACGTCTTGACCGTGGCAATATTAAATCCATCCATATGTCAAAAGCGTGCGTAACAAAAAAAAAGTTTGCAAAATCAAATATTGATCCAAAATATTTTTTTTTTTTTTGACAGATGGCTTATGGATAGAAGAACAACAAAACAAAAAAAAATTTTCCATCAATAAGATCAATTAATTAGCTGCTATAGTAAAAGTATTACCCAATAACATTAACAACTGGTTGGTATTTGGATATTTAAATATATCATTGAATTACGATAGCATTAATGCATGACCACCATCATCATGAGCATTATTATTTTAATAATTTGAAGATAATGTTATAATCCAAAAAACAAAAACGCCATAATCACCATAATTATCAATGAATATATTGTAACCATACAAAAATACAGATATTATTATTTTCAAATAGGAATGGTTTTTGAAAATATCAGCGTCATTGACAATAAAAAAAAACAACAACAGCATCAGTGATTACAAAGTCTATATAGCTACCATGATGATGATGATGATCATCATCGTTATTTGATGACGATGATCATTTGAATGGAAAGATGATGGAAACCAAGAGAGAGAGAGAGAGAGTCAAAATTTAAAAAAAAACAAGAAATCCAATGTAGCTGCTATTAAAAAAAAAATCAAATATAAATGCTGCTGCTGCTGCTACAACATCAATGATCTTTGCATGTGTGATATATATAATGTCGAATGTTGATGCTGTCGTCATCATCGTTTTAGATGTAAACGCCTACGACTACGACGACAAATATCCAAAGCAATATTTGTTGTAGCCATAGCAGCAATAGTAGCAACAACAACAACAACAAAAAGTCAGTTAGAATATTGTGTATGTAGGTTTTTGCACGCGTTCTTGGATCAAAATTCAACATTTATTAATACACCAGGCAAAGCAGTCAGAAGAAAAGGAAAGAACGAAAGCCATTTTTTCAATTTTATTTGTTCGTTTGTGTTACTCGATGATAACAACAACAAATTTTATATTGCTCAAAAAGTTTTCTCATTTCTACATTGTTTTTGCCTTTGTTTGTTTTTATCATCATCATCATCATCATTATATATGTCGTCCATCGCCATAATCCTGGCGTTTCGTCGACAACTCATTCATAATCCATTTGGAACGACACATTCCACATATGTTTTAAAATAATAATAAGATACATTGTTTCTTTCGAATCTATTTATTGTTGATGGTGATATTGAAAATTGTGTATCTATTATTTTGTTTTCGTTTTGGAAATTTACTAAATTTTTCGCAACTTGGTTCACTCATTGATTTATATGACGGTGGTAATGTGGAAAAATAATTATCTCAACTCATCATTATTATCAAAATAATTTCACATCCTTAATCCATATCATCAAAATCAAATCTATCTATTTCTAAATTAATTTCATTGTTTTTCATACAATTACATTGATTGTTATTTTATCTGAAGAGGTAAGTTTTTGCGTTTGAAATCATACATGTATTTTGAATGATAAATTTCGATTGAACAAATGATAAACATTGAATGACTGATTATAATAGCTCCATATCACTATCGTTTGATTGTTAATGAAAATTATCATGTTGAAAACAAAAAAAAAAAATTTTTTTGTTGCTTGTTGATTGCAATCAAAAATACATTTTTTTATATTATATAAACTAAAAAACAAATAATACGAAATCATATCAAATCTTGTGAATCCAAAGTGAAATCCATATCATATAAACAAAAGAAACACTGTCACGCAAGAATAACGAAATCTTTTCTCGTTTTTCGAAAATTAAATAACTACGAAAAAAAAATTGAAAATCAATCAACCGAATCGTTGGAAATCATAATTCCAGTAATTATAATTAAAAAAAATTACGTTATCTCATCTCAGAAAGGGACCCAAGATTTGGGTCCTTGTCTGCTGCTGTATTTTTTTTTTGTTTGTTTGTTTGTTTGTTTAGATTCAATTAATGAGCTCATGTTTAAATTCAAATTCGTGAATTCGTGATCTTTGAAAAAATGTCTCACCATTTTTTTCCGTGTTCCCATCTTTTCAGTTTATTGTAACAGTATTTGATAATCATTAATTTATTTTTAGTTTTGTTATCCTACCCTTTAAATCGTGTACTAAATATAATATATATTCTGATTTAAGGTAAGATGAAAAATAAATAAAAAAAAACTTGATCAAATTTCATTAATGACGATTATCACAAGAAAATATATAGTTTTTTTTCCTTCTTCATCCATCAGTTTGGTATAGGAAAACTAAAACCTTGTTTGTTATATGATCGTTCTTGGGTCATAAATTTTGTCACATGTTTTTGATATATTATGCAATATTTCGGGTGAAAAGTGAAAAAAAAAATCACTAGTTGGATTTTGTTTTTGATACATTTACCGCTACTCCATGAATATTGTAGCCGCCACCCAAGAATAAATTTTGACCATATATGAATGTGTACATTTACTTTCATTTTTGGGTCTAATAATTCAAACCACAAGTAAAAAGACATTCAACCCTTATGTTTTTTTGTGTGTGTGTGTGTGTGTGATTAGTTCATTTATCTCGCCCATTTTTTTCCCGAATCGCATGCACAAGAATTCATTCATCCATTAAAAAAATTGTCTCTGAGTAAGTCAACCCAGAAGAAAAAAAAATGAACAACAAAAAAGTCATTGTCTTGTTAACAACAACAGTATAAAAAAAACATACTTAAACAGAAAAACAACTTTTACAGGATTTCGAATTACAAACTGTGACTGAAAAACGGGGCCAACTACCCCAACAAAATCATCTAATTATCATCATAGCAGTTGCATGATTGTCACAAGTCTAAGCATTTTTCCCGTCATAGTCATCATCATATATCTATACATTTGTTGCGTATAAAAACTGTTAGCTTTAATCAAAAACTTATTTATAAATTTGACAACAACAATAATTATTATTCAATTCAATTATAATTTTTTATTTGCTTTCAATTATTATAGATGCTTTACATAACAATTGAATAAAAAAAAATCCTGATAAAAAATTCTTTCATTGCGGATCAACTTGGAAACAAAACGTTTTTTTGACGAAATCCAACAAATAAAAACGACCAAAAATATTTTGAAACTACTCATATATCTGCCTGCCAACAACATCATCAAACGTGAGAAAGTAAAGCAAAGAACAACTTGAAAATGGCAGTCGATTATTATGAAATTTTACAAGTAACTCGTACGGCATCGCCTGATGAAATTAAAAAAGCGTAAGTTTTTTTTTGAGTGAATGAGAAATGAAAAAACTTGCTTAAGCTCATCTGTTTACTTTTCTATGGATTGTTTAGTTATCGCAAATTGGCACTAAAATGGCATCCCGATAAAAATCCAAATAATAAAGATGAAGCAGAAAAACAATTTAAACAAATTTCACAGGCATATGAAATTTTGTCTGATGGTTAGTCTATTTTTTTCATTCTTGAAACAATAATAACATTTGTTTGTTTGATGAAATAGATAAGAAACGTCGCCAATACGATAAATATGGTTCGGTCGATGATCAACAAGATTTTTTTGGCACAAACAACAATCACAATCCATTCGCATCTATGTTTTCATTTCGTGATCCACACGATATATTCCGAGAATTTTTTCGTGCTGATCCGTTTGCCGATTTCCAGCCATTTGGAGGTGGAGGTTTTCCCCCGTTTGGTCAAAACGGTTTTGGTTTTGGCAATCTACAACCATTTGTTGATCCTTTTGGCGTTGGTAATACCCATAGCTCTTTCACGACATTCACATCGGATGATCCATTTGCTCACATGAATGGGAATGGTATGCGTTCTAATGTCAAACGTACAACAACAACAACGACTAAATATGTGAATGGTAACAAAATTGAAACAAGAAAGTAAGTGATTATCGATTGAATTTAAATGAACTGTTCTAATTAAATTTTTCGTTCATAATAAATAGGGTGTTTGAAAATGGAAAAGAAACTGTCACTGTCCACGAGAATGGTATTCTCAAGTCAAAAGTCATCAAAGATGCACCACAAAATAATCTCAGTAAACAATCTATCAAATTCTAATCAAAACCATTCATCTTAATCCTAAAAATCATACACATACACACACACACACACACATACATAATTAGTAATTGCTAACATACATACATAAATACAAATTTTACATTTTCAAAGATCAAACAATTTTAGGTTTAGACATGACCAATTTATTGTTATTTTACTATTATGAACAATTTTATTGCTGAAAAACGATTGATCTTTGTTCGATCAAAAAAAAAATCCATAATCATTCCGATTTTCTTTCATTGTTAATTGTCAAGTTTTTTTTCCTGAATTTAGACATGATTTTTGCCACATTGCGCGCTCATACATACATAATAAACATCTCTTTTGAACAAGTATTAAAATCATTTTATTATTCATACATGAGAATTTATATGGCAATGGCACAAAACATAATAAATACAAAAACGAATTCTGATACTTTGAATAGCATAGATACATCAAAATAATTCATTATTCCTTGAATTGATTACATATACTTTTTACATGGAAAAAAAGAATCGCTTTATACACCATTGATTCCATAATTTTCAAAACATACACAACATAAAGACACCAACTCGTCCTGTTATTATCCATATTCACTACAGCCAATCATTTTGAAAATCCATATTGATACTCTTTTGTATATTATTTTTTCTTTTTATTTAATTTTATGGAATTTTCTCCAAAAAAAAAAAATAAATAATCAATAATTTAAAATGAACATTTATCGAATTCATTAAATCATCTTTACGAGAATCCTTGCCTATCTAAACATGAGTTTTTTTTTCTAAATATGATTCTTGTAATATTATCCCCTTTGTAAAAACTAAAATTGTGGTTGTTGTAAAATTATTCATTTGGTTGGAAAAAAACCTTGAATGGAAAAACGTTTTTTTTTGTGGTGGATTTATTTCAAGTTTGAATGATGATGATGATTTATGCTAAACATAGACATATTTTATTTGTTTGATGTTCATCATCAACATTGACAACGACTCACGCACTAATATGATAATTAATGAAAACTTGTGTGTGTATTGTGTGGTCGTTATTGTCGACAAACAGAAGCAATACACACATTTAAAAAAAAACTGATGATTATTGAAAATTTTATTAAGAAAAAGAGTAACATTGTTTGCCCACTCATGGAGAAATTTTTCGCGACCAATAGATATATAAACAAAATTGAACAAACAAATGATTCAAAATGAATTTTAAACGTGGAAAAAAGTTACATCTTTCATGATAATGGCGGGAATTTTCGATTTAAATCCGTGGATTATAAGAACGTCGTTTATGTATGATTTATATTTACATCCAATAAATGAAATACCATGTGACATGAAATAAACAATTTCATTGATCGGTTAACGTTAATAATGCAATCATTAATTGTCCGTTCCGTTTCGATTCTGAGATTATCATCTCAATTAATTAGCCAAAACTCATTGAAAAGATTTATTGGATCAAAAATTTATGATCAATTATCTTCGAAAGGATTGTTTAGTTCATATTTTCCACAAAGGTAATTTTGTATTTTGGTTATTCTAATTTTTAATTTTTTCTTCTCTCAGTGCTAATATCAATGAATTTTTATCACGAAAACAGATAATTTATGCCGGTTTTGATCCCACCAACAAAAGCCTTCATGTTGGAAATCTTTTAGTATTGATTTCATTATTTCATTTGCATCATCATGGTCATCGAATCATTCTACTCATTGGTGATGCTACGGCTCATATTGGTGATCCTTCGGGTAAAGTACAGGAACGACCTATTCTTTCTGACAATCTTATCGATTCGAATGCCTGTGGTATTGAACAAGACATTCAACAAGTCTTTGATAATTATCGGAAATATTTTGCTAAACATGTTGCTGATGATCGAGAATTTGTCATTCTTCGTAATAGCGAATGGTTTAACAAAATGAATGTTGTTGATTTTATCAACAAATATGCTCGATATCTTCGTATGGGTGATATGTTAAACAAAAGTGCCATTCGAGAGCGATTAGAATCACCAAGCGGTCTAAGTTTTGCAGAATTTGCCTATCAAACTTTTCAAGCATATGATTGGTATCATCTCTTCAAACAATATGGATGTCGAGTACAGGTTGGTGGTGTTGATCAAACAGTGAACATTCATAATGGTTATGATTTGATCAAGAAAATTGATCAACAACTTCCATGTGGATTATTCATTCCATTAATTACGGACAATAAAGGAAATAAAATTGGCAAATCCGAAGGTAAAGCTGTATTTTTAAATCCAGAAATGACGACACCATTTGGACTTTATCAAGTTAGTTATTATTTTTGTTTTAATTCTTCATGAGCTAAAATTAAGTTAATTTGTACAAAAATAGTATTTTATGCGAATACCCGATCGTGATATCAACCGTTTATTAAAATTATTTTCATTTCGGCCATTGGCCGAAATCGAAACGTTGATACTAAATCAGATGAAAAATCCAAAACCATGGCAATTACAGAAACGCTTAGCCGAAGAGATGACATTACTGGTACATGGACAAAATGGTTTAGATCAGGCAAAACGAATAACATCAGCATTGTTTGACAAAAATCTTGATCAATTAGGCAACCTTAATGAACAAGAAATCAACGATGTATTTGACGGTGTTCCTATCATTCATATGGAATTTATCGAACAACAAACTACCGTACTAAACCTGGCGATGCAAACAAATTTTTTTCATTCCGAAATTGAAGCAATCAATACGATTAAGGATGGTGGTTTTTATATTAATTATAATCGTCATTCTAAAGCGGATGATTTGATTGAAAATAAGCCAGAACATATATTAAAAAATCATATTACGATAGTTAGCTTGGGTAAACGAAATCATTGTTTAATAAAATGGTTATAATGAATAAAATTAAGCTTTCCATAATTTCAATAATCCATCAATACTATATGTAGCCAGAATATTCTGTTTGGGATGATGGCAGAGACCAATAATTTCAGCATCGGAAACTTCCATAGTATGATCGATCTTTCCAGATTGAATATCGAAACAATATAATTGTCGATTTTCAGCCACAGCATAAATGAATTCACCATGTGGTGAAACGGTACAGCAAACAAAATCTCCGCCATCCGCTACAGCATTTGTTAACGTTCGAACAATCTGTCCGGACATATTCATTATACTGATTGTATTGCTACGAGTACAGATTAAAAAATGTTCTGGTGTTTTCGGCATCAATTGTATAGTATTCACTGCAATTTCAATCGTTGCCGATCCAGATATGGCCGTTGATTTATATGAATTAACACATTCAGCATTTTTAAGATTCCAAATTTTTACCGTACCATCCGAACTACCACTTATGACATGATGTTGATCATTGCTAAATATAACGGTATTAATAAAACTTGTATGGCCACGAAATTCTTTAAGCATTTTTCCACTTTTCATTCCATGTACTCGCAATGTTCCATCATAGCTACCCGAAAGGATTTGGGTATAATCGCGATTAAATTGTATACAGGTGACACCTTTGTTATGTGCTTTATCATAACGGCGTATACACTGGCCAGTTTGAATTTTCCAGATTTTTATCTTACCATCTTGACTGCCAGAAACGAGCATTTCGGAATCTTTACTGAACGTTAAACACAGGACAGCATCATCCATCATCATGAATTGTTCCTGCGCTTGATATTTGAGATCTTTGCGGATTTTTCCAGTGATAAAATTCCATACTTCGATTAGGCCGTCAACGGTACCGGTAACCAAAAATTGCCCATCTGGTGAAAATGTCGCACATTCAACATGAATTTTATGACCAAATTTAATCGTTTTGGATAGCCGTGTTGGATAAGTTTCATCTTCTTCCTCTTTTATTGATGTTTTACCACGGAACAGATCAATGGAGCTACCTTGTGGTAATAGGCCTTGGTGTTGTTGCCATTTTAATGCCTGACCAATGAGTACCATCAATCGTGATGATGGAACGACGGTAACATCTGAACTTAGACTCTGGGAAATCTGTGCACGTCGTTTTTCTTTGCAGCTTCCTTCTGGATAGGCTTCATATGGATCGAAATAACTTTTGGCCAACAAAGTTTCTAAATGAAGATATCGTTCGGCGTGATCATTTTTCAATTTTAACATAGGATCAGTTTGTCGTAGCAGACTTCGAGCTGCACCATATTCACGCATTTCAATCAATTCGATCACAATTTGTTCATATAAATCAATGAGTTTTTTATCCGGAAGATTTAATGGTTGTATAACTTTCAATACGGTTTCCCAATGACCATTTTGAATATCTTGTACGAATGATTCAATAGAATCGACCGTATTCAATTGAATCGATGATTCTTCTTCCAATACTTGCAATGTTCGATGAAGATTATTTTCTTTTAAAAATTGTTCAATCAATCGTATTACATCGGATGATTCGATTTCAATTGACATTTTTGTTTTGACAATAAAAATTTTATAAACAATTTAAAAAAAATCCCAAATAAAAAAAAATAAAACACCCAAGTAAATAAATAGGTGTAAATAGCGTGATCAAATGATGAGAAGCTCAAATGAGAAACTCACACGCATCCAGACAACGGAAGGGTTCGTTTATATATAAACAAACACACACACACACACACACAAGAGTGTATTTATTATTGAGAATTGTAAAAGTTGGAGAGAAAAAAAAATTAAAAATTCAATATATCTACATTTTTATGGTCACTACTTTTGAGTGATTTGAATTATCATCTTAAAATAATAAAATAAATAAATAAAAACTATGAGAAAATTAATAAAATCGAATCAATGTTCTAAATGGCCAAGTTGAATATGAATGAACGAAAATAGACAAACATTCGATCGTTCGAATGGAATTTGACTTTGGCCATTAGAATTGTTAATCGATAATCGTTATTTGAATTATCGGTAAACTTAATTTGTATTCTTCAACACAATAATGTTGGTGATATGAATTATATTAAAATTATTTCGATTCAAATCATATGGATTCTTATGTCATATTTCTTTAGTTGACATGTTTACTGTATCATCATTGTTGTTATTGATCATCCGTTCTCATCTGTCAAAATTTAGAATCACGTGGTATTTTGATTTTTTTTTGTCACGTGGATAGCACATGGCTTAATATTGTGTTTCAGATGATAACCGATCGGATGGTCAAAAAATATCAAGAAATTGATTTGAACGCTTTGTTGAACGCAATTTGTAATTTAGCTTCGATTTTCTACATAATATCTTTCCATTTGTTCATTTTTCCTTTAATTGTTAAAAGTTCATGACCCTTCAATCCTGTTAAAACGAAGTGTATGCTTGTTACAAAACGCCGTAAATTTAATTTGCCACAAATTATTATGAATGGCCATTTGTTAAGTTTGGTGTCCAGTATGGTCACTGCTTCCTATATTTTATTTGATTTAAAAATTCAGTATTCATAAATACAATTCATCCGGCTTTGATGGGCCCAGGATCGATTATTAGTGTCTTTTTTCGAATTACAAAAATGTTTTTCAACTATCCAATCGCGATTAAAGTCTAAATTACAGCCAAACAAACATTGAGTCCAAAAAATGGTCTTGCTCTCATCAATATCAGCTAAATTTGTGTCATTGTCAATCTGATCGATACTTAGGACCCTGTAGAATCAATTATCATCAAAAAAACAGGAAAAATTTAGAGAAAAATCTTCGAAAATAACGATCAAAATTTTTTAATTTCAATCAATGTAGAATCAAATCATCGAAAAACAGGAAAAATTTCTTCGAAATTTCAATCAATGTAAATCAAAAATTTTTGAAATTTCCGAGTCACTTCCGGTTTTCATGGTTTTCACGTTGATCATGATTTCTACTTCCTATCAATGAAACATCGAAGAAGAAAGCTCAAACAAAAAAAAACAAGACCCAACAAACATAAAGGGAGGAATATAACAAATCAACTCAAATATCCTCCATCGTCATCATCATCATCATTCAATGAACATATAACCGACGCTTGCGCCTGCTAAGACAAAAAAGTTTCTGTAAAAACCATCGCATATATTTCAATCACAATTTTATTGTTGACCATATTTGATTATAATAACATTAATTAATACCACTACCAAATGTTAATATATGACATTGTTATACGTGCTATTACAGTGTTGTTGAATTGCCCTCTTTGTTTAGCTATGAACCACTACTACTTTACATTGATTTCTCAGTCAGTTGTTGGCCTTTTCTCATTTTCTCATTCGATGATGAGTCGTTGTCGTCATTTTCTTTCGCTCGTTTTACTGGCTTTAGCTAAATGTAATATTTAACCAATAACCAACAAGAATTCCTCATTATCCATTGAAACGAAAACGAATGAATTTTGATATTATTCTTTCGAATTTATAGAGAAACGATAATAGTTTTGTGTTTTGAATTTCGATCTCATTCAATTTTATTATTATTAATCCATCTTTTTTTAAAAAAACTGTGAACCAAGAACCAGATAAGTTATCGTTCAACGCTATGATTTTTAATCAACAACAACAGCAACGATTCGGCAATTTTGTCTCCTGATTCTATTCTTACCATCATTTATTGATATATAAATTTCTTCAATCAGAATTAAAATCAGTAACAATTTTACAAATGGAACAGGATAGCCCTTTACCATCATCATCATCATCATCATCAGATCATCCGGATGATCATACATCACATCAACAACAACATCAAGAACAGAATCAACAACAACAACAACAAAAATTAAGTGCACATCTAATACCGGCAACCATCGATGATAACATACTTAAACGTGAATTATATTTTTTAATTTATAAATTTTTGGAACGAAGTCCATTACAACAATCATTTCAAGTATTACAACGTGAATTAGAATCCAATGCATGTCTGTTACCACCACAATATGATTGGCGTACCGGTACGGAACGTTCATTGGAAGAATCTGGATTTGGGAAGGAAATACTCGAGCTAGCCATTAGGCAGCATCCACACATCACTGCCGATTATCTATTTCAATCACTAAAACAAGCACATCAGGCCTTAGGTCAAGTTGTGCCACCACCGATTGAAAATTCTATCGTTTCATTCCTATCAGCCGGACGTTTTTCATTGATACGACCTATACCGAAAAAATCATTAATACCGGAACAAGATGAACGTTTATTACCACGAAATCGTAATCCATATTCATTAGCATCTATATCCAATCATCGTAACCATGCACCACCATTGCCGTCACAACGTTTTTCATCGGTTCATTTTCCCGGGCATATTAGTCAAACATTATTCAGTCGGCAATTGGCTGGTCCTAAGCCCATAACGCATCTATTGCCAGTTGGATTCTATGAACAATATCAAAAATATAATCGTGTACTTGGTCATCTTTCTTCCGTATTCTGTGTTCTTTTCGATCGTACTGGGCGATTTTTGGTGACTGGAGCGGATGATACTATCATTAAAATTTGGTCTGCATCCAATGGCCGTTTATTGGCTACCTTACGTGGACATCAAGGTGAAATAACCGATTTATCTATTTCACTTGAAAATGATATGCTTGCATCGGGCAGTTGTGACAAAAAAATTCGTGTTTGGGACCTACGTACGACTGCTTTGATCAAAACGTTAAAGAATCATGAAGATCAAATATCAGCTGTAAAATTTTGCCCACTTATGACACAGGATACTCGATATCTAGTATCAATCTCTCAGGATGGTAGTGTTTGTTTTTACAAATATGATGCTAAAACTCGCTTGTTTCAGGATGATCCGATTCGTTTTGTCGAACGTAAACGTCGCGATTCTCAACTAGTATCATGTTCGTTCTCGGCAGGTGGCGCCTTTTTTGCTGTTGGTTCAACTGATTGCAGTCTTTATGTTTTTCATGTTTCGGCACCGGCTGGTCCGGCTAAAATTCTTGAAATTGAACAACATACCGATCATGTGGATTCTTTACAGTTTAGCAATCGATCAATGTTACGATTTATTTCTAGTGGTCGTGATGGTCTGGCGCACATTTGGAATTATGAAAAACAAAAATGGAATCATCTCAAAATTGATATAAATCAACGATTAGATGGTCGACCACCAGAACGTCGAGTAGAAATTGCTGGAACATCAAAGATTTGTGTTTTACGTGTCTGCATGGTAGCCTGGACAATTGATGATCGTTTTGTTATCACTTCATTAACAGATAGTTCGATTAAGGTTTGGTTTTCACATAATGCTAAATTAAAACATGTTCTTTATGGTCATGAAGATGAAGTATATATTATTGAACCACATCCTACTGATGGTCGAATTATATTGACCGCCGGACATGAAGGTGCTATAATGATCTGGGATGTTGTCACCGGCACAAATATAAAAACATTTTACAATGCATTGGAAAATTCTCAGGTTCCCGCATCATTGTTCGATGCTAAATGGAATCCGGACGGTACAATGTTTGCTGCGACCGATAGCTATGGACATTTAATTCTTTTTGGACTATCACCATCGAATCCATATGCCGAATTACCTGAACATATGTTTTTTCATACCGATTATCGGCCTATCATACGTGATGTCAATGATTTTGTTATAGATGAACAGATGCAGATTGCACCACATCTAATGCCACCACCATTTTTAGTCGATATTGATGGGAATCCCTATCCACCACGACTTCAGCGGCTAGTACCTGGCCGAGAAAATTGTCACGATCCACAACTTATACCGTTCGATGGTGGTGATCAACAAAATGATCAACAAGCTCAACAACAAGGAGCCCTTACTATTGACGATATGATTGAACGTTTACAGCGAGAACAACGAGGGCAACGACTACCAAGTGGTTCAGGAGATAATTCGGCTCCAACTTCAGCATCTTCACCATCTGCTGCTTTGCGAAATTCTCATTCGGTTGGTGACGGTGTACGTAATGCTGCCAATTTAGTCGATCCAAATAACCGTGTTAATGATGAAAATGGTAGACCAAATAGATTTCAAATGGGTATATTCATGCGAAAACCATTGATTATGCCGTTGCCTGAACGTGAAATCGAATTCATTCGTGAGCGACAATGTTCGCTAAATAGAATGGAAGAAGAATATTATCGGGCAGAACAGAAAAAACGATCAAAAGAGATTGAACCAATTGAACCATTACCAAAATTTAAGCCATTTACACGACGACAACGAAGAATATTGTACCAGTCCAGTGGTGTCATACGTGCATCATCACGATCAAATCGTTCAAATACAAATAATGCCGATAGTAATGAACGTCGATTTGCATTAGTTCCGCTTGATGAAGATGATTCTAATGACGAAGATTTTACTGGTACATCAGAAGAGGAATCGAGTGATTCAGATGATACTACATCAGATTCAGATTGGAATCAACCATCAACATCACGTGATAGAACGCCATTCACAAATTCAGCTGCTGCTGTTGCGACTAGTGCTTCTACCAGTCGTAAACGCAAACGTCGTGGTACCGATGTTGATGATGATGATGATGAAGAGGAGGAAGAGGATCGTATTCAAAGTGATAATGATGATAACGCTCAGCATGGTCCTTCCAGTGATATAATCCTTTTAAATCAGCCATCAACTTCAAATGGAAACGATGGATCTATACGATCAAGACGGCAAAAAAATATCGAAGATATCCATAATCCATCTGAAAGACGTCAACGTTTTGAACAAATTCCTGTTGATCGTAGTGGGCATACATTTCGACAGCTTAGAGATGACCACCACCTTGATGAACAGTTTCGACCACCTGAATGGTTTACGAATAGTAAACCTAAACGAATGCCTTATTTTCCACAGATTGGTGATCGTGTTGTATATTTCCGTCAAGGTCATCAGAAATATATTGATGCAGTACGTGAAACGAAATGTTATAAAATTAATCTGGCAACAAAACCATTTCGATTACGTGGAAGTGATTCGGATGAAATATTTGCCAAAATTATCGGTATTCAATATCATGTCAAGCCACCACGTTTAGTTACACTGCGTATGGTTGTTGTAGATCCATTAGCTGAAGAAAACGAAGCTGAACAACAACAAACAGCGAATAATGTTGATCCATCTTCATCCATTCATCATCCCCATAATGCCCAGCAACAATTTTCTATTCGATATCATGATCTAGATCATGTTTGTGATTTCATCATCCTGAAACAATGGTACGATATATCCGTTTCACGTGAATGGCGTATTTCTGACAGATTTCGATCAGCAATCGATGATCAATGGTGGATCGGTCGTATTCATTCTACGCGTTATACTGAAGCAAATTCTTATTTTCAATCAATCCAAGTTATTTGGTGTAATGGTGAAAAAGAATTATTAAGTCCTTGGGATTTGGAACCTCTAGAATCGAATCCAGATGATCCCGATCAACAAACACATGATGGTCAATCAGTAACCGATGAAGAGCGAATATCATTTTCAATGATTGATGATCAAGAATGGCCACTGGAACAACGTAATCGTGATCGTGAACGTATAATAAATGGCCTTTTACGTGTTATGGAATTTTCACATGCAGAAGAATTTGCCGCTCCTGTTGATCTCAATCAACATCCATTATATGCAATAACAATACCGTATCCGATGGACTTATCTACAATCATGTCGAGATTACGATCAAATTTCTATAGGCGTTTAGAAGCGGTTAAATTTGATGTGCGTTTTATTGAATCGAATGCCGCATTATATAATATGCCTGAATCACTTATTGTTAAAAAAGCCAAAATTATTACCGAATGTTGTTTACGTTTTATAGAAGATTCTGAATGTCAAGATCCGACACCAATCATGAATGAATTAAGTAATACTTATGCATCAGAATTAGTCACCGCTTCACCTGTCGATCCTACTCAACAACAGCAACAGCAACACCATTCATCATCAGCTTCATCATCATTTGACCAACAAAGGCCACGAAGATCTACACGTCGTATTCGTCCGGTAATGTTTTCTGATAGTGACATGGATGAAACTAATCGCCAAGGTCAGTCATCGAGATCTGTCCGTGCTAAACGTAGTCATAATCGACATCCATACGACCATGATGATAATAATAGACCACGCAAAACATGGAAACAATTGTGTCGTGAACTTATTGATCAGATTTTCGAGCTTTCCGATTCTGAACCTTTCCGTGCACCTGTTGATCCGATCATCTATCCCAATTATGCTCACATAATCGATACACCAATGGATTTGACGACAGTAAAAGAACAGCTCCTAGCCGATATCTATGATTCACCGCAAGGATTTTGCCAAAGATATGCGTCTAATATTTACCAATTCCAAACAATTCAATACAAACAAAAAATCACGTATTTATTCATTAACCATTCGATTGTCGAATATATTTGAAGAAAAGATGCGCTCAGTAATGAGTGAATTAAAGTCATCAAGAATGCTTAAGAATCGACAATCATCCAATGGTGGTCGCCGATCTGGTCGAAATAGTAGTAATGCAAGAATCAATCGCGGAACTAGTCGATATCCACAAAAATCATCATCATCGCTACCAATGTCACCGCCATTGCCTAGCCCTTATGAACAACAATTAAATGGGCCATCGACAAGTCGAAGACGATGTATGACACAGCAATTAATGATGATTGATTCAAAACAACAATCATCATTGGCTATTGCATCTAATCATTATAATCAACAACAACGTTCTAGTCATAGAATTTCAAAATATTATTATGGTTCAAATTCGGTTGAAAAATATGGCCTTAGACATCGACGGAAGCGTATTCGAACGTATAAAGAAGATGATAGTAATGAAGATTTTGATGATGATGATGATAATGACGATGATGATGAATCTATGAATATTGATCAAAGTATTAATAATAATGTCAAAGGACATAGCGATAACAATAATAATAATACACAATCAATTGTTAATGAAAAATATCATTTACGGCGTAACAATAGAAAACCTCGACGATTCTATTCGGATGACGATGTAGAGGAAGAATCAGAATTACCTGAAGAAGAAGAAGAAGAAACAAAAGATGAAGAAGATACAGATGAAAAGACAGATGTTGAAGATGATCGTGCAGAGGAGGAAGAGGAAGAAGAAGAAGAAGAACAGCCAAATGATTCAGATGCAACTCAATTTGATGCAGAAGATGATGATGATGATGATGACAATAAAGAAAATTCATCATCTCGTACTGGAACACGGAGGCCGATTCGAGCTGCAGCAAGAAAACGAGTAAATTATGATGAAAATGTCTCTGATTCTGATGATGAAATGACCGGAAATCGAATCCGTGAACTAAATGTTAGGCTACGGTCTCATTAGAACCTTTTCACCGAGCCAGACGACTCAGAACAAATCAAAAATCATCAAGTCTGAAAAGTTGTGCTAAAATTGATCCAGACAGCTTGTAGGTTGGTTTTTTTTAAAAAAAGAATGAAATTAATTTTCTTTTTCTTTCAAATAGGTTCAACAGTGGTCAGATTTGGTCATTGAATACAATATTGGTACGTGTTGATGTGATCTTTTCGTGAATGGTGACAACAATCAGAATAAGAATAAAAAAAATAGCTGATAAAGAAAAACAATCTAATAGTCCGTGGATGAAATGATTACGTGTGGATGTAAATAGCATGTGTGTGTGTACAGCTATGTAAACAATGCATTGAATGTCTTTTACAATCATGTTAACGAATATTCAGTATATTATAATAAATTAAGTGTGTATATCAATTTTGTGTTGTTAAAGTGTATGTAGAATGTAAACAAAAAGTGTTAAAGGATGAAGATGAAGATGCTATTCCACAGAGATTTAAAAATTATTTTTTCTGTTATTCTGATAGATGGCACTATTGTAGCTTGTCACTTTTACAATTTCTACGATATATTTTGAGCCAATACGAATCGAATGATAAAATTCTTGATTGATGTAAATTTTTTTCATTTTGTTTCGTCAAATTACCTACACCTAAAACATGGATCTTTGGGGTGAAATAGAAGATTCTCCAATCGATACTAAATCTCAACAATTGTTGCTGAATTCAACTCCAAAAATTGTCAATCCCTCAGAATTTGAACTTCATGATCAACAAAGATTTCAAGCAAATCCATTGTTGGTTAAACATCATAGCACAGATTATATAATTGGATCCTCATCTTCAAACGAAATTACTAGCCCGTTCTTTGAAACACTTAAACTATTGATTGCCAAAGAACAACAAATTAATGATTATAAGAATGTTGAACAACAAAAACAACGAAAAGCAACTATAATTCTGTTGCACAATCGATGCGTGAATCAATCATCATGATACTGACACACGTTGGCTTTGATCTTTCTCATGACCTCACCATTGATCTATTGGTCGATGTGCTCGAATATTATTTGAAATCATTTGGAAAATTACTACGTTCATTTACCGATTCGATCGATTTGCAATCACCGAATGATTTTTATGATATTATGGACAAAACTTTGCATCATATGAATGTACCAAATTTTGAATCTTTACGTAAATTTCATGAAGAACTTGTCGAAAATTATAATCGAGTAAAAACGGAAAATTCGTTTGAAGAAAATATCCAAAAAATGTCATGCCAAGGAACAAAAACAGCAGAAACAAAATGATGATTAGAAAAGAAACTATTCATGATAAATTTTTATTTTATTCTACTTATTCTTATCTGTGAATGAATTGTTTTGTATATACAAATTTTTGGAAATAAAATTAAAAAAATAAATGATTGTGAAATTGATAATTAGAATTAATTTTAGATTTTAGATATTTTCAACCGATTAGGTCATACCAACGAGGTAAGAATAGTCGATCTGGTTGAAATTATCATTGAATCACGCTGTTATTTTTATTCTCATATTTGAAAAAAAAATCCAATCATCCATATCAAAATGGACGTTAAACAGCAAATCACCGATGAATTGAATAAATTTCAAGCAATTAGAAATCAATGTAAAAAGATACTTTCACAACGTGGCCAATTGGAAATACAATTGAATGAGAATAAACTTGTCAAAGAGGTATTATTGATCGAAATTTTTTTATCATTCAATAAATTAAATTTTAAAATAATTATATGTCATTTCTATCAAATAGGAATTAGACTTACTCGAAGATGGATCGAAAACATTTAAACTAATTGGACCAGCATTAATAAAAATTGAATTGAAAGAAGCTCGAGATAATGTTAACAATCGTATCAAATATATTACCGAAGAATTGTAAGTTGTCATTTTTTTTCCCAATGGCCGGCAATAAGATTTTATACTCATTCAATTCATTTTCTATTTTTCTATAAAATTATAAAAGAAAACGATATGATCAAACATTGGAAACGTTGACTAAACAACAGGATAAACATCGTGATGCCGTTATGAAATTGGAGCAGGCAACACAGCAAGCTATGTCAGCAGTAGCATCGAATCCAAAATAAGAAACTCATTCGAATTATAATTGTATCTCTTTTTTTTGCAATTGTTCAATATTTTTTTTTGTCTAAATGAATAATAGCTTTAAGAAAAATGTCAAACAATGACACAAACAATCGGCAAGAAAATGCCATCAAAAAAAAAAAAATACAACATTGTACAATCAGCATATCTATAGAAAAGGATACATTAGATTTGTTTTAAGCTATTATTACTATTGTATGTTTCAACATGGATATGTATGAAATTCTGAAAAAATAAAAATTTTTATGTACAGTTTCAATGTGTGTCATTTTCTGCAAAAAAAAAGAAACAAAAACTAGAACATCCAACGAGAAGGCATCAACAGGTTATATGGCATGGCAATTTTTTTTTTTTTTGTTTAACGAATGTCAATAATGACATCATCACATGAATGTATCATCAAAATGTCCATTATAATAACTTGAATAGGTACGAGCTTGAAACAATTCACGTATGAGCGAAGATTTTTCCCTTTCCAATTGTGTGATACGTTCACTTTTTCTTGTCACTTCATCGGTCAATAAACGATTTTGTTCTTTCAATTTGTTGACCAAATTTGGATTGACAACCAGTTGTCTTGGCTGATTTGGATCCATACGTCCGTTTGCTATTAATTGAGGTGATAATTGTGTTTCAGCTTGAGATGTTAATAATGATGGTAGGCCATTCAATGGTCTTATGGCAAGATTCATATGAATGGGAAAATTTTGTCCAGCATCACGTAATGCTGTTAAATGTTGATTCAATGTTTGTATACGAACTGCTTGGAAATTTATTCGTTCCTGATAAGCATCGATATTATTATAATCAGATGCAATCAGTGATGAACCACCTGAACGGCCAACAATATTGATTCGATCCTGTATGGATGATATTTGTCTCAAATACCATTTTTTTGTATGTTCGATTTCTTCCAATCCACGTATCAATATGTCTTTTTCCTGTTCAAGTTGTTGAAATTTTTTTACCTAATTTGCATAAAGAGAAAAAAATTCGGACATGATCATTATTCATCTGATTAACATAATTTATTATTTAAAAAATTAATGAAAAAAAATAGACAAAAAATCCAACTACTTACAGCATAAAGGTCGATCCCATTCGCACCCACGGTATGTCGGCGTGGTTCTCGTGGTAGCCTCTGTTGACGAATCGATGATCGTCGATGTAATGATGAGTTATGAAAACCACTCATCATGGCCATTGATTGATCATTATCGATATAATTGTGGTCATTGGTGATTGATATAACGGGAGCAACGAATCCTTGATCATTTAGTTTTTCATCATCATTGTTAGGCGAGGCTTGTAACTGGTTCATATTATTATTTTCACGATTTATATTTGATGTTGATGTTTGAGCTGATTTTATGACCAATGAACGTGGCCAATGAAAATCAGCACCGGTATTTTTTGTTTGTAGAATTAAATCATTGAATGATGGTAACGGGTGTTTACTTAGGATATTATCTCTCCAATTTTGTAATGTTTTCATTATGCAATTTCGAGGAACAGTTTTTGGTGCTGAGTTTCCATCAGTAATCACTGTTTTGATTATCGGTGTTTGTTCATTGTTATCGTTTATTAAAGAATTTGCTGAACTATTATGATGATTATGTTGTTGCTTTGGATTCTCATTAGTTGCATGATGCTGTTGGTAGGTATGACTATGATTATGATAGATGTGTTTTTGATAATTCATAGGCAGTTGATGATGATAATTAGGTTGATCCGCAGTAACAAACGATAGTGACGAGGACTGAGAATTGTGCGACACATCTATCAAATGTGGCATACTTTTGGCACGACATGCTTGCTGATGTTGTAATGGTTGTGTTTGCTGTTGTTGATTATCATCATTAATCGATGGACGATTTCGTCCTGTTTGGCCATATTGACTTTCCAAATATTGATGATTGACCACACGTTTAATCTCTTCTAATTGATGTTGAGAAAGATGAGGAAATTGTTTGGCCGGTTTCGGCGGTGGTTTTGTTGTTGTTGTTGTTGTGATTCTACATTAATTAATTCGGAATTTGTCGTCGTGGTAGATGTAGTTGCTGTGGGTGATTGGTCAGAATTTGTATGATGATTCACAATTAGAATGGGCGGCGGTGGAACTTTAGGTTTACTTTTGGCAGCCATAACTTGTTCATATGATGGAAGGGGTAACTTTTTAGCAGTTGGAATTTCCGTTGTCATCACTGGCTGTGAATGATGTGAATTCATTTGTTGAGTGCATGTGGCATTGTTTGTCAATTTAAGATTATTACTATAACTGATATTGTTATTATTCACTTCCACCGTTTTATTACTACTTGACGTTGGTGTTGGTGATGATAATGAAGATGGAGGTGGTGGAGCAAATATTTGTGGTTCTGAGGATGGTCGATCAACGGAAGTGGATAATGCTGGAGCAGGTGGTGGTTGTAATAATTGTGAACGACTACTATTACAATCAACACCATTGGGAATAGTGATGGATGAATCGGATGTAGCCATCGAACGACATTCATCATTTATTGTCATCATTCGAACATCATTAATATCAACTTGATTTTTGAGCAAACAAAGTTTAATACCGGCACAGAATCGATCAAATGTTAGCAGACCATTGGGTAGTTTAACTTTAGCTAAACAAGCAATCAAACCTTTAGGGAAAAATGGATCACCATCATCCTCTTCCCATTGATTGGCAAGATCGGCAAAACAAATTGTACCCAATTGTTCAGTATCCATTACATCGAACAATTGTTGTAATGCTGCAACAAATTGTTTGGACATTCCATGTATGAATGGATTATCTTCGGTTGCTTCACACAATTCAATCATTTTTTGTTAATTTAATCAATTTTTCAAAAAAAAATTCTAATTCAAATGAAAAATGAACCAAGAACGTGTGATTGATGAATCAATTCTTTTCACTGTTTTGACAAGGTATCACATAATCATAATCAACTTCGTGGCCATCAATATTTAATATCACACCTGAATCTGATTGATTGATCAATCGATCATCCAAGTTGAACAAAAAAAAAATAAAAATCTCAATCAAAAGAAAACCATGAAACACTTCTTGATGATGATGATGTTGTCGATCGGTTGGCTAGTGGATTTTTCGATTGATCAATCCATGAAGACGTGGTTGGCTGTTCATCGAGTTTTTTTTCAACATTTCCATTTTCAAAAAAGGAAAAAAATCCACATACACTCACACATCATTGGGCTGGACACACAAATTTCATATATAATAACATTTGAACGAGCACTACAATCAAGTAGCATCTATCAGGTAAAACAAGAGCTTCAAATCGATGATGATACAAACATTGAATTGATTTTTATTAGAAAAAAAACACCAAACAGGTTGGCTTCAATTCATGTCAAAGTCCAGTATACTTGTCCTGTGTGTATATACTTTTGGTCGATCGGTTGGTTTTTCTTTTCGGTGGACTGATTATCTCCGTGTTTGTGTGTGTGTGTATGTATGTGTGCGTGTGTGAGTATTGTGCCTGAAGCCGTTCACATTTTAACAACGAACAAATGAACGAAAAAAGAGGTTCGATTGAGAAAAATGGCTTAGAACTTTTTGCTGAACATTGAACAAATGAATATACGAATAGAACGTTCAACGTTATAATGCATAGTAATGTTTAGTATGTCTTTGCAGCAGTGGCCTAACATTTTACGAACTATGACATTTTTTTTTCTCTCATGATTTAAAAAAAGGACATATGGCTTGATTTATAACATAACGGTCTATGGAGAAAGATGATGATAAAAAAAAGATGGAAAACAGGCGACTTGTTGCTTAGAAATGTGATCTTAATACGAATCTATTAAACGTTATCATCACATAATGACATTTTAATTTTTACAAAAAAAAATTGTTTTTAAACTTTTAATTTTGAAAATTATAAATGCCCTAAAATCGCGTCTTATACAAAAAAAATGTTGATAGTCTTATTTTTATGGTAAATTATTTTGTTTTTTTTAATGAAAATTTCAATGATAATCATTGGAAATCATGATGAATATCATATGCGAAAAAAGAAGAAAATTTTTTTTTTGCATTAGATTTTGTTTGAATATCAGAAAAAAAATTAACAGCGGCCATTGGACTTTTTTTTTACAAATCCAGTTTGGCGCCAGTTTATATATATCAATCGAATAAATTCTTGATTGACAAAGTTCATTAATAGGCTCGCAAGGTGGAGCAATATGCATTATCATTTCACAAACACACACAACCTACCGGCAATGATTGGAACCATGTGAAATTTTTCCGAACAATGATTATGGTAACAAAAAGAAGTGGCATCATAATAAATAGTGTGATCAGTTGTGGATTCTATCACACCGATAAACTACTAGATTGGTGGATTGTTGTGGCTAGCAGAACAGCATCGCCATCTTGTCTCGGTTTTGACACTGTGTGTTGGACGGCTCGGCAATTTTTCTATGTTTGTGTGTGTTTTTTGTTTGTATTTTTTTTTTGCCATAAATTTTCGGTATTTTGTTCTGTGTTTTATATTCTGGTCATTTTGTTTATTATATTTTCAAAACAATCATTCGATTTACTAAAGTATGGCTTATCAACGACCATACGGTAATTATCCTCCACCGCCAAATTATCATCAAGGACCACCACCTGGTATGTCTCAACATCAACAACAACCACCACCTCCAAATCAATTTGGTGGAAATTCCGGTAGTGTAACTCAAACACAACATCAACCACCTCCTCAATATAATCGTAATGTTTGGAATCATCCGCCTGGTATGGCAGGACTTCCTCCTCATCATGGACAACCACATCCACAATCAAACATAAGTCCATGGATCAATCAGAATATGCCACCACATATGAATGGATCACCATTTCGCGGATTCCCACCATCACCGGTACAACAATATCCAATGGATCGAAATCATATAAAACATTCACCAAACATGCGAATGGTAAACTTAAAATTCTAAAAAATTTTTAATCATAATAACATTTGTGTCATTCATTCATAGAGTCAGGGAAATAAACGTCAGGCCGATTGGAATTCAAGTTCACAGCAAAATCATCATCATCAAAATAATAACAAACGTAATCGCCCTAGTAATGTCAACAACAATGCATCAAACAATAAGAATAATAATGTTCAGAATCAGAATAATAACATTAAACAACAGCAAAGTCCAAGCAAACAGAACACTTCAAACAATAACCAAAACAACAACAAGAATAATCAACAACAAAATCGTAATAAACAATGGGTCAATTATAATAGCCCAAAAAATCGTTATAGTTTTAATAATAAAAAACGTATGAATAATAATAATGTAAAATCAAATCAGGTAAGAAATTCTTATTGAATGGTTTGATGATATAATCTAAATCAATCTTAAAATTTAATCCTTTTCAGAAGCAGCAAAACAATGCCAACAAAAAGAAAGAGTTATCTATTGTCGATGTCGATGGTAGTGAACAAAAACAACAGAATGAAGATCATAGTGAACAAATTGAAAAGTATTTCCAGAATGTGACCGGATTAATTTGCAGTATGTACAAAATGATTTCTCACTATTAACCAATTAAATTTCAATTATTATAATCTTATCCTTATAGATCTTTGCAATGTATTTCTTCGAAATGTTCAAGATGCAAATGTACACTGTAAAAACAATGCCGATCATAAAACAAAAGTAGAATTAGAAATAAAAAAACAACAAGAAGAGGAAAAAAAGAAACTAATGGAAGAAGAGAAGAAAAAGAAGGAAGAAGCTGAAACTAAAACGGAAGCTAATGAATCTACAAATGAACCGACTAACGCATCTGAAACACCGACAACATCTGATGCTTCAGCTACTGTCGCTAGTGGTAGCGGTGATCAGGAAACTACCGATGTTCAAAATGAATCATCAGTGAATGTCGAATCATCTGCAACGGAACCAGAAAACGCAACAGCTGTTGTAGTAAATACAACGTCTGAAGATAAAACAGCCGAAACGACCACTACATCTACTAATGATGAAGATGAAACGGAATCAGCCGAAGCATCATCGACTACTAATGTCGAATCAAAAGCAGATGAAGGTATAAACAAAAGTTTCACAAACATTATGATTAATTAAATTTCATTTTCATCCAAAATTAGATGCCGTTATGGCAGAACAGCCTGAACCACTGCAGCAACAAATGACCCGTGGTGGACGTGGCGGTGGCCGCGGTTATCGGGCTCGTGGTGGTCGTCGTGGTAGGGGGAGAAGATAAGCAAACTTCTGTCAATGAAAATTTGATCATCGATTCATGTACCTTAGATCATCTGGAACATATATTGACCATATTTAAGTCTTTATTTCAACATGTGAATTGGGTTTAGTATCGACCATCTTTTTCATTATCATTGTCATTAGAAACACTATAATTTTTCAAATTTTAGTTTGATATTGTATTTTCGGCGCTTAGATCGCACACACCTACACACAAACACAGACACACAATACATACATTACTTTATGTGTTAGTAATTTTTTTTTTATTTTAGACAATTACATTTGTCCTTATTGCTTCATCAACATTTTTAATCAAATTAATGATGTATCCATTACCTATCATTAATTATTTGAGAATTTTTCCTTTATAATCTATCAAAAGAATCTTGTATTACAATTTATTATTCGATACTCAAACAGAAACAAGAAAATGGAATAACAATCTCAGAAACAAAAAAAACAGATTTCACATGGAAATATATATCTTCATCAACAATTTTTTTTTTGTCACCCATTATATTTGCCGCTCTATAACTAATTTATCTATTAATGTATATCATATTGATGGGAAGATTTTTAATTTTTAATTCAATAAAAAAAGTTTTTTTTTCATGAGAAAAAAAAATAACTTCTGCAGATGTTTATCCATCGATAATTATCGGTTTAGTTGAATTTTTACAGAAAAGAGTCAAATTTTTTATTTTTCGATTATAAAATTTGTTTGAAAATAAAAATATTTTACTTTATAGAAAATTGTGTATTAGCATGTGGATTGATTTAATTTACGTTAGTATTATATACAATACACGTTCATTAATCCATATGTGTGTGTGTGAGTGAGTGAGTGTTTTGAAGGATTCTGTCCAAAAAAGATGCGGATTCGATCAATTTTAAATGGATAAATTCTTGTTCTTATTTGTTTGTTTTGATTCAATAATGAAATGATGGCCTAAGATTTATTGTGGTTTTTTCCTCTTCTCATTCCATCTAATTCACTTTAATTCGAATTGGAATTATTCCCACAAATTGTTGATCACCAAGATGAACATCTGGGGATTTTTTTTTAAAATGATTTTTTGGATTTTTCTCGTTCTTCATCAATTCATATGGAATCTTTGAACAAGGATCATTTTTTGTTGTTTTTAATGGAAAATTGTGAATTTTTTTTTACTATAAGCTTGAATTATTTTCATGAATGTTTTTGATTTTAGTTTTTTCTCCAAATAACTGATCATAAACATTTACACAAATGTGTTTACCATATGAAATGATTTGTCTTTTTTTTTGAATTGAAAGAATTGTAAATCAAGAATAAGGGCCGAATGTACAAATAGAATTATTTCTGGTTTGATTTTAGAAAAAATTTCCTTGAAAAATAATAAAACAAAGACCCGATTCAGAAATTCGACCTAAATTTCTTTTCACGAATGATTGGGATTATGTGAACTTTAACCAAATGTCTGATTCGTTGTTGTAAATGGAAAAGCACGTAGTATAACTATTGGATCAAATCAAATAATAGCTAACGAATCGATAATCAAATGTACTCAACACACACACACACACACACACATGATTCACTATGAATGGCCAAAGGGATTCGAGTAGTAGTACTATTGAGCACAAAAAAGAAAAATTTTTATACACACACAGTTGGGGTCTAATGTGGCCAAACTACTTGTTGTTGTTGTTGTCCGTTTGAATTTTGAATTCGAGTATTCAGCATCAAATGTCGACGGCCATCCAAAATGGGCAAAATTGCGCGCTTTAGAAATTGTTGGGAGGGATTTTTTTTCGAGTAAGACGAAGAGAGAGAAAAAAAAATTAACTATAGCCACTATGGTCAGGTCGTCAACAAACTAGCTTATGTTCGGGTTTTAGCTTTTTCTTTCTTTCTCTCTTATTTATTTCGTAAAAAAAAAATGATCATTCAATTTCATGTGGTCTTCATCGTCATGTCTTGTTTGTGTGTTCGAAGGCGAAAGCCTCGATATATTTCGAATGGTCAATATTTATTGGCCAACACAATGGACAACAACAACAAAAAACAACAGTGATTTTCAAGTCGACGACATCACCGAAATTTTCATCATCATCATCAAAAAATTATGTTGATGATGACGATGAAGAATGCAAATTATGGGAATAAAAAAAAATATTCAAATTATCTTGATATATGAATAAATGTGTGTTGCTGCGTGAACATATTCACTGCAGCAACTAATCATAATCATAATCATCATCATGATGGACATTGAAACTTCCATGACTTTATCATCATCATCAGCATTGTATCGGACATCATCATAGATTCAATTTATGTGTGTGTGTGTGTGTGTGTGTGTGTGTGTGTGTTTGTCTATGTTCGTTTGTTCTTCTTTCAAATTCATTTTATTCAAGTTTTTTTCGTATAAATGTAGCTCGAATATTTTGTTTTTGCTGCGATTTTTGTCCAATAAAGAAAAAAAACCGCCAATCTCAATAATGTGCATTACCAGAAAAAAAATCATATCATTATCAACACAAGTGAATAAAATTTAACATATTCAGTCATTGTCACATTGATCAAATCGATAATCGGCCATTAGTTGACTTTGACACCAGTGAATTTTGTGAATTCGAATCAAACCATGTAAGATAAAGTAAAAATCATTTATTCGTCCGTCTTCAATGACCATCATGATCATAGATGATATGGTTATTGAGCAGCAAACAACAATCTGGCCCAATTTGGTCGATTTTAGAATTGAATAATAATGATTTATGAGTATAAATCTTATTTATTACGGATGATGTTAAAAACCTTCTAAACTTGTTTTCCATTCCAAATTTATTCATTTGATTCTCTTAGTTTGTGATCAATATTATAATTTTATATTTCAAAATTATAGATAATCTAAAATGTACTGTTTTCTTTTTTCCGGCCTATTCGATAACAAGAAGAAAAATACACAAAACAACTCTGATGTTTCTGGAATCTACATCATCAAAATTTTTCCAAGATTAACTTATATAAAAGATGTTGATCTCTGATTGATTGACTGAATTGTTTATTGTATTGTCTTATTGTCTCTCTCTCTCTCTTTCTTTCTCGCTATGTGTCCATCGTCATTGTCATCGGATATCTTTGTTTTTGATATAATTCAAATAAAAACAACTAGAAAAAATATAGAGTTGTCTGTAAATGCATTATATGCAAATCATTTCATGTTATATCGATGAAAAATCAGTATTTTGATTTGATCGATTGGATTTTTGTTGTTATTGTTGTTGTTGGCCGCCCTTTCCGTTCTCGTGTTGATTGGTAAGTTTTGTTTTCCAATGATTTTAAATTTCCTTTTCGATTTGCCTGTTTGTTTGTTTTTTGATTTGTAACCTATTTCAACTTCGAACTGTGATCAATCAATAATTATCTCGTAATCCAAAAAAAATTACAGCGCTTGGAATGATCCAAAATCATTAGATCAGTGTTTCTTTTGATCAAATTGAATTGATACTCGATGTTTGAATGAAAATAATTTTATTTTTTCTTCAAAAAAATCCGATCAAATAATTATTTGTTAATTTCGGCATCTGATTTAAAAATGATACAGCATACACCTGCAACATTTACCCTTTATAAGACGATGATGATATAACCGAGGATTCATAATGAAAATTTTCTGTCGATTCATGACAAACAAATAGAAAATACTGCTGACGTTTGAATTTTTTTCCTTTGTTCTCTTTCATGATAAAATAATTCAATTGGTTATAGCGATATATCATACATATATCGTTTTGATGATCATTTGTTACCTGAATAGTTTTTGTTGTTGTTGTTGTTGTTGTTATTTATTGTATTTCACATTTCGCATTCCAATACAATTTATTTCATTTTGATGATTCACATCAAATATATTGATTATCGTTTTTTTTGTGTTTCTATTTATAATAAATTGATTCATTGATTCATCCATCAATCAATCAATCATTCATCGGATAAATTGATCGATCATCGATAAAATGGAATCATATTGAAACAACAAAATGATGATGATGACAGGAAAAAAAATTCTATTCAATTTTGTCACGAATTTTTTCTTCTATTCTTATTGCTTTAACATTAGTGTAGTTTGAATTTTTTGATTGAATAAATGTTATTTTCGAATGGATTTTTTTTAGAATTAAATTTTATCATTCATTGATGATGATTATAATGAATCAAATGAATTTGATGCATAAAAATGTGTGGTGTTGTTGGTGGTATAAATTCTTCTCGAAGAATATAATAATAATGATCATCATCATCGTCAATAACAATTAATCGATGATAAATCAATGACCTGTCCTCAATTTTTTTTCTTTTCATAGAAAAAAACCCTTTTTATAACTTAATAGCTTATGAATTAGTAAATGATGACCATTTAATGATCACTAGTAGTGATGGATGTTTCCATATTGTTCATCACAGTATGTATGAATTCATGCATTAATATGTCTTTTTCAAAATTTTTTTTTTTTTTGACAAAACCAAAATAAGTAACCTGAATGTTTATCATAGAGAGAGGTTAGGTCATATCATTTATCAAATCACCAATTGGACATTATTGTTATATTGCCGGTGGTGTATATCTATGATGATGATGATGATGATGATCATTTTCATTCATTTAGTTTTTTTTCCGCCTTGATCTATGAAAAAGTTACGAATTTTTAAAATTTGTTTTCTCGAAAAAAAGTTGGATTAATTTTTTTTCAATTTATCCAATCATTTCCTATGTGGGTTGTGTTATAAAAATGTTCATAGTGTTAATTATGGTGTTTGAGATTTTGTTTGAATTTCTTTTCATTTCATTTCATTTCATTTTTTTTCAACGAAAAATCTTTAAATATCTTCTTTCTCCAGCTTTTCAAGTTGTTGTTGTTGTTGTTTTTTCTTGTTGTTGATACTTATTATTATTTTTCGAGCATTTTGGATCATCAATTTTATTTTCAAATTTTTTTTCCGATCCTTTCGTTTTCGTTTTTTGCGTTCCAGACGATGATGATAAAGACCGAAAAAAAAGAAAATAAATAAATGAAATATTTGAGACTCATGCCAGACACATGATTATGATGATGATGATGATGATGATGTTTGTGATAGATAATTGGAAGGAAAAATGAAAACAAAAAAAAAGAATGAAAAGAACGAATGAAATCGATGATCCTATTCGATCCAATCGAATTTCTGCTTTTTATTTTCAAATCATGTGAAAGGCGGTTGTGGTGGTGGTGAAGAAGAAGAAAAAAAGTTTTTTGTTTTTCTCTATTTACTTTGTTTTCAATAAAGATTCAATTTTTGTTTTTTTTTGAATTCGACCATTGTTGTGAGATAAAAAGCAGTTTTTTCATTTCTTTCTTATTATTTATTCTAGATTTGTGTTTATAAGTGTATTTGTTTTATGCTCATCTTTTTTTCTGGTAATTTTTTTTCTGGTGAATCTACAATTATATAGTCCAAGTTTGTTGTTGTTTTGTTTTTGATTCTATTCATCTGTATTATCAGTATTTTGGATTTTTGTTCAAAGTTTTTTGTTTGTTTGTCTGTCTGTATTACGATAATAAAATGAAAGTTTTGTTACTGAGGATTGCTGCCGTTGCGATCAAATCAAATCAAATCCATGTTTTATATACGAATGAAACTTATTGGAAATGTAGGAAAATAAAAATATTTGACGACAGATTGCATAAAATTTGATTTTCAGGTTAAGCAAATGAATGGATGAGACATTGAGAAAACGGTGAATCAAATAGACAAGGGTTTCACATTTTTTTCTGTTTTTTTTTATTTGAATTTGACTTTTTTTTCGAGGGGAAAATGAACAAAAAAAACTTGATAAACATTTTTTTTCCTGATTAAAATTCATCTATTTTTAGCATCACATTCATTTATAATGTTCCAACCCGTTTTTCTCTCTCTCTCTCTCATTCATTCTAGTTCCTGTGTTTGATAATCAAAATATTTGTTCACATGTGGTAAATATATTTCCGCCATTCAAACTTATAAGTATTTCCATTTTATCAATCTTTTTTAATCTATGAAAATCGCATAAATATCATCATCATAAGTAGTATGAAATGTTGTTGTTGTTTTTTACTTTACTTTACTTTTTTTTTGTTTGTTTGTTTGTTTGATTACCATAGTTGATGAAACTGTTGAGAGATGCAGACCAAAAAAAATGATTCCAATGATAAATTAGTATTTGAAAGAGATGAGAGATGGCCATAATCTAAAATTTTTAATAAGCAAAATAACTATAATAATAATGACGAAATATCTTAACATTTTCCGTTTCTTTTGCCTTTTTTTCAGATTAAATACGTATACATGGAAAAAAAGGATTATGGATCCATTTTTTGTTTGTTTGTCTGTGAAAAAAAATGAAAATTACCAACAAAAGAATCACCCAAATTGTTTTTTTCTATTGAATTGAAAATTTTGTTCTTTTTTATTTCTCCGTTTGAATACATCATTTGTCATTTCGACATCATCATCATTTGTAGTCGAATAAACATGTGGATTATCGTTTTCCTTTTTTTTCATATTCATTATTGTTCCACACACATATTGATCCAACATTGCAAAAACATGATGAACAACAACAAAAAAAAAGTATGAATAATCTTTTGGCCAACATCATTTGTTATTGTTCACGTTTTTCTTTTCCATTTAAACGGCTATTTATTCTTCATTAATTTTTTTTTTCATACATTCATCAAGTTCCAAAATATTTTTTCTCCGAATTTTCACTCCAAACATTGGTGCCCAAAAAAAAAAAAAAAAAAAAAAATTCAATGTCATTTTTTTATATGTCAAACCAATTTTTATCTGTTGTTGTTGTTGTCTATCTCCATCCATAAGTAGAACAACAAGGAATTTTTTCTTTTGTTTTTGTGAAAAGTTTTAATGCGAAAAAAAAATTGTCACCACGAATTACTCATCCGAAAAAAAACGTTTACCATTTCATGACAACAGTGTGACGATCATTTTTATACTTACATCATCTTAATGATGATACATAATAATCTACTATCGCCATAATCATATTTGTGGTTTTCTTCATAAATGACCACAAATATCAATTTTTTCTTTTCCCTGTTAATGTCATAATCGTGCCATACACTTGGAGTTGTATTTACGAAAACAAGAAAAAATAATCTGAAAAAAAATTTAAATTATTCAACCCAAAAAAAAACTCATCTTCAATGCAGAAAACAATGTCTAAATCATCCGATTCAAAATCAACAACAACAACAACATCAGGACCGATTAAGATGATGAAATTGATTGAGATTATTCGTTCCAAATATGGTTATGGTTTCACATTGTCCGGTATGTTTTTTTTTTGTTGAAAATTTTTCTTTTTTTTCAATATTTTCTAATAAAAATTCCACTCATATCAGGTCATCGATATCACCTGTTATAGAGTAGGTTGACTGGTTTTTTATTTTTTATTTTATTTAGTATATAAGGAATAATTAGCTCGTTGAAATTCTCACACCTTATCAAAGTAAAAATTACATATACGAAACAGTTTTTTCTGCTTGATCATCCTACCTGAATTTCATTTCAAAATTTCAAAATTTAACAGCCATACAATATGGTAAAGTTTTTATATGTGAAATTCAACTTATTATGACTGATATTTTTTGATCACACACACACACACACACATCATTACCAACAAAACAGGTGTTGAGAATGATCTTTCTTCCTCTTTGAATTTTTTTTGCACTTAATCAAGATCAAAATAAGAAATTCATAATTTAGATTTTGATTTTTTTTATGAAATATTGATTGTGAGAAACAAAATTTTGTCTCCATTTTTTTTTATTACTGTCGATTCATCAATTTCATGTTGATGATGTTAGAAATTTGTCGTTTTTTCAAAATGAAAAAAAAATCTGATCCATTTTAGATTTGATCCGATATGATCTTATCACAATTGTCAAATGGGGACATTTCGTTTAGTTTTCTCATCATTAAATTATTGGTTCCCAAATATTTGATCACAAGAACACAAACCGACAATGTTCAATTTGATCTTTTTTTCAATTCATTTCGTTTCGAATCAATTCAGCTTCATATAATCATCATTCTTATTGAGAATAGTTATATGAGAATTTGAATATTTTCATATGGATAGGAAACAAGATCCGTTTGACCTTTTTCTGGCATTTGGATTAATTTTTTTTTTTTTTTGATAAATTTTCTTGGTTGATAATCCTAGACAAATTATTCTTATTGGTTTAAAATTCCTACGTTAATTGGATTAAAACGTATCATCATTGTAGGTTTTGTTTATCTATTCTTTTTCTTCTTCTTTATCTCTCTGTATGTATGTTTGTTTTATCATTTTTTCCTTCGACAATCTTATCCTGATTGATACAACAGCAATCGATACTTAATCCAATGATATGGTCATTCGTTCATTGAATGATCATATAATAGGATTATATATTGACTTTTTTTACTTTTTTTCCAAAAAAAAATCAATTAATCATTCATTCATTAATCGTCATTTTAATAATAATAAAATAATTTTCAACCATAATGATGCTTAAAAAATTGCAAATAATTCCGCCTGAAAAATTGAACATGAATAAGTCAAACGAAATTTCAAAACATCAACAGGATGTCAGCTAAAGTCAGCAGACAAAATTGCTGTATTTGCTAACCACAAACAAAATGTTTGTTTTTTCGTTTTTTTTTTGTTCATCGTTTTCTGTCTAGAGATGGCCATTTCCTTTTTTTGATATTTTCCCAAGAGAATTTTCCCTTACCATTCATTTACATTCATGCCTTTGGGCCATCAATCATCATCATTGTATATGCACGAAACATGATGGTCTGGTCTATAGACAAATTGTAATCAAATGAACATTGGTGGTGACAAATTCATCGTAAAATTTAGAATGACAACAAATATAAATATAATTTGTTAATTAATGTGTTGGTGTTTTTTTTCCAATTCAATTTTCATACGTTGATTTATATAATACATCTTCACCTGTAAATAAATTCCCAATACAATGACAACTGGGTTTCTCTATTCATAATTTCTATTCTTTAATACAATTATTCTACCCAAAAAATAAATTAAAGCGTTTGTTATGTATTCGTATTTCAGACATTATCATCCTGATTTCACAATAGGTTTCTACCAAAAAAAAATAAATAAATTAGCTTTACTTTCGTGAAAATAAAGTTATTAGCTACAAAGAAGTTTTTTTTCACCATTTTGATTATTAAGCTTATTAAGCTATTAGTGCTCATGTCTTAATATTCTAGCTTTTTTCAAGTAATAAAAAACAAAACATTAAAAAATGTCATCATTTATTGTTTCACATTTTATATAGCGAAATCATGTCCAATGACATAACATTTTTGTAAAAATTTGGTCATATTTTGTTTAATCTTTCATTTTTCTGTTTTAATATTAATCAGAATTCATCGATACTGTGCCAATTTCTTTTCACTCTTTCTATTTGAAGCGAATATTGTGCTTTCATTTATATTCTTCTGATTTTTGTCTATTCCACAAAATGGAAACAATGAAAAAAAAGCAAGTTTAGCACACACACACAATAACCATTTAGTAAAAATGTTTTATTGACAACACATTCTGGTTAAAATGGGAACAAATATCATTCTATCATTTACTATTTCGAAATTAAATTACCCGCGTCCTACATGTTTGTAAATGATAGAATGATATTACGGTATATTTACTTAATAATAATAATGTTCATCTTCATGATTCGTGTTCATGTTGGTCCAGAAACACCAATTCATAACATACATTAAAGAGAGGATAATGATAAAGGAATGAAATGAAAAAACAAAAGTTGAAAGTATTGACTTGCTGTCGACCTAAATCACACACACACATTCATAACATTTTTTTTGTTTCTTTTTTTTTATTCCACTTGATGGTCACGCGATTCTTTATGTGTTTTTATGACTACTTGGTCTGTCATTTTTGTTTCTTCTGGTTTAATTCGTGTCCTAGGTACCCAAATGGTAGTAACTCATCATCGTTGTTGGTCATTTTCATTCATTTATTCGTGTTAATCTAATAGGAGAATAAAAAATTTGACCGAAATAAAAATGTTCCTCACTTTTCAATTTATTCGTTACAATATTTTTTTCTGTTGGTTGTTTAGGTGGTTGATATTATTTGGTCCAGAAAAAAAAGTTATTTGCTGAAATGGATAAGCCTAGTTACTAAAAAAAAGTAGGAGAATTAAAATTAAAAAATTGTAGAAACTACCACTACACGTCCTATAAAAATGTGAATTGTTTTCCGAATCATCGTTCATTAGTTGTTAGACTCATCTTGTTTTGGCTTTTTATTTTGGAAACTTTTTTTTTCATTTGTTGTAACTAGTTGCTAACCCTTTTGAATTTGCATAACTATATAACTTGATTGTTGCTAGGGTATAGACAGGAATTCAAAAAAAGAAGAAATAAAAGGTAAATGGCAGAGAAAAAAAATTCATTCATAAATTGGCCTCATTTTCTATCTGCTTTTGAGTATCCATTGGATACTCTAACTAGAAATTTTTTTTTTATTTCGAAATCTCTAAATTCATAGTCTGAAATTTTCTGAATTCTGATGATAAAAATCGCTATTTAATTTCAAATTTAAATACAATTTTGGTTAAATTTTTATTGTTTTTTTTTTTTTTTTGAATTATCCATGAATTTCTCATCAAAAATATTGACAAAAAATGTCATGTCAGTCAATCGAACCAATCATAGATTTTCTAAAACCGTATATTGATTGATCGATATTATCCACTATTGCTTGTTATTCATAATGATAGTGTTTATATGTCAATGTTCAATCATTGAAACCTGTTCGATTCTGGTTAGATGCCTATTTTTTCATTGAATGAAAAAAATTTCATGAAAATTTTTCTACGATGTCACCGGCACACACACATACATGACGTTGATTTTTGACCAGATTCTTATTTAATCATCACATTGTCATTGTTCGTTTCGCATTGATAGTAAAGATGATCCACACATTTTTTTGGGCGTCGATCATAATTATAATGAATTGTCCGCGAAATACGAATAGCCCATTTTGTGGTTTTATTTGACAGGTCAAAACGAAAAACAACTACTTGCTTGATTACTATTTGATAACTAAAAATAACTTGCTTTGGGCAAAAAATGACAAAATGCGTTTATTTTTCGTTTTGTTTTTCTTTCCATTATATTTTAACCATTTTACATTTTATTGACAAATTTTGAACAGAGAGAAAATTATTTCTAATGAAACAGGTCTCAGGTCATGGATTTTCGATTATGTTTTTTGTCCATTCGTTAATTTCACTCATTCAATTAGACAGTAGAGATTTTTTTCTCATTTTTTTTTTTTGAAAATAAATTTTAATTTAAACTTTTCTGTTTTTTTTCTTATAAAATAGGTGAAATGCCATGTCGATTAACACATGTTAAAGGACATGCTCGTTTGGGTGGTCTTAGATCCGGTGATCGTCTTCATGTTGTAAATGGACAAAATGTTGATACATTTACGCACGATCAGGTAGTCGAATTGATTACATCGGTTTCAGATGGACGATTATTGCTACAAGTTTCAGCTGCTTCTATCGATGATTCTTTTCGTCATCATCATCATCATCATCATCATCAGCATCTTGTTGTTCATCTAGTGATGAAAATAATGATGACCAAAGGCCTAAAATTCATCGTGATAATCAAATACTAGATCAACGTCAATTTAATTCTACTTCCGCTAAAATTACGACTTCAGAATCAATATCAATGATGATTGATGAGGATAGAAAATCATCGATATCAGCTTTAACTACATCGAAACTTCCTCAACCACAACAACAATCCATTCAGCAATTATCGATACAAAAATATCGTCCACATCGAAATGCTAGAAATCATCATCATTATCATCGAAATAATCATCGTACTATACCTCACAATCATCGTAATTATCATACGAAAAAGCATCGATCAATGAAAAATAATCAATTCAAACGCCAACAGCAACAAGAGCCACAATCTTCAACAACAGCGACTACGATTTTAAGTCCATCGGAAACGTATCAAGATGAGTGTCGAATATCATCATCCAGGTATCATTATCGTAACAAACCTAGATTCAAAGATCATAAACGAAATAACCATCATCATAATCGATATAATAAAAATGGTGATCAATCATGCAATAGCGATGGTGATATTCATACTAATGTAGCCGAACATTTTGATGGCCTATGGAAACGAGCATCGAATCAAAGTGGAACGCCACAGCAAAAACAATCATATCATTCATTCAAATCAATCGATAATTTATTGGATCGATTTCAAAACTATGGCAATCATAAAGATGATGATGAATTATTGTTACATCAACATTATCGAAATCATCAGAAATTAGAGCAAAGAAAAATTCTTCAAAATATTCAACATCAGCAACAACAACAACAACAACAATCAAATAATATTACAGCAGAATTCAATAATAAGAAGCTATATCAAACGAAATCTAATCCACAATTTAATGAGATGAATTCTTTCAAAGTTCACACCGATGTTCATCATCATCATCAATATCAGCGAGACTACCATAATACTGATGGTAAATTATTTTCCCTTTCATTACAGAATGTCTCAATAGCAAATGATAAAGATTCGATTTCAAATGAACAACAATCAACATTTATGAATAAAAATAAGAATAAAATATCTAAAACAAAAACAAATTCAACAACATCAGGCTTCTCATCCATATCACAATCCCCATCATCATCTACATCCAATTCGCCAGGATCATCGCCAACATCGACCACTGAACGATTATTGGCCAATGAAAAGAAAATAAAGCCATCCGTAGCCAATATTGGACAGCATTTGGTGAGTTTCATGTTTCAAACTCAATTTTTTTTTTTCCATTCTATTCAACAATTCAATTCAACAATTGGCTCCTTTTTGTTGTTATTGTTAAACAAAACGCGAAAAGAAAAGCGAATTCCATTTCTCAAACTTGACCTAGTTTAGTTTCGCTTTTGTCTTGATTTTTTTTTTTGGATATCACCTGCGTTTTTTTTGTTTGTTTCTTTATATAAAGTAAATGTTTAAAAATGAAATAAAGAAAAAGTCTAATAGAATATCGGCTGGCTATAACATCTCATATTTTTTTCAATACATTTCTCATGTATCATGTATTTGTCAATCGACTAATTGAGTTGACCTTATACTTGACTTTTCTTTAACGTTTTTTTCTTTCAGTAAAAGAATGAAAACATGGAATGGATGGATTTTTTTGTAGTCATTTGTCAATCGTCATAGGTTCAATCGTCATTGAAATCTATTCACACACACATTGAAGAATTCACTTTTCAAGATTGATTGATTGTATTTTATTAATGCCATTGCCATTATGATTGTCGCTTAATTTTTATTTATTTTTCAATTTTTGATTTTTATTTTCAATTACACAATTTCATTATTTGCTTGTGAATGAAACTTTTTATTTTTTGTTTTTTTTTACTCTGGTTAGTTGATAAAAACCACAACACACACACACACAGCAGCCGGAAATCTCAATTTCTTACAATAGAAAAGAAAAATACCACACACTTCTATTTGTCAATAACTTTGATTGTGTCTAAAAAAAAATTTAGGCGAGGATTTCCGTCGTTTTTGTTTCGTGTGAAACAAAAATTCCATTGAAAATTGAAAATATAAACGTTGTTAGCTGATGATATGGTGATGAAGAAGAATATGATCCGGAAATCGGATAGACTATCGATCTCATTGGCATCAAAGAATGAAGGACGTTTTTTTCTGATGAACTTGTTATCATCCCAATCATCCATCTGGGTGTATCAAGCTGTGAATGGTTATAAATGTTTTCATTTTTTTTGTATTCGCAATTTGTGTTTATACCATCCATCCATCCATCTATTCAAAGACAGAAAAGAAAAGAATGGAGAAAAATAAATTGCAACAATCAATCACTTAACCAATTAACCTTTTCGATGCATGTGTGTGTATGTCGCTTTGCGTCATTTGAAAGATGTTTTATGTTCTTTCTTTTTTTCGATGTTGTTATTTCAACATCAAACTTGAAATTCTACTTATTCATTTTGGTCGAACTACTTTTTAAATTTGATCTTCTTGAATTCGTTTTTTTTTCTTCACGCCAACGTCGTTGTTAGTTGAAGATACTGTCATTTTCTTTTTCGATTTGGTTTTGTCCAAATTTTTTGCTTGTCTTTTTTTCCTACTTCCAGAATGACGTTAAGAGTAATCAAGTCAAACAATTTTGCTAACTTTTTTTTCTTCTTCATTGGCTTCTGGTCATTCTGGTATATTTCTATTGTCAAGATGTTGTGGCTTTCATCTTGTCACAGCAGAAGTAAAAGACTAAAAAAACAAAATTTTCAACGACAAAAACTTGATAGCATTTCCATTCTTACAATTTTCATATTCACTTCATCCGGAATCAAAAGAAAAACAAACAAATAAATGAATAAATATTGCCGGAAAAAAAAGAAATCTGAAATCATCATTGTTTTACTAGAACTTTCATAATGGGGATAGTTTTTTTTTTTTATTCTACAATAATATTTCACCATTTAAAGTAATCTGGTCTTTAACGAATTCTTGGATCAATATCTGGGACACATACGGAAAGAATCTAAAAAAAAATCAAGCAATAAAAAAATCGATTTAATCGATTTTCAATCGATTGATTTTCATTAGAATTATCATTATCATTTGTTCTTGTCGTCAGTCTTGATTATTATTATTTTGGAAACACAATCACATTGTCTCCTTGACCAGAAACAGAAGAGAAAAAACAATTTTGTTTTTTTTTTGTTTGATGATTAAATTGTTTTTCTATTTTGTTTTGTTTTTTCGTTTAGTTGCAGCAGCCATCTTCCCAATCATCATCTTCATCATCATCATCACCCCCGGAACTGTTTGTTTCAAATGCTTCAAGTCAATCAACAACAACAACTACATTAACCGATCGTGATCATCATTCACAAGCAATATTTCGTTCAATCGTTGAATGTATACGAATCATACGTTGTCATTATAATGATGATGATGATGATTATAATCATAATCAACATTGGATCAATATTCAATCAATATTTGATCAACATAATTCAGAAATCATTGATAATGATGATGAATTAAATTCTCCATTATTGATTGCCATATATCCATGTGAATTATATTTATATGGTTCTGATATAAATTATCATATACGTGCCAAACAAATTATACAATGTCAACTATTAAGGCCAACCAGTAAAGAACATTTCGTATTAATGATTCGTGATGATGATGATGATGATGTCGATCGGATTCGTGCATTTATAATGAAAGTTTCATCAAACACCTGGCAATCTCATCATAATCATCATCATATAGCTTCACTATTATCAATCAAATGTACTCCGGATCCAATTTCCAATGATCATTGTCTTGAATTTCCTGGTAAGTGAATACAACCAAAAAACAAGGAAAATAAAAGATTTTTTTTTGTGGAATTAAAAAAAACAGAAAAGAAAATTTACATATGAAAATTATCAACTGTGTTCCTGTCTGCCTTATTATTATCCTGCCTCATCACTATTTTATTTTCTTCTGAATAATAATATCCGGTCTTTATTCAGATGGTGTATTATTCGAACAAAGCAAAAAAAACAGAATCTTCATAAGAACTATAATGATTACTATTATGGTTGTATTGATTTTTTTTTTTTTTTTCATTAACCTGGAATTAGTTGTCGACTTCTCTATAATGATGATCATAATAATAATGACGATGACTTTATAGAATAATCCAAAGAAAAAAAAACTGGTAATTGTTATGTTGGTGGCACACACACACAGAAGCATTTGTATTTCTGTTTTGTTTTTTGGCTCAGTAACCAATTCATATATATGAATAACATGATAATTTTTTCCACTTTGCCAGTATTCCAAAAAAAAATGATTTGCTTATTTGAATATATTATGATATAAAAGAAAAAAAAACACCAAACATCTTCATTATAATCATCATCATCATCATCAGTAAAATGGATCAGATAATATGTGTTTGTGCATCTGATTCATTATTTATCAATCATGAAAATGAGATTTTTTTTCTAGTTTTTCATCTTACTACTTTCCGAAAGATGGTGATTTCTCTCTCTCTCTCTCTCTCTCTTTGTGTAAGATCACCTTAACACAAATGATATTGTAATAAATTCAATGATTATAATGATAATGATAGTGGTGATGGTGGTAGTAGTGGTTATTATTTTACATTATTTTATCCAGATATCAAATTCTATAATGGTGAATGAACAGTAACAGTACAAAAAAAAATGATTCTTTTGTGTATTGAATCAATGGAAAGTCACCCACCGGCAAAAATAAAAGTTAGCAAGAATTTTTCTTTCCACCTTCATTCATTCATTCATTCATTTGAAAATGAATGAAAAAAAACATTGACACTCAAGGGAAATGGTATATGTGTGTGTGTGTGTGTTTACACTAAGTTCAAGAAACGACAAAAGTGAAACGAAAAAAAAGTGACTTAATAATACTGTATGTAAGAGAATAATGAGCCAAGAATGTTTGATGATGACATAGAAGTTTGTTGCAAAAATATGAGACAAAAAAAACCTATGAAAAGAATGAATGTGTTCAAGAATCATTCATATGAATCATGTATATTCTATGATTTTTTTTTTATTCTTGAATCTTTAAAGATTGGCAGGTGATAATTTTTTTTTTTGTATACTGTACTGGTTTTTACTATTCTTTATACTATCGAACTTTGCGTTATAATAATTCTCACCATTCATTTAATTCACAATACTTTTGGATAATTTTCTTAAATTTTTTCATTTTCTTATATGTGTAACAATATTGTAATTTATCGTTACTGATTTTATCATTTTTTTTCTTATATGAAAAGAAAATCTGTTTCTTAATTTTCCTATGGATTAGTTATCTATTATGTGTGTGTGTGTGTGTATGTTCTTTTTGAACTGAAAAAAAATAAAAAGAATATATTCATTCTGAAAAAGAACGAATGGGAAATATGGTTATGCAAAAAAAAAGTATTATCGTTTCAAAATGAAGTCTTTTTATTTTGTTGTTATTGTGTACATAAATGATCGGTTCGGTTGTTTTTTCTATAGCATGTTGGGTTTTGTGTGTGTGTGTTTTTGAGTTTTTTTTCAATAGAGTTTATTATTTTTTCCCTCACTGATTCTTCTCTCTTAGATGAGAATACCAACTTTCTTTGGTATTCTAGCTTTAGAATTCTTTCTCAAATTACCGGTGGAATGAGTAAGCAAACAATCAACAAAACCGAAACAGTAGCAGCACAGAATTTCTTGTTTATATGTGTGTTTGTTTGCTTGCGTATTGTTGTGTTTATATAATGGTTATTTTCCTGGGAATTGCAAAGATTTTTTTTTTCTATTCGCATTTAGTTTTATTTTTCAAGCATTTTTTTCTCCATTTTTCTCCTTTTTGCTTTTCAAGTGTAGAATGGAAAAAATCAATTTTCAATTCTTGAATGTAGTGATTGAACAATGATGATAATGTTGATGATATATGTTAACAGTGTGCATGAATAATTGTTTGAATTAATATCATTTGTATGATGATAATTGAGAATGAAAAATGAGTAAATCGTTCATCATCATCATCATCGTCATTCTGATAAATTCGATCGAATTCATGAAAAAATGAACACATGGATACACAGAGAAACGGTTGCCTAACTAGGTAATTTGTAATATGGAAAGTTTACCTACTATAAATGAGAAATCCCATAGGTCCTAGGATAATCGATATTCAAAGGGAGTGAGAGAGAGAATGGCGGATAAAAAGATTCAATCATATTGATTTTTTTATGTTTATGAAGAATCAGGACTTACTGGTGAAAAAATTCGAGAGTGTGGGAGGATTGCAATTGTGTGTGTGTGTGTGTGTGTGTGTGTTTGGCTGGATGGGTGTTTATGTATACATGTATTGTTCTTTTCTCCCAATGTTTTTGTTGCATAAAAAAAACTTTTTTTTGTCCACTTTATTTTATCAATGATTATTTCCTACCCAAATGATTTCATTGTATGAATGAAAAAAAAACATATATAGAGCGAATATGAAAGTCGTAACAATAGCAACTATATATATTGAAATTCAAAAAAGTCATTGACAATGATGATTATGATGATGAAGACGGCGATGAATGGTACTTATTATTATGCAACAAAACAAATACCAATAGTCATCTCATCATCATCATCATCACCATCATGATGATGATTTCAACCATAATGGCTGGTGGTAGTGTTGTTGTTGTTGTTGTTGTGAAGTATTTCTCTTTTTTTTCATTCTTTTTTGTTGCTGTTTATTATGTTTGTTCCATAAGTTTCAAAATCAAACCAAAGAATATTATAAAAATAAGAAATTATGATGTATGAATGTTTATATGTCTGTGTGTGTGTGCATGTGGGCAAATGACTGTGATCATTTCTTATAGTGTTTATCGTAAAAGAATTGTAAAGTGGCAATTGTATTTCTGATTTTGACTATTTTATACATTTTTTTTATTTTATTTTTTTTCTTATATTCTGCATTCTGTTTTTCTGTATTTTGTTTGATGAAATTTTTTCTATATTAAAAGTTTGATGATTTCTCTCGTTTAGTCTATATATTCAGGATGATTTTCGTTTCTGGAGCTGGAATATTACTGCAAGTTAAAGTTTCGTTGATTTCTGGATTTTCAATTTCGATTTTTTTTTGTTTTGTTTTGTTTTGTTCCAGATCAGAACCAAATTCAGAGAAAAAAAAGAACTAACATGTAATCTTTACACATTTTTTTCTGGTTCTTTTCGGCTATCATTATTTTAATTTTTTTTTCGATTTGATTTGATTTATTTCAGCGCCTCATTTGATTCCAAGAAAGTACATGTTTGTATATATGTTGAGGCTTTGTATTCGTTCCTTGTGTGTGTGTGTGTGTGTGTGTTTACAGATTCTTGGAACGTGTTTACTTTGGACTTTGTTTGAATACTCCAAACACACACATACACACAAACAAATCATGAACCATGAAAATTCTATGTACAATTGTTTCGTTATTATTATTGCCCTAAAATCACGACTATAAAACGTAACTATCGCAACTCTGATATTTTTTTCCATAAAATAACTATTATAAATAAGATATATATTATTTATCAACATTTTTTTTGTATAAGACGCGTCTTGTAGTTTTTAGGGTACTTTTAAATAATTTACATTCATTACTTTTAGTCATGATGATATATAATGATGATGATAATGATGGAAAAGTACTTTTTGGAAAATACAAATTTCAATTTCTTATGATCAGAACAACAACAACAACAGCAGAAAAAAAGGATGAGTTAAAAAAAATTATCTTCGTTAATCTGGTTAATAGATGAGTGAACAATAGAATTTGAATTGTATGTATATCAGGTACAACTGTACAGGGGGGCCCATTTATAGCAGGACACTTTTTGAACACTTCGATTCAAAATACAATAACTTTGCGACTACAAAAGCTAGACAAGTTCTGTTTTTTTTTAAATAACAGTTATAGATTACATAACATCTCCCGAGTTTATTTGACAGATATTAATTCGTACCGGAAATGATACGACCAGTTTTTTCAGGTAATCAACGGCGATCGAATTCCATTTTTCATTGACTCGAGTCTTTAACTCGGCTATATTGGTTGAACGCGGGGCAATGAAGACAGATTCTTGTAATTCGTTAAATACATGTTCGATAACGTTCAAATCTAATGGGTTTCCGGGCCACACCCCTTTGCTACAAGTCTTCATACTTGCACCTTCGATCAAATTCATCGTTGACTTGGCCGAATGAACTGGGGCCATAACTTGTTAGAACATGATCTTTTTCTCATTCAGAAATAAAGTTTGGTTCTTCATAAACTCAAAAAAAATCGGTAAAATGGATTCTTCATGCATTTCGGCATTGATTCGGAGGCCGCAATTGAACACAGCAGTGGCGCCATACCACGGCTGCATGTCCCGTCGACAACCTTTTTTCTTTTCACTTTTTTGGAAACTGGATTAATCGGAATCGGTTATTAGTCACTTGTATGGATAACTGCATTATTGAAATTTATATGAGGATATAGTTCAATCGCAGATTCGTCAGTAAATAAGATGTGGGACCGGAAATCGTCATCGAGTCAAATATCGAGTTTCTTCAACGATTTTGCAGAAATTTTGCGGTTTTCGATATTTTTTTTTGGACAAAACTGGTTTATATTTTATTTTCCTTATTATTTTATCCCATTCTGCTTGTTTTAGATATTTTTGAATCGTTGATCAGGAGATATTACGTGGAATAGTAGCAGTAGCCAGTGGATTCGAATGTTTTTTAGACATTTGGCAACTGTTCGAGTTCCAACACCAAGTTCGTCCATTCTTTCACTTTCATTCATTTTCTTAATAGAATCTGTGATATTTTTCCTCGTTTTAAGCTTTGGTTTATTAAGAATTGAATTACGTTTTATCAAGCAATAAACCTTTGAACTTGCCATACCAGTTTGACGAGCAATTTTCGAGACAGCGTATTTACTTTTAAATAATTCTTGAACTTTACGCTTTTTACACAAAATATTTTGTTTTTTTATATTTAGAGTTTTCATATTTTGGTTTTTTCACAAAAAAAAGAATAAAAATATTCAAAATAACAAAAAAACAATTGTCGAAAAAGAAAATCATAAAAATCAAACAGCTGATCCGGGGCTGTCCTGATATAAGTGGGCCTCCCTGTACAGTACAAACTTTTTGTCAAACAATCAATAATGAAACAATATTCGTAACACAATGGGAAATATTATTTTTTGACAACTTGTCTATTGATAAATGACAACTTCGATATGGAATTTTTTTTTCGCTCATTCATTTCGTTGTTTGTTGCTCTTTGTTTGTTTGGACATGGTATATATTCTATTACGAAGCAAAGTTATCATCATTATATACGAAGAAACTTTTTGCTTTGATTTGTATGTTATTTTTTTGAAATGTGAAGAAAAGAAACAACAACAACAACAACAATGACAAGCATCAATTTGACCAGCATTGAAGTTTCTTTCTAAATTCTGATTTTAACTCTTTCAATTCTATGTGTATTTTTTTCATTAATTTTCAATTCAATTTTCTTTTGAACTTTTATTTATGTTAGTTAGTAACTGTTTGGTTTCAGGGTTCGCCATATATAACAAAACAAAACAAAAAGTGATTTTCCCATTTGTGTTCCCTCATCTTTGCAATCTGGTTTCACTGTTTTTCATTTTTTTTTTTTTTATTTATTCTTCTAGTTCCAAAACACATAGTGATAAAAATGTCACGAACACTTTTTTTCCTCTTATATTCAATGAGTTTGTGTGTTTGTTGAAAGTGTATGATGCAAACTCAAAGAGTTTTCTTTAGGTTTTTTTTTCTTTTCAAGGAGTTTGAAATTTCTGTTTTTTTTCTCATTTCTATATTCTTGGCCATGAACATAATGTATATTATGATGGTAAATAACAACAACAACAACAACAACATTAACAATCATGTTGTAACATTCAAACAAATAAAGAAAAAAAAATGTCTATAGAAATGGATGAAGAATAAACAACAAACAGCCAGAAGATTCTGTTCACAAAGTTCTAATTTTTTTTTTTTTTTTTTTTTGTAAAACTATTCATGTAAAAATAATTCATTCAATTTGTAACATTTTTTCCAATTTTTTTTTCTATATTAATATTTAAGTATAGCATTTCATTTTGCAGTCCATTTTCACCCACATTCTTTCTTTTTCTTTTATTCACAATTCATTCATAATATGTTAGTTTTTTTTTTGCAAAAGAAAAAGAATCCGCAAAGAAACTAATAATTCAACCATGAATGAAACTAAATACTACCAAAAAAAAACACACATGCATAGACGAATCATTTTTCTTTTTTTTTGATAAAACTGAAATGATGATAATGATAGCGTCGGAAATAATAACGATGGCATCCAACAGCGAATGTTTCCATGTTTGATTTTATCTTATCAAATTCATTTATCCCCAATCAATTGATTGATTTGTGATTGAAAGATTGTCAAGAAACTTTTTCTACCCCCAAACACACACACACGATTCAAACCAGTTGTCATTTGATTTGTTTTTTTTTCTTCTCTCATTGGTTTTATCTGATTTTCATCACTTTATCCCATCATCATCATCAATTTTCCGTTCACACATCCGCCTAGCATGTGATTATATAATTCTTGTTGATCCAAAATAAATAGATTTTTTCAGTTTTTTTTTCAATTTTCAATTTCTTATTATCGTAAATTTGATTATTTATTCTATTCATTTATCATTTCATTTTCTATAGAAAATTGTGAACCAATATTACGCACCATATATACACTATATCGTCGACATTTAGCCAATACTAATAAAAATAATAACAATAATGGAATTGAACTAAATCCTAGATCCAAAACAACAACAGAAACGAAGCCATCAAATGAAGACCAACAGGCGTCATTGACAACAACAACAACAACAACAGCAACATCGACGATGATGGCCAATGACCAGAACTTAATGTTACGACCTAGATTTCTCACAACAGATAAAATCCAAGGTCATTCTTTTATTACTTCAACACCACCACCATCATCATTCTCATCAATTCACACGGGTCATACGACGCAAATAAAAAAGAATTTAGCACAAACAATATCTGGTAGTTGTAGTAGTAGTAGTAATAGTTTTACGCCCATCAGCATTAAACATGGAACAGCAGCAACAATGTTAAAAAATGATTATACCTCTACGACCGAATTGGATTCTTTTTCGTCAAAACAACAACAATTCCATTTACCCGACATGCTCGGCCATGTGAAACAAAAATCATTATCATTGAAAGAACAGCCACCACCTCTTCCTCCGCCTTCATCGTCTTCTTCTACATCATTTTCAACAAAGACGACCACAGAATCTATGTCGAATATAAATGGTAGTAGTAGTATGATGATGGTTGAATCATCATCATCATCCAATTGTCAACTATCACAAAACAATCATCATAATACAGAAAATTCACATTTGAATTCGTTGAATTCATTGAACGTGATAACCGGGAAAAACGAAAACTTTAGTAACAGTGAAAGTAACGAAATTAATTGCAAAACTTCGATCAACGCCCGGTACACAGGTAGTGTCAGTCGTATCGATCCAAATATTACACCTGGCCAATTGCAACAACAACAGTCAATTATTTTACCCCCTAAAAGAAAATTGCCATCAAATCGTGAAACATATGATGAACAAAAATCAAATGAAATTTTGAATCCAAATTCATTATCTTATTCCTCGTCATTCGATGTTTTACCATTGAAAGAAAAAACCGATTCATTAACGAAAAATGATTGTTTTGTCAATGGAAATAATTCAATTCGATTCGAATCTTCATCATTATCATCATCATTATTACCAAGAATCGATGCATCTCAAAAGAATCAAATTACTAATTTTGAACTGAATCATTATGATTTTGAAACATCTAATCCACAACAGCAACAATATTATTTGTTAAATGTGGACAATGTACGACAAGCAGCAGAACGTTATCTTTTCCATCATCTACATAATCAAAATCAACATCAAAAAAATACAAATTATCGTCGTTTAAATAATAATAACCAAAAAATGAGTGATGATACTGATCATCAAATGAATATCAATAATAATAGTAATAATCAAAAACAAAAGGATATCCCATCAGAACAAAAACAGCAGCAGAATATAATAAATGATAAAAGTAGTTTAAATACTGATAAAATATTATCTAGTCAACAAACAAATACTGAAAATTTAACGGATAAAATGTCCATATTAACAATACAGCATCAATTTCATCGGCCACCACCGCAACCATCAACATCATCATCATCATCCACACAGCTACCACAACCATTAATGATTGACAATGATCAATTAAAATTAATTGATCATCAATCATCGACAAATGTTCATTTAACTGGTCATTCATTTGAACAACTTCATCACCATAATAATCATCATCAATGTTCACAACAATCACCACCTAAATCATGGTCATCATCAACAACAAATCCTAAGGTAGGTTATATAGTTTTATTTTATTGTAACTATGGCTCTTTGATTATTATATAAAACATTTCTTTTCCAGCAACAATTCTATTGTCATTTTATGATTCATTTTGGAAAAAATCAAGAATTTTTTCCCAGTTTTTTTTTGAATTCATTGAATTCAGTCAATGATGATGACCATTATCCTTTTCATTTTATTACATTATTATTATTATCATAATTTTTTTTGTAAAAAAATATTCTTGAAATATACTTCCAAATTCATTATGGAATACTAATGAAAAAAAGTTGTTATTTTTTTCATATTAAATTGAATTTTAAAATACACGCCAGGCTTGGAAAAAGTATCGAAATTGTTTTTTCTTTTTGATGTTTTGTGTCCAGGATATTTTGATTGAAATTAATGATGATTATAGCATAGAATAGAATGGAAAAAAAATTCATTCGTCATCATTGTCATTTTATTTTCCATAATAATGATGATGATGATGATGATGACTGAGTTGAATGTGTCCAGATTTATTTTGGACCAATGGACAATGATGATGATGGTAATGATTCTTGAAAATTTTTCAGTTGACCAATTTGGAATTCATTTTCGAATGGGCCGAATTACCAAGAAAAAAAATGTATATGAATGGGAAGAATTTTTTTTTTTTTTCTCTCATCGGTGAGTCGAATTTCAATTTCTGTCCATTGATGATGATAGACACCGTCTGCCAGTTTGTTTGTCAATCGAAGCATGTATAATATACTAATATTTTCATGGTTGATAGGAATGGAACCAGTTTTGTTTATTATTTGTTGTTGTAATGTGTGATCAAAGAAAAAATTTTTTTGATGATTGTCGATGATTATCAATAGTAGTAATAATATTGAACAAACGGCCATAGAAACCTTGAACAGTTTGGAAATTTCAAAATTTCAAAAAAAACGCGGCTGATAAGATTCATTGTGAAAAATCTATAGAAAATAATAAACAAATAAAAGAGAAAATTTCAGATTCTAGAATTGAATTTTCAATCTATTGTTACTGTGCGGCTGTTTAATGTTGATGAAGAGAAAAATTCTTGTCATCATCATCATCATCATCATCATGATGGCCATCATGTGTTTTTTTACCTCATTAACACTTGTGAATTTTTCATTTATTTGCTTTGTACAAATTGAATTATGCTATATATATGAAAAAAAATACTTCATTATTATCATATGATTTCAACAAAAAAAAATATTGGGATTCTACTTATCGGCAAAGAATTGGGAATTTTTTTTTTGCAAACGAAAACATCGATTGTAATCGTATACGATGAATAAACCATTTTTAATTGAAGATTTTAACTCGTGTTTAAAGATGAATGAATGAAAAAAAAACTAATAAAAAGTGATAAAAACTTTCGTGTTATATTAGTGTTTGGAATTTTCGAAAAGTTTACATAAACTTTTTCGTTCATTTATATTACCCTAAAATCGCAACTAATATAAGACGCAACTGCCGAAATGCAGATATTTTTTTTCGTTAAAGTAACTATTAAAAATAAGACTATTCTTTTTGTATAATACGCGTCTTATAGTCGCGATTTTAAGGTATTATTGCATTCTATAGAAAAACTTTTTACATTGAATTCAATCACACAGTATTTGTTTGAAAATCAATATATGATTATTATTATCACACCAAGAAAAGTTTTGTACAAACCTCTGTTTTTTTTTTTTTTTTTTTCATGTGACTTGACCTTCAATTTTTCTGTTTTTTCGTCAACACATTTTTTTCATTTCTAAAGTAATGATAAATCAATGAAAATTATTCATTTAGATTTATTATTATTGATTGAACAAGAACAATGTCTCAACATTTCCGGTAATTGTTATATAAAAAAAATTAAAGAAAAAAAATTGAAATTTGTTTTCATCATCATGGAAATGCCATTTTCAGATCATCATTTTTTTATGTATAATAAAAAAAATAGAAAATGTTTATTCATGTGTGTATGAGACTATAGTTGTCTGATCGATTCTGAACATTTCTAACATGCAAATCCTAAATAACACGTTTCATTTATATATATATAGCTATAGCTAATATCGACGACAACAACAAATAAAATGTGTATTGATCGATTGTCAATACAAATGACGTTTGTTTTTTTTTTATTTTTATTTTGTTGCTATTATATCATTTTATATTTGTTCGGTTATCATTTATTTTTTTTTATATATCCCGTTAACGCTACCACTATAAAATGTAGTTGGTGTTGACATTTTGATCTGATCAGCAAAAACGAAAAACGAAAACGAAAACGAAAATAAAGAATTTGTCATTTTCATTGAATTTATGAATGAATTTACGGTTCCACAACAACGACAACATCACTAACGACAACCGAACAAAATTTTTTTTTTGTCAAATTAAATTTTTTTTTTTACTTTACTTTACTTTACTGTTCATAAATTTTTTATATATTCATTCAAATTCTTTTCAATTTATTCATGTTTGTATGATAATTGTGATTGTCATTTTTTTTTCTATCCGTTTCACACGTTCATAACTGATAAGCTTATTTGAATTGAAATGGGAAAAATTTATTTTTTCCATTATCAGAACACCGGATTTGTTGAGAGAAAGCGGCTTGACCCTAGGGAATTAATTTTTTTTTTTTGTTACTTCATCGACTTACTTACCTATAGTTGACATTTGATATTATGAATGTATAAAAAGATATATATATATATATGGTTGTCAATGATCATCATTATGGATGCAATTTTATTTTATATCATTTTTTTACCATTTTTGTTGATAAAAAATGTTTTGGAACGGGTTGTTTATTTAATCAACTTTTTTTCACTGATATTCCTCTTGTTAACTAATTAATTTTATTCATTAATTGATTAACAAAACAAAAGCGCACTGCTCAATTGAGCATTTGCGCCACAATTAATAATGCAATTCTCATGAATTACCTTCCTCTTGTTGTTGTTGTTGTTTTGGTTATTTATTTTTGTTTTCTCAGTTTTTTTCTTGCAAATAATCAAACATTTATCTTTTGTAGAACATGTGATCTAAAAAACGGTTGAAAAGTTGAAATTATCCTTGTGAAAATGGAAAAGGAAGGAAATGAATATGAAAAATATATTTGAAAAACCTATTCAGGGCTTTTTATTTGACAATAACAAATATTGAACATCGAGAAATCGATGACAATTTTGTTTCCGACAAAAATGAGTGGACAACGAAAAAAAAAATTACAACGATATCCAATAGAGGTGTTTCATTATTCTTTAAAATGTCTTCAGTGTTTATGTTTTTGTTTTTTCATCATCATTGGTTTTATTTTCTTTTATTTTTGTTCTTAATAATAGTTTTTGGTTGTGATCGATATGGATACATTGTATCAGTTGATAGTAAATTGATAATAAGGTATAGATTCTTTTTTTCTCTAGATCAATCGAATACGATGATGATTGATCGTACGATTCATCAATCAATGATGATGATGATGATGAGGAGGAGGAGGAGATGCTTTTCTCATGTATATCATCATCATTTAATGTTTTGGAAAATCTTTTTTTTTCAAAATTGTTGTTTACAATGATTACAATTCTTTTGTTTTATTATTATTATTATCTTTTACTGATTGATTATTTATATTGCTGATGATAAGAAACCGTTGTTTTTGTTATTATTTTGATAGCTTTGTTTTTTTTTTTTTTTTTTTTTGCCTGTTTCGATGAAATTTATTTTGTCTACATTCTAGACCATTGATAGATAAATGATTTTTTACCATACCATATCCTTGAAATAATATCTATAGATTGGCCTTTAGTTGATGTGCGTTGTTATCATTATAAATCTTTTCATGGAAAATTTGTTTCCAATTTGTTTGATGTTTCATCTTCTTCAATAGCTCTTTTTTTCCGAATCATGATTGTAGTTATTTGTTCATCACCTTTTCGATTGAAGACACAAGTGCCTTGTTTGATAGTGTGTCTCTTGTATTTAAATAAATAGCCTTATCGACGAAAAAAAAACACCAGCAAATACTTTTTCTTTCTTTCTATCAGAAGAAAAACACAAAAACTTTTCTGTCTTCACATAAATCTTTGTTCAGTATTTTTTTTTTCTATGGGTTTCATTTGATCCTAAATTGTCCATTACATTATTACATAGATTGATTTCGTTCTGATTTGATTCAAATATCACCGATTTTTCTCATTCTATCATTCTAGAATTTTTACCTACTTACACAGCACCACCACCCACTATGTTTAAACACAAAACAAACACAAATTTTCATTTGAAATCTATAGAAATCTTTTCTATTCAATGGATTTTTTCTCATGTTTGTTTTTGCATGTTTTTTTTCTGTAATGCTTCAAACTTTATTTCTTGATCAAAATTCAAAATCATAAGGATTCTTAATAGCAATGTTGGTCAATCAATTTTTTTTTTCAATGAAAAATAAAAAGTTTTCTATATCCAGAATTTTCGATTATCATTTTGAAAGTGAATTAAAAACTTTTCGATTTTATGACAAACAACAATTTGTTTGTTAGATAATCAAAATAAAAAAAACAAATTTCCAAGTAAATCGTAAAAAAAAAAATTTTTTTCCATCCATACAAACATTGCTTGAAGCAATCTAATCGATTTTTTTTTTCATTCATAGAGATAAGTTCATCATCATTTCAACAACATGTCAATTTTGAATATTTTAAAGTTTTTTCATTTTTTTTCATTTCAATTTCAAGTTCAATTTTCAAAAATCGGATTACATCATATATATACAATCCAATAAAAACAAACAAACAAACAAACAAACAACACACAATTCATTCATTCAAATATATATATGGTGAATCACATGATGGTCGAATCATTTTGAATTTTTTTCTTCTCAAATTCTGGATTCTTGGTACGTGGTGTTGTTTGATTTTTATTTTATTTTGTTTAGTGTTTCCACTTTGTTCACTGTGCACGGATCCATTGTTGTCATTGTTCGTGATCAACTTGATTGTCACGTTGACATATACTGTGAATGAATGAAAAATAATGATTGAAAGTTTTTTTTCCTGTATGTGTGTCTGAAAATATTGTGAATTATTGTTATGGTTAGTTTTTTGTTTTTGTTGTTTTCCCGTCTGTATATTTATCGTATAGAATTAGTTTTTTTTCTTTTTTTTTTGATTGAATATAATGAACATTGAAATGGAATCATTGAATCGACAATGAAAATTAACGAGAACAAAGAAAAATGAAATGAAATCTACATGGAACATGCAATTTCATTTCTGACATTCAATCAGATTTCTATTGGATCGAATGAAAAAAAAATTGGCTGATTTTGTTTTCTACTTTTTTTGATTCTGAATTTTGGATTCAACATTGTCAATTTGATGCTTTTGAATGCTACATGATGTTGATGATGATTATCAAGAATTGATCAGAAAATTGACGTAACGAGTAAAAAAAAATCCGTTGATGAATTCGTATTTTTATGCTTTCATTATTTCGCATAATGTTTTTTTTTGAAATCTAGAATCCTAAATGAGAAATGAACAGAATCCATTAGCATCAAATGAATGAATTCAGCTATATATATTGTTGTTTATTATGTTTTTATTCGGTAGTTTTTTTCCTGATTCGATTCGATTCACATCCATCTACTATGTTTCAATATAAGAATGTGGCCTGTGGTGTTTCATTTATTTGCCTAATAATGTATGTGTTTGTGTGGAATTTTTTTTCCTTCTTCAATTGTATCGATTCCTATGATTCCTTTTTTTCGTTTCTCTCGAAACAACAATTGCAAATTACCAATCTATGGGTAAAATTTATTTTTTTTTGATTTCTCATTTATTCCGTTTTTTTTTATTCGATAATGGCATGGCATCAGTTTCTGGGCATCTGTAATTGTTATTACAATTGAGTGAAAAAAATTGAATTGAATTACGATGAATTGAGATGGATAGCTCAATTAACATTATAGGACACATTGATAATTTTGATGATGATGATGCAAAAAAACGATCCGTTTTCAATTCTATGTCTAATATTATTGCATAATTATTTTACTTAATCCGATTGGTGAAGCATTATATTATATATATTTGATTATTATGCTAAAATTTTCTTGTCTATCTCATACCATACAACGAATATTCAAGTAAAATAATAGTAAAAAATAACTCAAGCTGAATTTATGAATTCACATGATGGTGGATCTCATTTGAGTTTTACATGGGCATGATTTTCACTGTTTCAGTTTAATGGAAAAAAATTAAATTATTCGAACTAACGAACTGTTAAAAAAACTGGTTATATTTCATCATTGGTGCGATTCATTCAAATTGATAATATCATCATTTTTAACATTCAAAAAAATCGTATTGTCATTTTGATTTTTTCCCCTTTACATTAAATTCTTGTCCTGCATCTAATTTCACAGAATATTCTGTACATTATTATTATTGTCATCATCATGTTTTTTTTCTAACAAAATTAAATTCTCATATATTTTGAATAAATGTGTAATTACCATTTTGGGGACTGTCAATCTTATTATATAGAAATTGTTTCATAAGTTTGAATAAGTGCCAGAATTTTTAAATTAGGCTTAAATTCATTTATTTTTGTCGTTTTCGTCGTTTTTGTTGTCATGCTCGTTGTGTTGTTGTCATCAACTTTCCAAATGTCCATGTTCAAATTACTTCCTGGATCAAAGTTGTTTGTTTGTTTGTTTGTTTTTTATATTTTCTTAACTTGCCAAATCTATCAATTGCATCATATACGACAAATTAATGTTGATGTTATAGACCTATTTTGCCTTGGCCTTTTAAATGGGCTTTATTTTTTTGCCATTACCAACCTAATTTAATAGTTTTTCACACACACACACACACAAAAATCGAATCAAACCATTTTTTCCAGAATTTTTTTTTTCGTTCATTTCTTTTTTCTTGCCTGGAACTAAATTTTTTATTTTGTTCACTTTCAATTTTACATCATCATTGTCAAATCAACAAAAATGGCTAAATTGTGAATTTTACAATATTGAATCATGTTTCATTCTGTTGAATTACATCATCATCATCATCATAGTTGTAATGTAATATAAAATGTCATTAATTGTACAAAAAAAACAGAATTTTTTTGTGTTAATTGTGAAAATGCGCAACCAAAAAAAAACAGATAGAATTTCTGAATTAAAAAATAGATTTCATTATGATGTGATAAGCTGTTTGAAACTAAACCTGAAAAAAACTTCTTCGTTTCTGGGACCCACATTCTTTTACTCTTGCCATTGTTCTATCAAACCAATGTTGACGATGAGCAAGCGCCTTACAAGAGACATGTGATTGTAAATGTCTCTGTGCTTATTTTTCGGGCTAATTTTTCATTTATAGAATCAATCTTACAATAAAGCTTTTAATTTCAGGTCTCCATCATCATTTTCTTGCAAATAATTGTGAAAAGAATGTTTGATTGAAACGAAACAAAACTCTATATACGATATATGATGGCCTTTTTTAATCAATTTTTCTATGTATTTCAATTGTACAACAAAAATATCATTCGAAAATGCCATAGTCAAGATTCTGTAGTTTTTTTTGAAACAAGAAGAAAACCAATAACAAAGATTCATTATTATACGAATGTTATCATCGATGGATAGATAATGATGATCGTTAATTGATGGTGAAAACTGGAAATAGTAGTCATATTTTTTCATTGCTTGAATAAGTGATCATTATTATGATTGACGATGATGATGAAAATGATAATGATTATGGTAGAAAAATTGTCGAACAAGACTCGATTATTATATTCATCACACCATCATTCAATATCATCTCTTATGTTGTCCGTTTTTGTTTTGCTTCTATGCTTTTTTCTCTTTTTCGGTTCATATATATTTCAATGAAATTGAAATTCTTACTCACTGATTCTTATTTTATTTCTATTGAACCATTTCGTTTTTTTTTTCGTTGTCAAATTAATTATTTGCCTAGCATCAATATTAATAAATTACATGAAATCTCATATAATTTATATATAGAGAATATAATATCGTTCATGGTAAATCATTTTTATCGATTCCAGGGTATTTGTTACGCATGGACAACGAACAATTTCATTTTTTTTTTTTTTTTGTGTATCTGATTATACGGCTGCCATCACATATCGATCAGTTGAATGGTTAGAAAATTTTTTCCTTCATTTTATAGATTTTCATTTAACAACATTTCCAACTTCAATGTTATCATTAATTTGCATTTTTTTTTGTTACCAGTCAAATTGATAATCAATAATGAATATGAAATAACTTTTATGATGATATGAATCCACCCCCACATTCGTTGATTATTATATTTGATTATTTTTATGGTGAAAATTCTCTTTATTGATAAATAATAATTAACGATAAGGTTAAATCAAATATGAATAATATTTTTCTTCCACTAACAAAATAAGAATTATAAAAGAATGCCCCCCCAAAAAAAACACACAATATTAAGACCGTTGCCATCAAGTGAGAGACAAAAGAATAAATTGATTGAATGATTTTTTTGCATCGCTTTTTTTCGATAATGAAAGTATTCAGTTATTAACCGATTTTGATTGATTCCCATAAGGATTGAATAATCATTGTTCATTCTTTTTACTGGTGATATTGTTGTCGTTCCTTTACACACTTCTCTATATATGGATTCGTTATAAAATTCTTCATCTTTATTTTAAATTGTTAGAAAAACACGCCTGATCATTATGTTTGCCAATTCATTTGATATTTGTTTTCCTAACAATCTTTGAGACCAATGATCTTTTGTCCATTTGAAATGTGAATGACATTCTTTTTAATCACAATATATTGTCATCACTATTACAATTACAATAATAATAACAACAATATAGAATGCAAAACACATTTCTTGACTTACGAATTGATCTCCCAAAGATCAACAATCATCAATTTGATTTTGACTTTCTGTCTCTCTCTCTCTCTCTCTTTCCATGGATTCTTCCAATTATCGCCACAATTCCCCAATTTTAGCAACCATCCTAAAACAAATCGGTTTTTTCATTTGCTTTTTTTCTCTCTAATATTGTTAAAATATTCCTGGAATTTTCCCCTTTTTTTACAAAAGAAAATCGCCTTGAAATTGCGTTGCTAGGCCGAATGATTATTTTCAAACATTTTCAATTAGTAACGGATCACGGATGTGTATGTGTGTGTGTTCGTTTTGCTTTAACACTAAATTAGCTTGACATTCATTGGATGTAAACACAAACATAAACCGGCGCAAATATTTATTTGTTAGGTGTTGATGCAAGTGAATTGATTGAGAAAAATATCTCAAATTCCTATGGGCAATGAAGAAAGTAAACACAAAAAAACATTTTTCTAGTTTTTCATTGATGGCCTATCATTAAATGGCATGTTAAATTCCATATTCAATGATCCATAAATCCTTAGAAAATCTTTCTTTTGGGACAATTTTTTTGTTATATTTGTAATTCTCAATGTAAATTGGTTCATCCAAAGAATTTACATATTGTACACAGTGCGAATTTTTATTCTTTATTTAAGAATAAAGAATTCTCTTTTAATTATCATTATTTTCATGGATAGATTATCATTTTGTTACTAAAATTTAAGAAAAGACAAAATTTTTTGTTTCTATTTTCAAAAATGAATTTTTCTTCGCATCATTTAATTAACATCATTATTAACATTCATTTTCATTATAATCACACACAGAATGAAAAAAAAAGAATTTCGTTAATGTCAGCATGATGATGGAAAAAAAATAAAAGCCGATTTTTTCAGTCGATTTCATAACAATAGGATACTAGAATATTCTCCCTCTCTCCAGTTTTTTTTTCTAGGATCATCCATTTGTTTTTTGTTGTGAGGTTAAATAACCAGAAAAAAAACAATACAAAACAGTAACAAAATAAATTCATGATTCCCAGTTGAATGTTTTTTTTTATTATCAATCCGTATCATAGTATTAGGATCATTATGATGTTAAATTGTTTGAACTATTCATTCAGTTTAGTCATTGAAACATTTTACCACTATGGATGTTTGGTTAATAACAATTTTTAATGAAATTTTTATCATCACATGTCCCTAATTTATTTTCCTGTATTTTTAGTTTCTCTTTGTCTTTATAGGATGATTTTCATATATGATAAATGTTTGTCCTTTTAGGACATTTTCAAATATCATATCACCATAAATGATTCACTTAACTGAGATCTGTCTTGATACTACAATCCAAAATGATTGACATGAAATTATTTGACCAAAAAAAAAAAATGTTCGGAATACTTTGATGTTAATATTAATGATATCGGTACAAAATTTTGACTAAATATTTGTTTATCATAAAATAGCTTTGTATGCAAATGATGATATTTTTTTCTTTTGATAATGATAATTTGATATAAATTGATTTCAACTTTTACTTGTATTATCTTAAAAGGCCAAATTATCCATATTTCCAATCTATCTTATTTATGATGAAAGTTTTTTGCTTATATAAACTTGAAAATATATCCAAATAAATGTATAAATCATTTTTTTTGGATTCTTTCCGTGATTAAAACGCCAAGAATGTCTCCAACAATTAATACCAATAATAAACGATTGAAAATTTTTTTCTGTTCAGTTGATGGTGTTGGCCATATAAATGCATGTATTGGTATGGCACAAGCATTAGCCAAACGTGGTCATCAGATTTATTTTCTCAACAATCGTAATTTTATCTCTTTATTCGAAAAATTTGGTTTCAATGAAATTGTTCTTGGTCTTAAATCTGCTGCTAGTGACAAATCAGCTGAAAATAAAGTTATTGATGAAAATAATCATCCAGTTAAAGATGTTGAACTCAATGACATTTTTGCTGAATCTGGCTTATTGTCAGGTAAATCATCTTACGACCAATTGGATCTTTTTGACCGAAATAAAAATGATCGATTCTTTTGTGAAACCATGTACAATGATTTACGGAATATACATGAAGAAATGGCTAATATTATTGAAAAAGAAAAGCCTGATTTGATCATTGTCGATTATCCATTAGTCGCTCCTTGTATTGCTTATGGTAAAATTCCATGGGCATTTTCATGGAGTGGCAATCCGATTCCAATTTATCATTCAGAAAAACTTCCTCCATTCACATCAGGTATGAAAAATTATTTTATTCTTTAAAAATACTCTATTTTTGTTTTTATGACATGAAAATTTTATAAAAAAGGCTATCCAACCTACGATAAAACTGGATGGGCAAAATTTAAAGCAAAATATGATCAAACAATTGAGCTATGCTTTGAATATTATCAAAATTTATTGAACGAGGAATTCGGCGGGCCTAAAATTACATCTCAAGGCTTTTTTATGCTATCACCTTATATGAACCTCTACGGTTATCCTGAAGAATTGGACTATACAGACATTGTGACATTACCTGATAATTACATTCGGGTGGATGCATTCTGTCGTGAATTAACCGAAACATTTAAACTTCCTGAGGAATTCAAAGTACAACCAAGTGATAAATTGATCTATTTATCAATGGGTTCGATCGGAAGTTCTAATGTTCAGCTAATTCGTAAAATTACTGCAACATTGGCCAAAACACCATACAAATATATTGTATCAAAAGGGCAACATCATGAACAAATTGAATTACCAGCGAATATGTGGGGCCGTGCATATCTACCACAGACTAAAATCCTACCATTGGTTGACATGGTCATTACACATGGTGGGAATAATACGGTTACAGAAACATTTTATTTTGGTAAACCAATGTTAGTCATGCCATTGTTTGGTGATCAATTCGATAATGCTCAACGCATCCAGGAAAAAGGTTTTGGTTACCGCATCAATTCACATCATTATGTTGATAATGAATTAATCGAAATGATTCATACGATACTTGATGATAAGAAAATGATTGAAAAATGTTGCCAAGCTGGTGAACGTTTACGAAGATCTGATTCAAAACAGAAAGCATGTGAAAAAATTGAATTACTTTTACAACGAATTTCTTTTTAAATTTATATTCATCAACAAATTTAGAGATATTAAAGTTGTCACAAGCGTCAGATTTTATCTGTATTTGTTCATTTTTCTTTTATATTAAAAAATAAATCCAATAGTTACTGATATGGTTTTTTTCTCGATTTTTATAATGAAACTCAATGATTATTTAGTGATCAATATCATTAACGGTAATAATATTTTCAACATTTTTGTTATTGAATTTCGTTTGAAAGTTTATTTTCATTTTTTTCAAAACACTTAAATCTTCATATCTAGTTGATAATAATGGAAAGATTGTTATAAATTTCATTTCAAGTTTATGATGGTATCGGTTTGCCATTCGGGTCATCGAATCTCCTTTCTAAACAATCGAAATTTTATCGAAACTTATCGAAAATATGGTTTTGTTGAAATTATTTTAGATGATTATGATCATAATAATAATAATAATAATAATGGCGATCTTGTTAAATCACATCCAATCAAATCTGTTCCCGTTACACAATCATTCGGTTTTTCTTTCCATCAAATTGTGCCATACGATCAACTAAATCTTTATTATCGGAATAAAAACGAAAATTGTTTCTGCAAGTTAAGATTTTAAAAGAGTTCATGAACAAATGGTTATTGTTATGTGGAATGAACAGCCGGATTTAATTATCATCGATAATCTATTAATACCTTCTTGTATAGAATTTGGTCATATTCCATATGGATCTATTCTTGGAGTGTCAATCCATTGCATATGTTTCAATCTAATTAATTGCCACCAATGATGCCGTTACTTGGTGATCAACATGATAATGCACAATGTATATAAGAAAAAGACTACGGTTATCGTGTTGATACATATCAATTCACTGCCGATGAACTTGTAAGATCAGTTCATAAAATTGTCAACGATGATAAAATGTTCGAAAAATGTCGAAAGCTTCGATAGTGAAAGCATGTGTTATAGTTGAACAATTTGTCTGGCAGAAAAAAGCAATGACCAATACATGAATTATTATTATTATAGATTATTATAGATATAGATCCTAAAAACAAATGAGGAGAAAACAATTTTCCAAAGTCAATAAAATTTTACAAGTCATAAATTTAAAGAAAAAAAAAAGAATGGACATTCAATCCGAATCATTTTATGTCGTTGTTGTTATAATAATCTTATTGGTGTGGTTATATAAAATTGAAAAATATATTTATCCAAAATAAGATCCAATCTAGACAATCTGTTATGAAATTGTGGCCTGAAAAAAAATTTTTATGGCTTAATTCGAAAGTATAAAATTCGAAGTTATTTGTCACATCGTTACAAAATTTTCTCAATATTCTTTTTTCTTCTCATATGTTTAGGTTTTGCTAAAATTTTCAAGCCTACACGGGTGTCATTATAATAATGGCTTGAAAAAAACTCGTAAATGAATACTCATACGCCAGAGTGTTCTGTATAGAACGGATGTATCTGTCTGTGATGTGAATTGAAGCCAGATGTAGAAACATTCTAATATTGCTTATTTTGTGCTGCTAATGAAGAATTTCATCATTGCTTCTATACTCTAAAGATTACGATTCACTCTCACTTTGATGTTGGAACTCATTTACTGGTGCATTTCCATTTCGATTTGAATGAACAAAAAAAAACGAATTGATGATGCAAACCTTTTTCCTGACCTTTTTTTCATTTATTATTTGCTAACTGCTAAATACTCGCACAGTGTATATGTGATTTCCGCGAATTTTGGATTTCCTTGTGATCCATTTCATTCAATTCATTATCATATCATTAGCTTTTATCATTTGTTTGTTTTTCCTTTTCATTTTCATTTGTGCCGAGTTTATTTATTCTTATTTGGATTAGATTCATTTTTTTCTCTGACATTGCGTGAGGATTATCTTTGGAATCGCTTTGTAGCCATCACCACAATTATTGAATGAATGTGTTTTCGATATGTGTCAGTGTTTGTTCATGTGTGTGTGTGTGTGTTTGCGTAGGCGTTTATTTCTCCATTATATAATTATACTGATTTTTGATTCTTTGTCTTCCTTTGTTCAAATGTTTGTTGTTGAGCAAAGGTTCAAACAAAGAAAATTAATTAAATAAATGTGTGTAAAATTTAAAATTAAAATTAAAATTAAACTAGCCTAGCAAACACACAATGTAAACTGAGGTGATGTTTTATATTTTGAAAAAAAATATTTTTGACAAAATTCAACTTTTGTTTATTTAAACTTGAAATTACAATGAGTGAAAATCAACGAAAAATTTCGAAAACAAATTCTTGTTGATGATTCTTTTTCTTCAAAAAAAAATATGAAAAATATTCAAGGACAATGTATGCATTCTTTTTTTTATCTTTCAATTTCCGCTTATTTAATATATTTGTAAATCTTGTTGCCAAAAAAACGTTTTTATCAATTTTCATTCATATTATTTCTTTTGACATTGCCATTTGTTGTGGCTATAATGGTAGCCAAAATAATGATAATTTCATTATGATCATACACAAACACACACACACACACACACACATATGGTAGAAAAAAAATCTCTGTTTCCTGTTTTGATTTATTAAAGCTTCAGGAAAAAATAAAACTCCCAGTGTTTATCAAGACATACTCCCTGATTTTTGTTGTTGTTGTTGTTGTTGTAAATAAATGCCACAAGTCAGTCATCATTTCATATATGAGCACATCAAATCTAATCATATGATTCCTGGCATTAAAAAAAAAATTCCAACATGAACCGATTCCATTGAATCCATTCGACTTGATGTTGTTTAGTGACAATAACAAGTAGTCCCGGCCAGTTTTTTCCCACAAAAACATTTATCCCGCTTGTTTCCGATCAATGAAATTTCTGATGATATCATGTAGTTCAATCTTTGTTTTTGTTTGCATGCAACAACAAAAAAAAATGTTCATTGATCAACCAGAAAAAAATCGATAATTTTCAACACAAAAACAACAATTTTTTAAAACGTTTGCAAACTTCATCATCAATATAAATCCGATGTATAATATCAAATAAATACGAATTTATTAAATGCGAAATTAGCATTTAATAAAAAAGAGGCATTAAAAAGTGACCATCATATCATAATACATGGCCAAAAAAAAAAACATTAAAATGGATAGAAATCATCGTGGCAATTTTTTCTTCCGCATTCGTTGTTGTTGTTGTTGTTACTGTTGTTTATGCCCTTTTCATTTCATTAACGACCATGATCATGATCATGATCCTAAATATCATAATAATTTTCAATCAAATTCACATGTTAAAAATTTGGATCGATCAGATGATCCAATAACAAAGAAAATGATTTTTCGTTTTCCATTCACCAATCATGCTCACAACAGTAATAACGACAATACATCATCGAGTATGAATTTATCTCGTCGAATGCGTGAACAAAAATCTTCATCATTGAAATTATTTAATAGAAATAAGGATTTAATGATTGATCATCATCGACAACAACAACAGTGTCGAGCTTATGATGAAATTAAATCACGAACACGTAATTCAATGATGTTAGATCAAGATAATAGTATTGGTTGTCTACATAATCATCTTGGTGCATTTAATCAAACAAAATCGTCCTGGACAATGGATAATCGAAATTTTCATTTTCAAATAACAATGGTGAATGAATGAATCGATTCAAGAAAAAAAAATTATTAGAAATTCTTTACGGGATATTTTTAGATTCTTATTATTTTTCTTCGAATCGGTCGATCATTTTTTTTTTTTGTAAGATCTGTGACATATTTAGACAATACAACCGATTCTCATATATTTGTGTCTATTTTAGCACTAACCACAACACAATTATTATTGTTTGTTTATACGATAATCCTACTTAATTTGATGTACTTCAATGCTGTTGTTCTAAGAATCTGACGTAGTTACTATCAGTTTATGACGATTATGATGATGATTCTTGTTATAGTCATTGTCATTTTTTATTGTTATTACAATTTATATGTTTATTTTCATGTTTTTTTTTCTACTTACTCATTAATGTGTTTTTTATTCATTTTTTCCTATAGGACAATCGTTATAATTTTGAACAACAACAACAGCAACAATTACGAAAACAAAAACAAACGAAAAAATTATCAAATAAACATGATCAAGATAATGACGGTAATCATATAAAAGAAATCATAGAAGAACATAGTGGTAAAGAGAATCAAGATCCATCATGTCAGCAGCAGCAGCAGCAACAACAACAACCACAACAACTAATGACTAAATCCAACAAAAATGATGACGAAAATAAATCAAACAATGAAAATATCAATAAGTCACAAAATGTTCAGTGGCCAAGTAAGATTTACCAACAATTACAACATCAACAATCAGTGGCAGTTGATGAATATTGTTGTATGGATGGATCATCGCCACCTCCTTCAACTTCGTTTTTATTACATCATCATCGTCATCATCATCATCATCATCTGGATCAAGAACATGAAGAAAAACATGATGAACGTCCTATTGATGTTGGCTGGGTTGGCGGTTGGGCATCTGATTTTGACATTCTACTTAGTGATTCAATCGGTATCAAAGCTTTTACTGTAAGTATCGTACTTATCATCTTCATTAAGTAATGAATTTTACCTTGTTTTTTATTCACTTTGATTTTTACACATTTAGGATTTTCTTCGTAAAGAATTCAGCTACGAAAATTTGCAATTCTTTTTGGCCATACAAGAGTTTAAAAATCTTACTGATCCAGATGAGGTATGTAATGGATTGAGTAATGATTGAATTTTTTTTGATGATATTAAATTTTCCAGATACGGAAAAAATCTCATGAAATTTATAATAAATTCATTGCACTTTCGGCACCAGAACCTGTAAATGTTGATAGCAGAGCAAGAAAATCTGTCGAATCTGGCCTGAACAATCCGAATAACCGTATATTTTTGCTGGCAGAAGAACAAGTATTTTCAACTCAATATATTATGGTTAATTTTTTAATTAAAATTAATGAATTTATCCTTTCTAGATTTATAATTTAATGAAATTCGATAGCTACGTACGTTTCCTCAAATCAGATATTTATGAAAAATGTTCATTGTTAGATTTGAAAGGCGAATCATTGCCTTATGAAAATGATGATGCCATTATTGATGATACTAGCTGTGATACGTTATTGAATTTGGCATCATCTTCGGCCAATACTGTGATGACAAGTGGACGATCCGGTTATCATAGTGGTAAGAATAATCCGACCGCTGTTAAGAAACGACGATCATTTATACCTTGGGCCCGATTAAAATCATCAATTAATCATAAAGCAGCATCATTATCATCGATGGCTGCACCTTCATCCACTAAAACCGACATGTTTGGCTCAAAAAAACAATATATGATGAGAAAATTAACCAATTCAATTCATAAAATCCGTTCAAAATCATTGGATGAACATTTGACAAATCATGTGAATAATAAAACACAACAATCAATTGGATCTGAACCTCATAGTAATAATTCATCAATTGATAAATCATCCATCATTTCAAATGGACAAAAAAATCAATTTAATTCGGCTAGTCGTAGCTCATTAATGCCTAATAGTTCTGATTCAATCGATTCATCTGATCATAATGTATTTCCACCATCACCAGATAATTTGAAATCAGTGGAAATAGTTGATGCATCGTGTTCGCCACCAACTTCGATACCATCAACAATAGAACATTTGAAACGTCATTCCGAAAGTGATCCGGTTTCACCTGCGAAATTCGTACCTTCAGCAGTTGCTACGTCTTTAACTTCAACATCGACGACAGAAACTGCTGCCAATATTTCGATTTTCCCATCCTCATCTTCTTCTTCATCATTCAATCACAATTGTAATCGTGATAATTGTCATTTCTTGCGTATAGTTTTTCCTGACCGTTCACAAACAGTCGTTCCATCATCACCAAATGAAACGATTAATAATTTATTGAAAAAGTTGTTTGAAAAACGTTCATTAAAATATTTAGCTTGGGATGTTTTCATCACCGGTAATGAAAAGGTTAGTGTTTTTTCATCTTACGATGAAATTTTAATTCGAACGCAGATGTTTTCTCATGATTTTAGTAGATCATCAGCGTTTAAAATCAAATTCTTTTACAAAATTATCTAATAATATTTTCAATTTTATAGCCATTGGATTTATCCACAAATACTACACAACTGGGATGTGTTGAACTTCGTGTTGAACAACGTGTTATATTTCGTATTGAATTCCCAAGCCAGGATATTATTGGCGTCAAGACACGACCAACAAAACTTTGTTCAGAAGTATTTCATCCATTATTGATGCGTTATGGTTATCGACCAGAACATACTGTAATGACTATTGCTGAAACAGAACAAATAGTGCCACAAATGTCACCGGTATCAGTAATTGATGGCCAACATATTGTCGTCAGTTATTTTGATGATCTTGAAGAATGGGGTTGGGATACAACAAGGAATAACATTCCAGTTGCATTAAGTTTAGCTGGTAAATCATTTAGTGAGGATAGCAGTATAAAATCTAAAAAAAAAGATGAAAAATCAATGGGTGGCCATGCATTGATCGATCAACATCAACAGGCATCATCTGTGCCATCAGTGGCCACATATCATAATTTAGGTTCTATTCGTGATCATTTGTTGGCCAGTAGATATATTGCTGCCAAGAATAATCAAAGTAATAATTCAAATCTCGAATGCAGTCCACAACCAGATTCATATGATTCTCCTACAAATACATCTTCATCGACTCCAGGTGATGATACACAATCCGATATATTTTTTCGTGAATTAATGAAAACTGCTCATACGGTACCATCACCACCACGTGGCCCATCATCAACATCAACTTATTCGGCTGCCTATGGTATTATTAACAGCAGTTCTCCACCAAATGAGACTATTAATCGTTCTCAACCACCCCAAACACCGATTTCGAATACAAATCGAACATCATATCGATCATCCAATATAACAAATAATTCATCGCAACAACAGCAACATCATCAACGTAATCAACCTCTTCGGGATCTACAAAATCATCGACATTTTAAATCCTATCAACCCAGTCCATTGTCATATGAACCAGTGACTGTACCTAGAAGTCAAGAAATGGCTCGAAAACAAATGATGCCCGAAACTGAAATGAGTCAATCTGTTTCATCGAATTCGTCACCATCAATTAATACATTACCGATGAGTCATACTAATTATCAACATTCATTAATTAATCAGCCGGTGTCCATGCAGGAATCCGACAAATTAATCTTGTTACAACCAGAAAAACCGCCATTACGTCGTCAAAAATCTGATCCTCCATGTCGACCACCACCATTACCACCAAAATCAAATAACACCACGAATATGATGATCAATACAAATAATAAAGACACAAACACCATTTGTCCTCCACGACCCCCACCACGAACATCAATTTGTAGCCATCAAAATAAATCATTGACAAGTGATAATTGTCAAAAACAGTCCAGTTCATCAACTACATCGACCAATCCTAGTGATTCTAATTTAGCTTGATTATTCTTGAAGTTTATTTTGAATGATTTTTCAAATGTTATCAGTCAATTAAATAATAGAATCCAATATTTGTTTCTTTTTTTTACTGTTCAATCTGATGTTTTTAATCCTTTTAGCAACATACACATACATTTATGTACCGTACCGATATGTGTGTTGTATTTTTCAAAAAACAGTCAAAATTCGAGTTATAAGTCTGGTTATCGATATTCATTATGCAAAATTATTGTTTGATTTTTTCAACACACACACACACACAAAACCACTTATAAACCTCAGTTTTTTTCTTTACCCTTTTCTGATAATATATATTGGTTTTTCCTAAAGATTGATAAGATAATTATTTTTATTCTTCAAAAATTATCATTATTAATAAAAAAAATATATATATTTATGCTTGAATTAGTGATGTAATGATCAATCTCAATAATGAAATGTTTGTTTCCATACCATTTTTGAGTTATTATACCTATATCTATCTATGTAACTTTTTTATGATAATTCATCATGGTTAAAGCAACTTTTATATACGGTTTTCTGATATTATGAAGTCTTTCATCTTGTCAATTCAAAAAGAAATTTTATGACATAATATAAAAAAATTCTATAAGTTATCTAATAATCATCAATTATTCAAATATGTTTGAATTTCTAAATCATGCATAGAATTTTTTTTTTAATGTTTGTTCCGTTGAACGTCAATCTAAAATGAATTGTTTTTATATTTTCATGATCTTCGATTTCAAGGACAACATTATTGATCGATGTATGGATGTACATGAATTTCTCTCCATTTCTCTTTTTTCGCACATCTCTTTTTTAAAATTGATTCGTTTTGAATGGTGACATTTTTTTGTTTTTGTTCGATGTTTTTGATCGATGTTGGACTCTATACCGTTATTTGACTTTGTCAATCCATCTTTCACTTGTTTATTTGACTTGTCTATAGAAAAAAAAATCAGTAAACGATACAGGTTTCTTATCAAGATCAATAATGTTAATGATTGATGTTTTTATAGAACTCTCTCTCTCAATTTGTATTTTTTTTCATCCAAAGACTTATGTAAAAATTTATTTTGAAAATTATAAAGTAGCACGTATCCTCAATATTCAATCAGTCGATCAACGTTCATCTTAACCGACCCAATTTGTAGATGAAAAAAAATTTTTTATCATCGACAATGATACATTTAAATTTGATTGACAAACATTACGTATCAATGGATCATAAATATCGTTATTATTATCATCATGAAAGTGGTTTTCGCTTTAGATTTCGGTTTTATATTCTACTTTTAATCTCATTGACATTGCCACAATATTGCTCCACCAACGATGCAATTATCATCAATCATTCGGAATTCCTTTGGAGACCATTATTCAATGTTTCAAATGATTTTTTTGCACAAGCGATCCTACCTATAACATTTATTGATAACCAAAAATTTTTCTCCCAAAATAATCTCACTTCAACATGCCAAAATGATTTAAGAAAAGCCATTGAATCTACCTTGCATTTACGTGAAATATGGTCGATAAAATTATTTAATTCGTGGTCAAAATCCGTGATACCAGCTGGTATGTTTATGGGAACCTTGACAGATTATGGTGATTATGATCAATGTATGAGTATCATTGATGATCAAAAATCGAATCAATCATTGATCATTCCACAATATTGTTTGATTGATATGGCAATACCGATGCCTAAACCGCGCCCAACACCACACAATTATTATCATCATACTGAAGGTATTCTTCCTACCAAAGATTTTCTTGATAAAATTATCGAGCTTGACCTCATAGGCCATCATAATTCATCATCATCAACAATAATAAAACAAATGGTATTAGCACCGAATCCAACTATTTATGAATATTTAGCTCAAGTATCATCAAATTTTTACTATTCATTTATACGTCGAGGAATTTGTCTTCCCAGTTCATGTACAACAGAGGATGTACATACAATTATTAAAAAAAATTTTGGTCAAGAATTTGGATGGCGATTGAATACTGTGAGTTGTACAACAAAATCGTTGAAAAAATGGTGGCCCAATTTATTACAAAAATTTGCCATGTAAGTACATTTTATCTGATTTTTTTTTAACATAATGAAGAAATTTTTTTCGATTGATAGATTTATCATTAGTTCATTATTGATCATAACATTCATAGCTGCTATTTATGATCAAATGAGTAGTAAGAAAAATAAAACCATTAGTCGAGTAATTCTTATGTGGTTTTCACCAATTTCGAATACGAAAAAATTACTCTTCTCCAATACAGATGACGAAAATTTTAATTGCATTCATGGATTAAAATTTCTATCAATTTCATGGATTATCGTCGTACATACATTGGCCTGGATAGATTTGAATGGATTTAGTATGTTTGATTTATTCAATTGTCATTGTTATTTATTGAATTGAATTTTGAATTCTAGGAAATTCTTTTAGAATGAAAATTTTTCTCTCAACATTATATTTTCAGCCATTATTTAAAGGATTTTTTGCCGTTGAAACTTTTTTCTATCTCAGGTAGGCTAATTTTATATTGAATACTTATAATCTTATCAATTTATTAACAAAATTCACTATGACAAAAAAAAATTGGATAGCGGATTGTTAACCTCGTATAGTGCAATGAAATATACACGCGGTGATTACAAGAATTTGAACAAAACTACTTACATGTTGCTTCGCTATTTTCGTTTGACTCCACAGCTGATTTTATTTATGCTTTTATTGACATTATTTCCACCAATGTTTGATGGACCAATATGGTCACAATTGATGACTACTATTTCTAATCAATGTTCAAAAACCTGGTGGCATAATCTAATCTATCTACAGAATCTAATCGACATTGATAATATGGTATATTCCCAGTGTTCAAATAAACTAATTAAAAAATAATCATTCTATTTTTTTTTTTTTGAATATAACAATGATAGTGTGGCCTACATACATGGTATTTGGCTGCTGATATGCAACTACATTGGTTTTCATTATTTCCAATCATTTGGATTATTAAAAATCCTCGCAATGGTTTACTATTGACAAAATTCCTCATCATTATTTTTATATTCATTACGGGATTTCATATTTACTTCAAAAATCTACCACCAGGTGGCATAGTCACGACACAAAGGTATAATAATAAAATTGTAAGATTTTACTATTTTTATTAAATGAATTTCATTTTTGCATAGCGATATGCTTGAAGAAGATCGAACACCGGGAGCGTTTACCGATATATTTTTTAAACCATGGAGTAATGCTTATGTATTTTTCGCTGGTTTTCTTTTCGGTTTCCATTTGTATGATTCAAAACTTGTTCATAGTTTTTTCTGGACAAAGGTAATAATAATGACAATGGTGATCGATGAAATTTTCATTAATAATTTATATTAAAACTACAAATAGACCAAGATTGTCGCTTGTTGGCTATTGATCATCTATTCATATCTGTTCTGTATATACAGTACAATACCTTGGGTATACGGTCAACCATATAATCGAATTTGGTCATCCATTTTATATCCATTAAATCGTATTGTTTGGTCTATAATGCTTACGTTATTGATTTTTATGTGCATCACTCGACCACAATCAATGATTGCTAGGATTCTTTCATGGAAAGCTTTTCGTCCATTTTCACGTATGACCTTTTCCGTTTATTTGACACATGCACTTGTATTATATGTTGCACTTGGTAGTCGACATAATTTGATTGATTTGTCCATCACATCATTAACATTTTTATGTTTTTCAACATTACTTTCATCATATGCGTTTGGTTCAGTGTTTACCATTTTGTTTGAAAGTCCAATCATAAATTTGTTTGGTTACGTCAAACATGATCTACTTCGGCAACTTCAACGGCAACAATATTTGAATAACAAAAATAATAATGACGATAATGATCAAAAGAAACAAATGCCAATAACAAATAATGGAACGAATACATCGAATGTTTGAGTGAATTTATTACACAAATAAACATTAAATAATGAAAAATTGTTCTATGATTTAATTTCAATGATTATTTTTTCTAATGAAAGAAAAAACCTAAAAAAAAAATTAAAAAGTAACTCATATCCAGAATAATTTAATAATGGAAACGACCAAACATTTGTCAAGTGATATGATTAGTCAAAATGCTAGAAGAAATATCTTGAAAGATTGGAATGTGACATTGAAACTAGTACAGTATACCAAAAATAAATAATGATTGTCATGTTCATGTGTATGTGCGTGTGTGTGTGTTCAAATATTATTACCAGATATTCGACATAAAATTTTACGTTCCATTGTTTTTTTCGTTTAATCGATCTGGTTTCGTTGGAAACGATGACTATCATCAAACACAGATGATCATGATTATTCAAGTTGATGGTTTTTTTTTCTATTTTTATGGTTTCAGTCAATTTTTTTGTGAATTTCAAATTCTAGTTTGAAATGGTTTAAGCGAATGAAACGAAACCGGATCTTAAACTTTGTAAATCAAATGTAGATGAATAAAAAAAAACTAATTACTGATATAGAATGTTGAAACTCAAATGAATGTATAGATTGTCAACATTGTTTGTTTGTTTAACGACATACTTTAGTTCATTCAGTTATTTTTGATGATTTTTTTTTCGTTTCAATCGAAATTAGTTTGAACCCTTTTTTGAATAGATTAGAAAAAGATTCTGGATGATTGTTAATCACGCTTTGTAACAAACCACCCACATAAGTAACATTAGTAAATAGCCATTCTTTGTAACACGATGGTTTCAAAATAGGAGAATCTTGTTTTTTTGGCCATATTGTTTTATTATATTGAAATGGATGGATACAAAGATGCCAAATGTCCATTAGTCAAATGGATTGTAGAACACAAGGTTAGAAACATTTAACCATTAGAAAAAGATTTTGTTTTTAGTTTTGTTATTTTTTTCCTGAAACGTTGTTTAGATAATAAAAGAAACCTCAACATAACAAACCAGTCACAGTAATAGTGAAAAAAGAATAAAAAAAAACAAGAAACAAGAATAAGAACCTATCATGTAACGTGCAATTAGCTCAACAAATTAGATGTCTGTTTTCTGGTTTGTTGCAATATAATTTCAGAATAACGTTACCCTATTCTTAATCAATGCATCACATTGTGTATTTCATTTCATAATAATATTAGCAACAAAAAAATCAGAACAAATTGAATGAACAAAAAAAGAATGAGATTCAGTATGGGAAAAATATTTTTTTTTTCCAAATTTTCCACCTAAACAAGCCTGTAAGAAAAATTTAAATAATATCTTTCCGAAACGAATAATTCATGACCAAACGAAATTTAAATAGAATTGGGCCAATTTTCAACTTTTCTCTTATTATTATTATTATTTTATTATCATCATTGTTTGTAGTATGCAATTTCCGTGCTGTATAGCTACTTTTTATTATGAAGCAGAATAAACTTTTCTGTTGGTTTGTTTCTTTAGAAATTTTCTCTTTCCAAAATCATTATCACCATAATTACGGTAATTGTGAAACAAGGTATTTTTAATGTTTTTTTTTCTTTTCTCTTTCTCTCTTCATTCATGAGATCAATTATTCGCTTCATTTATTCATTTTTATTCTCATTTTTTTTCCTACACTAGTCTGTTTGGTTTAATCAATAGCAACGGCAAAAAAAAATAACAAGTGAGTGAGAGAGATAGTGACGAAACAAAGAAAAATTCAACAGAATCAACAAGATAAATATGGAGAAAAATAGTAATTAATTTTTTGACGATATTCAAAATATGTTTACGTTGAAAAAAACACTTTTTTTCTCCACAAACAATTCTAAAAAAAGAAATAAAAACAATCGATTGTTTTTTAGTAATAAATAATCATTCAATTCAAATAAATAAATGAATAAATTCTTTATTCATCGTTATCATTTCAATGATTTTATCATAAACTTATGATAATATTCATTTCGATAAAGATCTGTAGTGAATTTATCATTGTATCGATACTCTTTTTTTTATTGGAAAAATATTCAAAATTTTGTTTTTTTTTGTGCTTACGAAGCAAAACAAAAAAAAATGGAAAAAGAAACAAATATGATGAGAAGCCAAAATATGTGTTCAAGAATATTCTTGTCAATGTGTTTGTATGTGTTTGGAATTTGATTTCGAATTAAAATACCATCAATACGTGACTTGAAAATGATTTGCTATTTGTATAAAAAGAAAAATTGTACATCTATGAATGTTTATTGGTTATACAATTTATACGATGCAAAGAAAAAACAAATATTTTAAAATGACCAACCTGAGAATCATTTCATTGTTAAAAAAATTTTATTGATTTTTTTACATTGTATTGCTATTTGTCGTTTCAGATCTAAATCGGATTCATGAATTTTTGCTGAGTGAAGGGGTTTTGATGGAGAACAACAGCCGAATACAATACATGTGTCAAAAAGATATTTTACTAGCTGTCTAATTCGAATCCAGTTGTAGGCTGTGGTTATATTTTTGATGTGGATCGAATATTTGTGAACTACATTTTTTTTCATTGCTTTTAGAAAACTTTTTAAAGTATTCTTTGGTTGAAAATAGAAAAAATTTTTGTGAAAATCGAATTTTGGATCTCAAATTTTTTTTTTTTTGTTTAATGGTATAACGATAGAAAAATTTTCGTGATCATCAATCAAACGAGCTATATTTTTTTTTCTCGGATTATTTTTCTCAAATCGACTAGAATCGAATCGAATGAATGATAGATGATAATCATGATGATGAATAAATGAATGATAGAGTTTATCCATCAATTCTCGATTTTTTTTCTGAAAAAATCTTATAAAATATTAGAATATTGCATGGAATAATGATTGAAATACACAGAAACATGGCAGAATCTAAAAACTGTGGTCGTCGGTTTATGACATGAACGGAATATGCGTGAGTGAATGATATGATTTTTTTTTCTTATCCGTATGAAATTTGTTGTCTTCAAAAATTTCGATTTCAATTTTTTTTTACATTCTTTTACCAATAAAATTTTGTACATAATCATTTAACAAAAAAAAATTACCGGAAACAGAATCTTCTTGTATTTTATCGAATGAATTATGATGACGATGATGACATGACAAATAATTCAAATGAAATTAAATTCATTTATCCTTTTAGTCAAATATGATGCTGGTTGACATGATTGCCGACCAGGATGGATAAGTGAGACGATTCGTATACTCGTGTCTTCATCATCATCATTGTGATCATGAATTAAGTGAAAATAAAGTCGAAAATAATGATGGATGTGATTGAATGGGCGAACAATAAGAAACTAGAGCTTTTTTAAATTGCTAGTCAAAAAAAAACACACATGATTTTTGATAGATAAAAGTGTAAAGAGGTTTGTCATAATAAAAAGTTCAGCGAAAACCATAGCAATAAAGCCAATAATTCTTGATTCGTTAGATTGTTAGAATAAGTGATGATATGGTGGGTGGCTACATCAACGTTTCTGTGTTTGATATTAAGGAACATAATATATGGCTTCGTTTTTATTTTCATTTTGAATTTTTTTTTCATAAAAGAAGAAATTTGATAACTTTGACTATTGTTGAATAATAAAATGTTTTTCTTTATATTTTTTTTCATCAATAATATTGTGAATGTCGATGAAATGTATAATAGAAAAGATTCTTGTTTATCATTACAAAAAAAAGTATTTGATTTATGGTTATGTGACATCTTTTTTTTGAAGATCACCATTTTTTTTGTAATGACAATAACAAACAAGAATCTTACGATCAACGATCGAACATTATTGACCATGAAGTTGGATGAATTGAAATAATGGCCGATAAGAATGAGAGATAGAGCGTCATAAAGCCAGAGAAATGTTTTTTTTCAACACACAAATTATTACCATCGTTTACAGTACACAATATCGATCTAATCCTCAACGAGAAAAAATCATTCGAATAAATTTTTGAAATTGCACCGGAAACTACTCAGACATGCCTACAATAACCTAACAACACCGACAACAACAACTACAACAACAACAATAGTTATAGTTTCAGCAACCAACAAACAATTTGTATGAAAAAAAAATTGAAAACAAATCCTGAAACAGCGAATTTTGTAAAAAAAAAACTTTAGAGAAAAGCTGATTATTTGTCGAATAGTCGAATTGGCAAACAGATGAAAATTAAAAATGACTGTGACCGAGCCAAAACATAACATTAATTTAAAACTTTTCACAAATTCAATTCTATTTAACTTCTAAAAACGATGTTTTTTTGCCTTTGAATTTGTTTTAATGGATTTATTCAATGTTTGAAATTTATTTTTTTAATCGTTTTTTTTTCGTTCATTCTGATCATCTTGCCGTAACTAATGACTTGATTGCGATATTATTTTGTTGAATTTTTTCATTTTATGTATTTGTGTGTATTGAATGAGTGGATATGCTAAAGTAGAACATCATTTAGTTTTTTAATGATCTGATAATGAAAATGATGACTAACAACAAAAATTCCATCCGATTTTGAATCCGTTATCACTTGTACTTTTTCATTTTTATCTAGTTTTAAACGTTGTAGACATTGATGTTTTTTTTGTTGCAAAAATAAACATCAGGAAGTAAAGTGAAAAAAGTTATCGTATTAATCGATATTTTTTCTGTATTTGATTGAACTAATAGTTTTATTTTGATAAAAACATTTATACAAGAGAAAGATTAGCTAACGATTATTGAAAATTATTTTGTTTCAATGGAATTTGTTTCGATATATAATAATAACGTCCTATTGATGGATATTTAGTTTTTTTAAAATTAAATATCTATATATATGTACGATATCAATAGAATTGTTGGAATTTTTCACATTTGGAATCTAATGTTTATACAGCAGTCTAATGCTTCCATTTCAAATTATGTTGGTTAGATTAGGTTAGGATTATAAAAACATTAGTAATTGAAAAACAGATTGAATTTGTGAAAAAAAGTTATGATTAAAATTGGTGGGGAGGGAAGTGGGAAATA